CAGTTACCTTGGTTACTTGTCTGATGATGAAATTTCATCATGTATTTTTATCTCGAAATCAGAATTTCTGTTTTCTTTTCATTCTCATCAATTTATCTGTAAATGATTCATGATAAATCTCACCCGGTGAATGTTATGAATTTCAATTGATTGGTTTTGATAAAAATCTACTTAATGATCTGGTTATCATTTAGCTTTTGCCATTATTAAATTGTAACAATTGGTTGAACACTAGAAGTTACCAGTTTATTAGTTGATTGTAATCACTTTAGTATCTAATGTTAATCATGTTAATGATTTAATTAACAATCAGAAAATTTGTGATACTAATGTTTTCACTAATTTGCACAACAATTAACTGAAATTGTGACTATTTTATAAAAAAAATTGAGCTGTTCAAATTGAAAAATTGATTCCATTATCTTTTGTACAATATTAGGATCATGGTTAACATTATTCTGGTGATTTCTAAATGATCATTGTAATGATAATTATCCTTTATCACAATTATCATTAATACATTTTAATCATTAATGGTTAATGTTTATGATTAACTTTAATATATAAAACTGATGATTACGATTCCGTTGATATTGACCTAACCCATGAAATGATTGAAGAAACTGTTTTGATAACCTCTTAATGATAATTTAGTTTTCCAACCATGAAGATGATTAAATTTCTTATCATTAGTTATTAGATTAAATTGTTAATCTATTATTTGATTCATTGGAAATGATCAGTTATCAACTAAACTCAATTGTGACAAAATGAGGATATGATCCATTTCTACAGGGAAATTGTCTCCACATTTCTTTTCACGATTACTTAAACACCCACCCGATAGTGTGTCCATATTGGGCCTATGATAGTTTGGCCAATACTTGTTTGTCACATTTCAATGTCAAGGTCATGAAGGTTATTCAACAGGCCATACGCTAGAAGGATTTTTTGAAAACGTCAAATTTTGTAAACCAACTTATGAAGTTTCGAGTCACTAGTGTGACAAACAACTTTGACATAGTGCTTAGACTAAATCAAGAGCTTGTGAAAACTTTTTACAGAAAATGAATCAGCTGGAAGCTTTTGTCTGGAATTGAATGAAGGTCCATATGAAGGTCAGATGAGTGAGATATAATTTCTTCCTCTATTCTCAGCGCTCTAACATCTTTTAGGTCACTTGCAGATTTGGTGCATAATTTTGTCACTTAACCCTGAAGATTACGTTTCTAGGCCCAATTCCACTTTTGAACTGCTGTTGACCATTGTTCCAGGTATTTTTGCACATTTTCAAGTCAACTCTAAGTCCACATTTTCGAGCGAAGTGGTCAATCACATTTTATTTGAAAGTCGAAACTGTGAATCAAGTAATCAGTTAAATCACCATTCAAACAGAACATTTCTCTAAATTTTTAACAAGTCTTGTTTTCTTTGAGAGCTGCGACCACAGAATTGATCATGGGAGCTTGGGTGATACTCAATCGTCATATTTTATCATCTAGATTATTCTGGTCATTCTGTTAGGACAAGATTTTAAGGTCATTTGATGGTCAAAATCAGATTTGCATCACCTGAGATTTTCTGTCGCAATCTAATGTCACCAAATCATGTGATTACCAAATTGATTGTTATCTGTTTGCGAAATCAAAGTTAATCCCTTAACAAATCCTGACGAGATTAAGAAATGGATCAAATTGTTTGTTAGTTATCAAATGAATCAGCAAATTGTGGTTTCATCAAAATCAATCCAAATGAAAAAATTGTTAATCTAAAGGACTTACAATTGATGGTAAATAAATTATTAAAACAATTAACAATCATGAATATAAGGAGATGATCAATATTAATGTTTTCCATTAAATTTTTAGCGGTGTGACAATTTAAATTTATTTTTTTTTTCCTAATGAAAATGGATCAACTTTTATATCACTTGATTTCATGGTATCATCATGAATCCATTAAACTTTAATCATTCATTTATCATCATGTTTACATTCAACTGATGATGATGATGATGATGATGAATTGAAATGATCAAGAAAATGATGATAGTGACAGAGATGTATCTTCATTATCATTATCGTTCATCTTCATGAATCAATCTTCATGTTTGAATGGATGAGAGAGACAAACAAAAAATTACACCAGGAAGTGAATTCAGTTTCACTTGAACTGTTCTGAATGCACTTTAACACATTTTCACATGAAATAATATGGACAATGAATGGTTATCATCCTTCATCATGATACCTTTCAATGTCCAGTTTTAACTGGACAACATTTCGGACAACAATAAGCTAGCTGATTGATGTAAAATCTTTATTATCATGGTCATAATTCAATGGTCAGTTGATATGATGAATTGTTTTTAATCATTGTACCAACTTTTAATTCAATTTAATTTATCTTTAAAAAAGAGGATTAAATTTAATTGTTATTCTTGAAACAATTATATCGCCATATATGAAACTTTTTTCCTTTGCTGAAACCAAATTAAATTTAATCTCAACAATTCAGATACCTTATTGTTTTATATTCAACTTGCAGGTCTTAATTGTGATATCATATCAAATTAGTGATTAGCTTATTGTAATTGGACTAATTTGATTGTTACGATGAGGAGAAAAAATCTAAATTAATCCTTCCAATTGATCATTTAATCACTCAAAGATATGACCAATATTATAATTGATTATCATCATTATCCAATCAATGTAACTATGGAAACACAAGAGTGACAAATCTTAATCATCTTAATTGTTGACAATCAAATTAATTACACTTGTATTGCCCAATTTTAGTATTAATAATTTAATGAAAAACTGTTAGAAAATGTAAACTAATTGATTTACCTGTTAAATTGTTGTCATAATGATAAAATCTAATCATCAATTGTGATCATCAAATTAATCAATTGCCCAATCAAGATGATCATCATCAATTATAATCATTGATTGTCATTTATTTTCATTTGCAAATGATAAATGTCAATACTAAAAGATATGAGACAATTTAAAAGAAACAAAAAAATAACGTTAATCGCAATAAACTTTGATTATTATTCAGCAATTAAGGTTAACAATAAAAAAAAACTTGCTGACAATTGATAATTAAATTAAAACAATTTAACTTGGTAAACATAAAAATTAACACAAGAAATTGAATCGCAATTGACAAAATGTAAACGCCAAGGAAAAATTGATTATAAATTCAAATGATTTCATGATTTCTTTTCATTATTGGGTGAAAGTGGTTCCTTGTATTTTTTGTGTTGATGGTGTTCACCTCTCTCTCTGAACCCACCCCACCCCGTACACCCACCGATACTGATGATGGATTATATTACATTGGAAACCGGATCTGGTTTCATTTCAGATCCATTATATTCATTCATTCATTCACAATCATGATCCAAAGTCTATTAGTTACCTTTATATTATTATTATTATTACGATTATATTAAATGTAATTCAGTTGCTTTTTCATCCTCCTCATCTTTATCATCCTATTTTATCATCATTTTCATTTTTGTTTTTCTGCAAACCTCATCATCATTATCATCCTATCATTTTATCTTCATGATAAATATTATACAAAAGGAAAGTTTATTCCGAATTGAACTGAATTCTGTTTAAAAAGTTATTCCATTGAAACATTTCATATATTGGGAGACAAAAGTTCAATCAATCCAATAGTTTATTTTACTTATCTGATAATATTATTTATTCTAGATTCTGGATTCATTATCATCATCATGATGATATAATTCATGATGATGGAATAATATATTCAAGAATTTATTTATTCCCATCTATTTATTCATGGTTGATTATCATTCATAGTAATCTCATCATCATGTTTATCGTTTACATCATGATTGTCCATTGATGACCAATGGATAATATTATTTGTATCATTATTGTTATTTGATTATCTGTTTGGTATTTAATTTGATTGTTATCATTTCACTTTTATCATGTAATTGACTTTTAAATGAACTTTCACTTTGACTACTCACCCAATTGGATTTAATTACAATTAATATATTATCATTATCTAAGTGACAATTATCACAATAATTGTTTCAACTCCTTTTCATTTGCAAATACAGAGAGAGAGAGAGAGACTCATTTGACAATTTTAATTATAAAATTAAGTTTATTGTCAATTCTAAATTGTGATAAATTTTTCTCCATCAAATTCTTGATAATTAACAATCAATTTAATCTGATCATCCAAGTAAATTTAAATTGTTAATCACCATCGCAACTGATTATCTTTCAAGTTGATCATGATTATCAAATGGTTACTATTGAAACATTTATTAGATTCATTTGCTGGATGAAAGTTAATTGTTGGGGTTAAATTACTTTGTCAAGATCAGTTGATTGGTGTAACATTTAATTAACAACATTTAACATTGATGATTAACATGAATTCCTAAAATTTTTACACCAATCAATTAATTGCTATCCAAGAATTCAGGAAATCTCTAATAATAATTAATAATTCATGGGGAGATTTAATTTTACCTTGATGAGCTTTTATCATGTTGATGTTTTAATTTAATTTCTTAATCATAGATTGATATTCATTCACAATTAACTTATATAATCAAAGTATCAGGATATTAATGGTTAGTTGAATGTCTGATGGAAACTTACAATTGGTTGTTACAATTAACTCTACAATTAAAGTCATGGTAATTAATTAACTGATTAATAACAACAAAACAACACCAACCTCACAACAATTTATCTTAGTCAAAATGATTAACAATTACAATGAATAACATGATTCAAGTGATTAATGTTAGTAAATTGTTTAAACTGTACTAATAAAGCATAATAATAATTTTAATTGTCCAAGTAATTAGTTAATTGTTTCACCTTAAACTTGAAAACTTCAGAATGAATGAAAACAAACTGTGATTAATATTCTAATCACTATTCTAATAACATATCAATAGATTTCTAATTTAATTCTCTCTTAATTAACAGCTAAACACTCGCCTGAGGCCACATTTCGAGGACAAGAATTCATTTACTTTAATAACATTTCCAAGTCGATTTTAAGTTCATCGGATGAAATTTCGTTGTACTTTAAATCGCGACAATCAAATGGCCTATTATTTTACGCTGGTGACGGAATCTCTGATTATCTTAATTTAGCAATTAGAGATGGAGGGGTCACCCTGTCAGTTAAATTGGGTAACAATTTATCCGAACGAATTGTAAAACCAGCGAGAATCCGATTCGACGATAATCAATGGCACAAAGTTCTAGTTCATCGAAAAGTTCGTGAGGTAAGAAAAGTTTTCTCGTTCTTGTTAAAAGTTCGTTAACCATTTAACCTAATTAATTGTTCATCGAATCATTTTTTTACCTTAATCACGACACTATTGATTACATTAATAATCGACATCACAATAATTGAATTAGTTGATTATGTTGATTTACATCAATAACTTAGTTCGTTTTCCTTTTGATAAAATTGATTATTATTAATGGAATCAAACAATTAAGGATTCTGATTGATCCGATTAAACATTTTTCATAATAATCATTAACTGTTGTTAGATTTAATTGTTTAATTGTATTTATCTCTCTCTCTCTCTCTCTTTTTCTCACTTAATTGCTTCCAGATGAATCGTGCAATCAGTTTTTGTCATGTAAGTATATTAACTAATTGTAACAATTTAAAATGTCCTCTTGTTTACAATTGATTTTTCTTAATATTATCCAAGTTGATTGTTAATTGTTAATTTCAATCTTGCTTATTACGATGAAAATTGACAGCAATCAGTTTGTACTCTGTCTGAAAAGTTAATTGTTAATGAGAAAAAATTACGAGAAATCAAGTAATCGATCTAATCGGCAATTACATTTGAAGACGACCAATTTTTGTCATTTAAATTGTTCACCTTGATTGTTTCCAATTAATTATGACCATTCAATTGGTTCATTGGTTCAATAGTTGAAGTATAATAATAATTTAAGACAAAAATAGTAATAGAAACAATCAGAAAAACGTAGATTTGATTGTTAAAAGAAGACACAATTAACCAAGTAAAACAGTGTAAAAAAAGGTTATACAATTAATATTATAATGTGAACAATTAAATTGATTGCTTGATACGCCTTGTTTTCGTTAATCATTAACTATAGACCATTTAATTGTATTATACCTCATTGGGTATTGGATTTGATTGTGACTCTTGTTGATTATCATTAGATTAATTTACCTTTTCCACCATTTTGTATAATAATACAAACCAAACGTTAAAACAATTCTCATTAGGTTCATTAGATTCATTATATAATTTAACCATAATCAAGGTAATTGTGACCTCTAATCAAACTAACTAACAATTTCATGATAATCTTTGCTCTTCTTTTACCTTAATCATTACGAATGATGATAAGTTAAGTTAATCAGTAAATTACTTTAATTCACGCTAATAAAACAAAAAGGAATTAGATTAATAAAAAAAAAACGAGAGAAAATCACAATTTACTCTTTCATTCATCCTCACTCATTGCCTATTGTATTAATATGAAACCACAATAACATTATAATGATTACAGTTATTATCATCATCATTACTATTATTACATTGATTATAGTGATTATTAGCCAATGGTTCACCATATATAATGTATTATCTAAGAGTATGTTTGTATATTTATATGTATTGATTTGTTATTGATTGATGAAAACATTTTGCATTTCCTATTGCTGTTGATCATTGTATTAAATTGTATCACTATCACCATGTTATTCAATTATTGTGTTATGATATATATCACTTTCCTTTCCTGTTGATGATGATAACTTTTGTTTCTTTCAGCTCTTTACTTTCATCATGATTGTGATGATGATGATGATGATGACGATGAAGATGAAGATGATGCTTGATGAAAGTTACTGCTCATTTTGCTTGATAATATCATCATTGTATTGATCAAAATGTAATAGCTTGAAGCTTAATATTTTTTAGTTTCTCTGTCTTTTTCTGTCTTTTTTTGTCTTGTTTTCTTCATTTTTTTTGTCTTCCTCATCTTCTCATCCTTGTTTTCCATTGTCTGTCATCACATTTCAATTGTTCTCTCTTTCTCAATGATATCTTAATCGTGATTTTCATTCATCTAGGGAAACTTTATATGACGAATACAATATAATATCGGTAGAAGATTTAACTTTTTCTTCTTCATCTTTTCCTTTTCCTTTTTTCCCTTGTTTGCTTTTCTATTGGATTCTTTTATCATCTTTGTGATTCCTCATTTCGAGAGATTCAAAGATATCATCTTCTATTGCTTTTCCATCCTCGTGGCTTTTTGCTTTTTCTGCTCCTTCTCATTATTGGCATTTATCTTCATTGTGCTTTCCATTTTTTTCTTCTTATTCTTGTTCATCTATTTTTTTTTCTTCTCTTGTATCGATGTCATCCTTTTCTTCATATTTATATTCATCTTCATCTTTCCTGTTTTTCTCATTCTTTCCATTCCTTTTTCTTTCTTTTCATTTGTATATATTTCCAGTTTTCAATAACCATTGATGGTGTTTACACGGAAAGAGGTTCAACTACAGGTTCATTTTCCCTATTGTCCAGTTCAATACTTTTTATCGGAGGAAGTGACCATTTTGAACAACTTCCGGGCTCAAGGGTACAAAGCAACTTCATTGGCTGCCTTAGGAAGGTAAGTTGAACATTATTACTTTTATCATCATCACTTGAAAGTGGAAGAAGCATTAACATCATCATCATCATCAGTAGAATGGGAAAAAATCAAAGTATCTTCAAGAAATCTTCTCCTGTGTAAAGAATAAAAGAAAGATGAAGATGGAAAGTAAAAAGCACAAGGTAATAAAAAAAAGATGAGGAAGAGAAAAAAAATGAAAGTAAATTGAAAGAAAGACTTTTTTTTCTCTTTCTACGAATTTTTTTTTCTGCTGTCACAAGATGAATTACGATTTGCTTGACCAACCATACCAATGATCACCCATCAAAGAGGGTGGGATGAAATTTCGGACTGAATGAATGAATAGAAAGAAGCAAAGACAAAAGGTGGAAAGAGTCGCTTGTCATCTTGAAATATCTTCATCATCTGATAAACTCTAAATTGATAACAGAAAGAGAGAGAGAGAGAGAGAGAGAGAGAGAGAGAGAGAGAGAGAGAGAGAGAGAGAGAGAGAGATCACTAGAAAGTGAATCACTTTGGGTTCGATTTTTTCACTCCCAGTAATTTACTGTATGTGAGAGGAAAACAAAGTAAAAAATGGTTACAAGATGTAACTCCCTGTAGATAGAGTTGAGAGAGGAGTGGGTAAGGATAAATCAGATGAAGGAGGGATAATAATTTCATTTGGTGTGAGTGAGAGAGTAGGAAACATTTTCCACTATTACCAATCAAATGAAATTCATCCAATAAAGTTATAAACATCCCAATCAAATCAATCACTGAATACATGGGGAGTAATAGAAAAGTAAAAGGGATGATGAACAAGATGAAAGGTAAGGTGGATAAAGGAACTAACTTTATACTAATCTCTTTGGTAAAGGTAACTTAATCTCGGTTACACTTTCATTATTTCTCATTTTATCTCTTTTCTTTTTTTTTCCTTTTGTCTTCATCCAATTTTATTTACCTGTGTTTCCTTTGGGGTGGAAATTTTCAATGTAAAGGTTGAATTCATTGGAGATTCAATGGTTCTGGATATACTTGATTTAGCTAAAAGTGACCTCAATTTGTTACAAGTAAAAGGAAACATTGTCGACTCTTGTCAGGAAGTTGAAGCTGCTGATCCGATAACCTTTACAACCAAAGACTCATTTCTAGCATTACCCCGGTGGGAAGCGATCAAGGGAGGCTCATTGTCTCTTAAGATACGAACCAATGAACCAAGTGGTGTTCTCATGTATAGTTCAGGGAAAACTAATGGAAATAGTTATTCGACACCTTCCGTCTTGTCTTCTTCATCGCTTTCATTTTCTTCATCCAGTTCTAACTCTGGATCGATATCAAATCAACCACCAAGTGATTTTTTTGCACTCGAATTACTTGATGGGCAAATCTATTTACTACTCAATTTAGGTTCTGGACCAATTAAGGTAAAAGCATCAGCTCGTCGAGTTGATGATTCTCATTGGCATGTGATAACATTACTTCGCACAGCAAAATCAGGCCGAGTGACAGTTGACGATGCAGCGGTTGATTTTGTCACTCCGGGAACAAACAATCAACTTGATCTGGAAAGTCCACTTTACTTAGGTAGTTTTGGTCCCTCTTTGAGTAAAGCTTTTAATGAGGTTCCTCCGGAACTTTGGGCTGGTTCATTAAAATATGGTTACGTTGGTTGTGTACGTGATTTAGTTCTCAACAATCAGGCCATTGATATCGCCTCATTTGCCCGTAAACAAGATTCCGGTTCTGTGAAACCTTCATGCCATTCATTGCCAAGTCACTGTGATAAAAAACCTTGTTTCAATGAGGGTATTTGCATGGAAGGATGGAATCGATTTGTGTGTGATTGTCGAGCAACGAGTTACACCGGACCAGTTTGCACCAAAGGTAAAATCTGCACCTCTTGAGAGTTACAGCTATTTTCCCCTCGATTCCACTTCCTGTAAAACTCAAGTTTCCGTTTCCAATTATGATAATTGCATAAAGATATTCACCCACCTCTGTCTCTCTCTCTCTCTCTCTCTCTCTCTCTCTATCTTTGCCTCTTCAAGTCTTCCTCCAAGTAAAACCACTTAAAGATGTATCTCATTTTAGATGACGGTGGGTAATCTATTAATATTTTGTGGTGTGATCATCATGCAAGATAAGAGTCCATTAGCAGGGAGGCTTTAATATATCACACACAAGAAATCCTTTTTTCTGCAGCCTCTTAAATCGCAATTGTAATAGTTTCCATGATGATGATGATGTGTTATTATAATGAATGTTAAAAGGAATGATAATGATTCAGATAAATATTCACATTAAGAGACAAACCATCAAAACAGTTTCTGTTTCATTTCCTACAAGAGAGAGAGAGAGAGAGAGAGATCTTATTCACAATCTATGAAAATTGACGAGCTAAATTAGTAGGTGATTGTGATTATCATGAGAGAATTAGATGATGATGATGTGAGGTAATGAAATTCGTTTAAATATTCAGTATGAGAATATATAATAACAACCAATCAAGACGATCTGAATCAAATATAAATGAATTTGTAAATGTAATAAATGTTCAAAGTTGTGTTTCTAAAAGTAAATGTAATGTTAATACACATTACGAATAGATGATGATGATGATTGAGAGAGAGAGAGAGAGAGAGTGATGATTGAAGAGAGAGAGATGAGAGTAGAATAAAGAGAGAGAGAGAGACTAAGAAGAGAATATCTAAATGAATCATTGAGAATAAGATAAGAATATCATATATATGAGAAATGATGATGATATGAATAAAAATGAAAATGAATGAGAATTTAATAACAATTGTCGATATGAATAAAATAAGATAATGATATTTAGATAAGAATAGTTGTGAAGTTGTGATAATGAATAAAGAGATATGAAATGAAGAGAAATGATATTGTGAGAAAGAGAGTGAAAGAGGAATGAAAGAAAGTGAATAAGATGAGAAGATTAAAGATGAGATAGAAATGAAAGATGAAGAGATAATAGAGAATTACTTTAAAGAATATATTCATTCTATATCTTTGAATAATTTTACTCATCAAGATATTGATTTTCATATCATTTTTCATATTTTTTGATCATTCTCAAGTATTATTGATATCTCAGGATAAGGTGATAAAAAGATACAAGAATTTTCAAGTTTTATCATGACAGAATTTTCACTTTGGTATTTTTGTTATTCTATTGTTCTTATCAAGATAAATGTGAATTACGAGAAAATCTTTTTGATTAGTTTTGATTTTTATTCTTTTTGTCTTATATCCTTTCTGCCTTCTCACTCTGGTTTACTCTCTTCTATCAAATTATTCTCTGTGAACTTTCTTGAATAAAAATTCCCAAGATGCCATATAATGTATGCACTAAAAACTGTAACTTACTCTTTCCTTTTTCCTCCTCTGGTATCATGCATACGAGTTTCAAGCTTGAACCAACATTCACAGTCAATCGCTTCATTTTACCTGTCAGTCCTTTACCTTTCTCACTCCCAGGGTATGAGGAGAACCTTTAAAACTAAAAGCAGTTAAGTTGGAGTAAAGGTGGGAAGATGAATCTGTAAGAGAGAGAGAGAGAGGAAAATATTATTATACCGTTTACATTTCTATATGTATCATGAACGGAAGCTTATCTTCCCTGGAGTCAATCTATGAAATATCCATCTTATTAAGCGAAATGAATCTATCTTGAGTTCTTTTCTTGGAAGGTAAAGATGATGATGATACTGATGATGAAGATGATCAAGAGAAAGAGAAGAAGATTCATCTTTTCTCTTTGGAGCTTCTGTTCTGTTCAAAATTGTTTTGCATCGTCAACAGAAAAAAAAGAAAAATAAACTAACGAATCTTTTTGAGGTTCTAGTTTCGCCTTTTAAACTTTAACCCTCCACGGTTTTTGAATTGATGGAGAGTGGGGATAGTGGAGTTGGAAATCAGAGAAGAAAAATTGAAATTCTCTTTCACCTATACATTTCTTAGAGCCATTTTTCTTTTTTTTACTTCACGATTTTCTTCCTCGCTGTGCCATCATAATTTGTCTTCTTGATTTTCTAATGAATTAGTTTGATTTTCTTCTTTCGTTGGGTTTCTTTTTCTCTCTCTTTAGATTCTCTCTGTTGATACTATTTATCGTTATTGTTGTTGTTCCATTTCTCAAGTTGTTTTCGACTCAAAAACCAATTAATTGAACAGAGAAAGAGAAAAAGTAAAACAGTCTCTTGAATTTTTTCTTCACCTTTACTCTAGATATTATCTAGAACTACGATTTTCTCAGTGTTTATCCTCCTTCTTCTTGTTTTCTTCTGCTCCTCTTGATCTTGATTTTCTTCTTCTTATTCCATGTTTTCCGTTTTACTCCTCTCTTTTTTTTATATATTCGTCTTCTTTTTGTTCACTTTTCCATTTATATAAATGTTCACATATAACAGAAGAATCAATGACTCCCAAGTACCAGGTAGAAATCGCTTGACTTCATCTTCAAATTTCAGCATCACTTGAAATTTACCTTTTGTTTTTTCTTCTCCATTTTACTTTTTTCCACCAATATCCTCCTTTATCCTTCTTATTTCCAACTTCCTTTTTATGACTACCATTGAAATTTAATACTATTGTTAGATGTTGGGTTGAGGTGGTAACAAAAACAAAGGATCAAGAAGGATTGGTGACCACTTTCTTCCCTTCGTGACAACCTTTTTTTTCCTGTAAGAGAAAAGAGGAAGAAGAAAAAGTAAATTAGAGTAAAGTTCACCATTTAAGTAATTGACATTATTTCTCAATTGTTGTTCAATTTACATTGAAGATATAGTTACCTTTTCTTTGAATTCTCTTTTCTTTCCATGATTGATTGCAAGGTAACAATTATAATCAATAGTTGCCCAAGAAAACGTTTACTGTTTAACCAAAAGTGTATTCACAAACATGACAGAATCAACATGGAAAAGAAATTATTTGTTGTTGAGATGGAAAATAAACTAAAACGATAAGAATACAAAGGGAGAGAGAAAAAAAGACAATAGTTATGACAAATGAACCATAGAAAAAAAATGACATGAAAGATCAAATAAAGATAATGGTTATTAGATTAAAATTAATACTTAGTCCAATGTTGAGATGGAAAAATATTGACGAGAGAATCGTATTACCATTAACGCAACGTAAAATCTGAATAACAAGTGGAAGAAGACTGAAATCGAATTCGATAGATGAACAGTTCTAAACAAATCACCTTAAGTTAGTAAATTGTTGGTATCAACTGTAGTATTTAATAGTAAATCCAAGGACAGAAGACAAAGAAACTAAATTTACAAATGGACATGACATTAGGCACGAAAATTACTGGTTTGTAATTTGAATAACTTGACCAATAATACAGTTAACCAGTCTAATGATAGTAACAAGAATCATCTGTAAAATTAGAATAAAACCAGTGATTAGTGAAATAAAGACACAAAAACATTGGAAATAGAATTAACTAAATCAATGGTAATATAATTTGGAGAAAAGAAAAACAAAAATGTAATCATATAGGAGAATCACATTAACAATGTTAAAGAGATGAACAAATAAAGGAAAGGCCTAAGAGATTATAAAGTAACTTGTTAAAATCTTTTCACTTACATTAACATTTGACGAATTTAATAAGATTTAAAAATATGGAGAATTAACTGATTCCATCTTGAATCAAAATCAAAAGTAAAAATAAAAGAAAATAATTTAATTAAACTGATTTCAAGTGAAAATTAATCAACAATTGGAAACGAATTTAAAAAAAATTCTAATCAGTTTCTCTCAATTAAAGTTAACCCACTAGATGGCGTTGCAATAGAATTTCAGTTTTTTCTCTTGTTGCGTTGACTTGATTGTTTATTAACATGTTTTCTTTTTTAATTAATTGATTAATATTGGAATTTGAATCAACTTATTTGTGAAAAAGTTCGTATACAAGTGTTGGTAGAACAACTTGACACCAAGTAAGTATCAAAAAAAAAACAACAACAAAACAAACAAAATAGGTAGGACCGCATGGTTCTTATCTTATGATTTATAACATTGAACGTTTAGTTCATAATTTAAAAATTGAACGTTTAGTTCGTAATTTAAAAATTGTTCCATTATGGAAAACTTCTTTATTGAATACCCAATTTTTTTTCTCTTTCCTATTTATCTGAATATGTAATTTTGGCCTCAGGGGCACTTCGAGATTTTTGTAATCCATGATCCTTTCCCTCCTTTTTCCCTCTCCCTTGTACGGTTGTCACTACCGGAAACGATGAATTTTAATTCATCGAAGCCTCCCCTGAGGCCGCTGTTGAAGCTTAAATAAACTTGAGAATTTTTCTTTGATTAAGTTAATTGTTATTCCTTGTTAATTGTTTTTACTTCATTGGAATAGTTGATTAGTTTATTTTTTTTCTTCTAGTTAATTTTTTCTAAATCTTTGATTTGTTCTACTTTACAATCTGTATGATACTTTGTTGATTTAATTTCCTCTTGGAAAGGGTTAATCGTTTCCCGAGTCTTTGTGTTTATTTGGTGACAAATTCAAATGGTGGTTTCATGTTTTTATTGATTTTCTGGCGAGCTTTTCTAATTGTGATTGTTTAAAGTGTTTCTATCACCACTATTATCATTACCTTAATCGTTGGTGTCGTAAACTGTAGCTGTCTGACATTGAGAATCTTCACATTTTTACTTGGAAATCAAGGTATCAAAAAAGAGAGAAAAGAGAAAAGAGAATTGGAGAGAAAAAGAAAATCAGTTGAACAAGTAAACAAAAACATCTACTGTTGATGGTGGAAAAAGGCTCGAGAACATCATGGTGAAAATCTTTTATTGAAGAAAAGGAAAAAAAATCCAACAGAAGAAGATGGTTTTGTGATTGCTGTTAAATTGGTTTTGTGAAAGAATCATCTTTTTTTGTTTGCTGTTTCTCTCTCTCTCACCTTTACTTTACCCTGTTGATGATTTAATTCATCATCATGTTGGATCATCTCTCAACCATTAAGTCAACCAACCATTGACTATAAGAGAAACGTAACTTTCGAAAATTAGATGACAACGATTTTTTTCTCTTCTCTCAATCTTACAAGACTCAATTCGTTCTGGTCTCATCACCATCTTTAGAATATAAAAAAAAACAATCAACTACATATTCACAAAGACACACAGTCAACAAGCCAGTTTATCGTTCTTATCTCAATCAAAATTGATCCTTCCATCATCACTTCCATTATTTTTATCGTTGTTATTGTTTTACTACAAGCAAAGGGAACAAAAAAAAGAAACATAATATACAGCAGAAAATAATATCTGATTGAAGTTCTCAAATGTTTTTCTCCTGTGGAAACCCCAAGACTCAAGGAAGAGAAACAGAAAAGTCAAAGAATCTTTTCATTTTTATTGTGCTCTATTTTTGTCCTTTGTTTCACAACTGAATTATTTCAGCATCAAGTTTACATTAGATGAATTGAAATGTACATTATTACATGAGAATAACTGAAAGAACTCAGTTAATATCATATCTAATCATAGAAAGAAGATATAAAAAGCTGAGCAGAAAAGTATACACCATGGATCCTGTTGATAGTATTTTATGAACTACGATAAAATATATGAACTTGTATGGAAAGAACAAAAAGAAAAGAAAAAAATGATGAATGATGATAATATTAGACAAAAACAACGCCGCTCCCTGGATACGATGAAAATTCAGTAATATTGGTAATATACTCAAAAGTTGGAATCGTTGGAACAATTTGAATAATTTGAAGCATTCAGGATAAAGTTGAATCAATGTACCAAAAGTGAAAAAGATGATACAAAGAAAATCAATGCAAATCAAGGAAATGGCGAAATGAAGAAATGTGAACAAATTACTGAATTTCCGTGAAAAGACTTATGATTTTCGATTCCGCCACCAAGTTAAATTTCAGAACAACATTCAAAAGGAATGAGTGAGCCGAGAGAGAGATTGAAAACAAGAGAGATGATTGTTACACAGCTCATTTACAACGAGTTAACTTGCCACATCCATATAACATTTCCTGTCTACCATGACTATCGGCTTTTTGCTGAACATTTTTTTCCTCTTGATGAAAAATCCTTCGAAAAATGGGAACCATCATCCATCTCACGTTAAACCATCCGCACAATGTTGCAAACTTAATTTTTTCTATTCTATTTTACCTTTTTCATCATTTTCTCTCTTCTCACTCCAACAATTTTCCTCTTCCCTTTTCTTCACCTTAACCATCCCACCTTTTTGGATTGTTTCATTATCGTTATCATCTCATTTTGTCTCCTCTCTCTCCCTCTCCCTCCCTTTCCCTCTTTCTATTTGAAAGAAAACTCGAAGGAAAATGTTAGTATCAATTTTGAGATGATAGAATTCACTCCAATATTTGATGGGTTTCCCTTTAACTTATCATGAAAGTTGCATTGGGAATCGAGTTTAAACTTGCAACACAAACTATTATCTTCATTTTAATCTATTTTCATGATACAATTTATCAAAATATCATTGTTACCACCTCACTTCCTCTTCCTGACTCGCCTACTTCAACAATTTAAAATGTTATTATCATCTCTCTGAAATGATCAGCATGTTCACTTTTCATGTTAACCCTTGAATTGACTCTCTTTCCCTGTTCACATGATATATATACATGGAAACCCTCAGTATATTTACAAGACATAAAATCTCAATTCAATGTCAATTCCTGGACAATTGAGATTGTCAATCGATACATAATATAACCAACAAGAGATACAAAAGTTTTTACATCATTAACCATAAATACTGATTAAGTATAAAAGTCAATTCTTGATTGAGTCAAAATGGTTTTGATTTCCAAGATGATAGTTAACCATTCCCAGAGTCCATAGTCAATATTGTTTAAGTATATATATTATATGTTATATAATATTATAATAGAGAACAAGAAATTACAGTTATATGTATTAATGATAATATCATGATAATATAACAGTATATTAAGTTTGCCACTATATATTAACACTGATTGAATCAGTGAATGTTATTGAACATTAATCTTGATCAAATAATCATATCAACTCAAGCCCACGAAACCTTGAGGCTGAAAATGATAACATTCATTGGTATCAAGAATATAAATAGTCCACTGAATCAAATCTTAACACTTTCTACTAGATTAATTAATACAATAATGTCAATCCATTAATCAACCAACTAAATCTGCTAAATAACCTTTCCTATGATACAACTTAATTGTCACTTAATTGGTTCTAACGGTAAACTTAAAATCCTCACTCAATCCTTTCAAATAATATCTCAAAGTAATCACATCTCAATTGATTCTTTTATCATTATAATTTGCTAATTTTTTTTCTCTCTCTCTTAATTTACCAACAATTAACCTAACAATCAATAGATGCAACTACATTAAACTTTAATGGTGAGGATTATATGTTAATTGACCTCGGTGAAGAGGTGACCACTCAAGCAGAGGATCTTAACCTACGTTTCAAGACAACAACATCGACCAGTTTTTTGTTAATGGCTTCATCAGCTGATCGATTCAGTTCATATTTAATTATCTCCCTTGAAAATGGTCGTCTCAAGGTGACAATTAACTTAGGCGAAGGTAACAAGATAACCTACATTGGTAATGGTTTGGGAAATGATCGTTGGCATACAATTCGTATTCACCGTCGTGGACCAAGTTTAGAGGTTAAATGTGATTCTGATAATGTGATAACTGAACTTACTGGTCAGTTAATTAATCTTCATTATTCTAACCTTGTAATTGGTTCTTATATTGATCTAAGACCTGGAGCAGTTCGTCCTTCAACAATGTCCACTTCAACTGGTCACAATAAGGAAGCTCCTAATTTTATTGGTTCAATGCAAAACTTAATTCTCAATGGAAATGATTACATTGATTTAAGTAGACAAGGTATTGACCTTAACTTTACAGTGACCGCTACTTACGGTAAAAAGGATGGTTCAGTTCACCGACCGATAACATTTAAATCTCGACGAACCTACATTGGCCTTCCACAATTAAAGGCCTATTCAACGATGGCCCTTTACTTTCAATTTAAAACTAATCTGCCCAATGGATTAATCTTATTCAATGGAGGGAAAGATGATGATTTTATCGCCATTGAACTGGTCGCTGGTCAACTTCATTATACCTTCAATATGGGTGATGGACCTCGACGAGTTAAATCATCAACTCGATATTCACTTAATGATGGTCAATGGCACTCGGTTGCTGTTGGTCGACCCTCTCTTGGACAACACACCTTAATGGTTGATGATATGGTTTCGTCTTTCACCAATAATGGTCCCAATTTACACCTTGATTTAACTGGATTACTTTATCTCGGTGGATTACCAAGTGAAATGTATTCAACATTACCCTCTTTGGTTGTTTCCAATCATGGATTTGAAGGTTGTTTAGCCTCATTGGACTTTAATGGTGAAACAATTGACCCAACAGGATCAGATGCTGTTGTCAGGTCAACATTAGTGTCCAAAGGTTGTTCTGGTGAAGGGTCAGTTGAATGTTCACCAGGTATTAAAGAGGATGGTTCATGTGATTCATTGATTCCTCTTGGTTCCCCTGTAACCTGTATCCCTACAGATGACTGTCCATGTGATGATAATCAATCACCATCATCATTATTACCAAATAAATGTTCATACTCTCTTGGTAAGTTTGCTAAATTTACATTTACAATTCAATCAAGAATCACAATAATCAAAGTAAATAATCATAGAGAAAAAAAGTAAAATTTTTCCATTTACAATTAATGTAATTTAAAGATAGAGATTGAATCGTTTTCAACTGAACAATTTACCTTAAAACTTTCATCCATCATGAACAATCAATTCAATTGCTATCAACAGATCAAAATGATCAATTTCAACTGATTTTGACTTTTTCTTTTATTTCTAAACTTATCAGAGAGAAAGAAAAAAATCATCATGATAACCTATCAATTCCACTTTTTGTTTATTCTCTCAGAGATTCTATCACAAGGAGAAAAATGTTGATTGAAGTTTATCAACGAATCCATTTCAATGTCAAATTCATGTATAAATGATGTTGTTCCAAGTTCTATGGTTATCATCATGATGATCCCTCCTCCTGTCTATTTATCTGTCTATTACTTTTTCTATCATCTTTCTCCCTCCATCTCTATCTCTCTCTCTCTCTCTCTCTCTCTCTATTCTCTTTCATACCATTGGTCAAAATAATATATATGTAACCTTTATCATGTCCATTCTGATGGAATGTAATCTGAAAGAAACGATTGGAATGATTATAAAGCAAATAACATGATATTACGGCTGCTAGATTACCTCTCGTCATGACGATTCACTGTCAACAGAGGAATGAGAGAGAGAGAGAGAGAGAGAGAGAGAGAGAGATGAGAGATGATGAAGATGATGAAGATGATGAGAGAATCAAAATCCAGCATGAATGGCTCACAAATCTCTATATAATGTTACTTGGTTGTCAGATTAAATTTCAAGATGAGATACTCATTGGAATTAGGCAGAAATTATGATTTATATCAACAACAATTTGAGATAATTTGTTTAGAAAAAGTTGATTCCCAAATTGAGTTTGATTATTATTTAATTACGATATTAAATTGAGATGAGTTACAACTTTTTTTTTCTTGCGATAAATTTAACTCATGATTTGTATGGTTGATGCAAAACACTACATTTTAAATTGTTGAGTTAAATTGTTGGCTTTGTTTACTTAGTTTAATTTTGCTCCAATGAACTTGAATTTATTTTTTCATTCACTTTAATCTAGATATTAATTTGACTCTGTGAATTTTAATACTCTCAATTTAATTTGCTTCACTTAATGTAAATGAATGAATGAGATCTGGTGGTTTTCCTATTATCAGGGTGAATTAACTAATCTAGTTAATAATTGCAATTATCTATTTCCATATATATACTAATCAAATTGTCATTAAGAGTATGATTGTTGTGGTGAAAATGTGTTATTTGAATTGAATTTAACTTACTTACAACTGAATCAATTTAATTGCTATCATTTGATTGAATTTTCATTTCGTTTTATGACAATTTTTAGGCTGATTGTTTATCATTAACCAAATTAAATTGATCATTTTTGTCAAGACAATTTCATCTGAATTTGATTGATTGTGATTGTTTTTAATTCTTTTCACCTTAAAATAGATCAGAGAAATAAATTGTTACAATTACTTTCATTTTGACACAATTGATTCAGTGGGGAAACTAAATCTAAGTTGATTTACACTCGAGTTAAGATGATGAGTTTCTGATTTTCTCTCAGAATTTTTATTCGATTGTTAAATTTTTTTCTCCTTCTCTTAAAACACTTTTCTTGTTATTAACTTGATTTAGATTGTTACTTTGATTTAGAATGATAAGAAAAAGTAATCAAATCAAATTGTAATCACCAATTTTTTCAGTTTTTACAATTAACTTTCATCCATTTCCGATTGAAAATCATTGAAAACATTTTATCAAATAGTTCAGTTGGTATGATCATTTCAATTATCTCTACTTTGATTATCTCTATTGGATCATCTTATATATATATCACCTTTCAAGGTCACCTGTTGTTATCAGGTCGGAATGACCTTGAAATCCAGAATTCAAACTCCTTCAATTCCCAAAAGTCCACGGCCAAAGTATCGACTCGTCAGGTCAGATCTTCGAAGCCGTCAACTTGTCCATAACTGTTAATTTATTATTGATATTTCGTTTCCAAACTTAGTTGACCTTTACTAATTAACATTGATTGAAATTTCCACATTTTCTTATTAAAATCAACTAATTGTTGAAAATAAAGTAACTAAATCGTTAGAACTGAACAAAGACAATGCTGCCATCTATTGGTACAATTTAAAGATAATCAAAGTAACTTTTTAATTTGTTTGGATATTTTTGTTTACCAGTTAATTGTGATGATTGTTTTTGATTTTGATTTTAATCTAATAATTGAATGAGATATTTTAATGTTTACCTTTTTTTCTGGTTTTAGGAAGTGCTTCATATAAATGGGGATCAAAAGGAGGTTTAATTTTGTTTACATTTCCTGATAAAAAGTTGGATACAAAAAATGATCACATTTCGATAACTTTTTCAACTGAATCAGATAATTGTGTCTTATTTCGTGTTGATAGTGGATCAAGTAATGATTACATGGAACTGTCAATATTTGATGGAACCATCTTGATGGTTTACAATCTGGGAACGGAAGATCATGACATTGGTCAATTAGATGTAAAGGTGAACGATGGTAAAGTCCATTCAGTCCGTTTTACCCGAATCGGGCCCAATTCAACAATCCAAGTAGATAATCACAATTTAGTTAGGAAAACACCATCAGGTGGGAGACAATTAACTGTATTTAATAGTCATCATAAAATTCAAATCGGTGGTAAAATGAATACAGCTAAAGAGACCCTGGAGAAGCCATTTACTGGCATAATATCAGGATTACTTTATAATGGTTACCGTTTGTTAGATTTGGCAATGGAAACTGACCCAAGGATTGAGGTTAAAGGTGATGTACTTTTAGTGACCAGTACTGGTAAATCATCTCATAAAGAATCAAGGGATAAATTAGAGTCGCAAAATCAAAAGGTAATTAAAATGTCAAATCAATCGAAATTTATTTCTATTGTAAATCAAGTAATCTAATTGTTTTGTTTACTTTTAAACAGGAAAATCTCGGTGAAAATAGTTCATCAAACAAGGAAAACACTGATTCTTTAATTTTCTCAGGTGAAGGATCAGGAGATTGTTTCGATGGCAATGATGACGATGATGATGGTTGTGAAATTAAAACAGTTAAAGAAACCGAGATCGATGAGCTTATTACACCCAAATTAGTTGAGATGAGCGTTAAACCGACCCAATCAACATGGACAAGTGACCCTCGTTCAAGCTGGTCAAGTGTAACCACTGAATCTTCAGCAAGTCGTCCATGTAAATCTGATGTTGAAGATTGTTCTGGTTCAAATTTAAATCTTCCAAATCCTCCAATAAGCTCAACAATCGGCTTGACCAGAGAAATAACTTCAACAAGTTCCCCGCAAACACTTGACCGATCATCAACTCCAACCAGTACAAGTATTTTTCCTTGGACGGAATCAGTTGAAAGGTCAACCTATGGATGGTATAAACATGAAACATCAACCTTGAACCCATCGAAATTATATCCGAAAATATCTTCACCGATCCAATATCCGCCGATGCGACCAAAACCTCAAACACCCACTCGACCAACGGGCAGACCTCCAATAATTGATGTTCCTATTCCAAGTAAACCTTACCTGCCAATGGATAAACCAAATCATCCAACGACAATTAACCAACAAGAAAAGCCCAAAGCTAAAACAAGCGGTCCAAGTGCCGATAATACCGCTTTGCTTATTGGCCTGGTTGCGATCACTTTAATTATAATCGTAGTTTTAACACCGATGATATTTTACTCATATATAAGATATCAAAATGAACGTTACTACAAAGAGCATCCAGTTAATGGATCAATGATTTCCAATGATTTAAATCGAGTTAAATTTAATCCAGTTACCGGAGTACCGACGATTATAACCAACGAGGTTGATCTTGATGGTTCTAATATGTACCATGGGTCATCTCGATCAAATGTATCTCACATTTTATCACCAGAAACAGCGAAAAATTCAAAAAAGAAAGACAATCGCGAGTGGTACGTGTAAATCAACTAATTGTGATTTAATTGTAACCACCAAACATCATTTGGTTTTGGAAGAAAAAAAAAATTCAATTCTGTAAATATCTTATATTTATTTTCTTATTGGATTGGAAGTGCCGTAAACTTTTTCTTTTGCAAACTAATCAGAAAATTAAACGATATTTAATCACAAGCAATCAAAGTCTACAATTAAATTATTCAACTATATTCCCATAACAATTTACAACACCAATTAGACTTAATTGAATTGTCTTATAATTAGTGGTGTGAAATTAAACGATTGCTCCTGATTGTACGATAAAATCGCGCTAAATTGTTACCATAATCAGTGTTGATTACTGTCTCATTAGAACAGTTAAATTGTCACAATTAGTTCACTTAACTGTGAAATTAAATTGTGAACATTTTTCAATCTCAATTAAGTTAAATCAAGAACAAACAATAATTGCTAATAAACAAATTAACTATCGTAATGAATTTAAATTTGTAGTTTAATGAAAACAAATTCACTTAGAGGTTAATTATTGTAATCTAATTATTAATTAAGTTAACTTGATCATTTAGATTGATCAATATTATGGAAAGTTAAGAGAAAATCTTTTAATTGTTAATCTTTGATTATTTTCTCAGTCCATTGATTGATTGGTAAACGAAAGGATAAAAATACTTTTTGTTTTGGTTAAATCTAATTATGGAAAAACTTTTATCACAATTAATTGTGTTTCTAAATACAATAGATTCCGTGATTGTTGAATTATTTTTCAATTGGTTAGAAAGCTTTTGGTTTCATCTTAACACTCAGTTGATTATCATGATTATCATGACAATGAATATCAACAGGTAATGAGGCTTATTAACACTCAAGCTAAACCAAGTGTGTGAAAGAGTCAACATCATGTATGATAATATCACTGATGATGAAGACAATGAAGATGAAGAAGAAAAAAAAATTGTAATTGTTTCAAGTCAGAAATTCAGTCAGTAGAGTGACCTTAAACACGCTGGGCCTACGACGATTTGGTTCCAGTAGCTTGGAAAAAGTTCATGCTAACGAATCACCATATTGATATTTAAATGGTTTCGAGAGTGATTTATTAATGTCCACTACTTAGCGATGACCATCATCCCGATGAGAGGAAGATGAATAATTATAATTTCATAATAAATATTCAGTGTTCTTGAAAAAAGGTCAATTGAAAATTAGGTTGAAGTTATATAAGTGGGAGGATGAGCGTTAAATGGTCAAGCGATTTCATGATGAGAGGAAAATTATAATAATAAAGTTTTCCTGAGAATCCTGATATTTTCATGATTAACAATTCAAACAATTAGATGCCTGTTGATTGAAGATTAAATAACAATTGACAAGATGATTGAGAATCAATTTTTTCTGTCTTCACTTTTCATTGAGATTGAAATTGTGAAATCAATAATAATAATAATGACCAACAGTCAGTTAGTTTAATTGTAAACAATTAGTAAACAAGTTTCTCATCTTATTGTTGTCTAAATTGTGATGATGTTAAAAATAATTAACATTGTTTACTAATGAAGATAATGATGATTAAGCCATTTGAAGGTTTACCAAAGGTTTTCTGGTTTATGTTCAGCTTCATTTGTCAACAATCATCAATCAATTTTACAATTTAGTTCCAGATGATATGTGTAGTTTTATCATCCTCATCCTTCAGGCATCATCATCATCATCATCCTCATCATCATCAACTTTCATCTTCATCCTCATTATCCTGTGACACCTTTTCGGCTTTGACACTTATCCTTGTTTATCGTTAAATCTCCGGAAGTATAAATTCAATGATTGGAAACGATAACCTGATCGTAATTGAAATATTCCGGATCAATAAAACATTATCATGATTGTGGATTCGGTTGATGGAAATTTTCAACTTTTTAAATTGTCAAACTTTCACTTTACACCATGTTGATTGTTTCAATTCATTTGATGACAAAAGAAATTTAATTTAATAAAAGATTTGTTGTTGTTATTATCTTTCTCCCTCTTCAGTTTCCTCATGTAATCTCACTGAATTACAATCAATGAAATTCAAGTGAACCGAGATTACAAAAAAAAATTGAATGAACAATATTAATTAACAACAAGTTCATCAAATGTAAAGATAATAACGTGCAAATACATTTAGCTCATGCTAACAATTTAATTAGTATTAACTTGTTTTGATTAACAAAAACTTTTTGTTATTGAATCAAATAGTTAAGGTGAAATATAACAATTAAGGTTATTAGTCCCTTTTATTGTGATGATATCATTTCTTTTCATGTTTATCCTCATCACTTTCACTTTTATCATTAATATCATTTGAATCTCACTGGTGATATATTGTTGTTGTTGATGATGATGATGATGATGGTGGTGGTGGTGGTGGTGATGATGGCCTCTTCCATCCGGTCCTCTGTCAATAAAATTAACCCCAAATTCAGAAGCCATATCATTAAGCGTATCTCATGTAATTATGATGCTATTTGATGTTATTTAGATGATGTTGTTGACTGTTGATCATCATGGTGATGAGGTGGAGTCGATTAGGAGGAAACTGTAAGAGGAAATAAGGAAAAAAGTTCAGAAAAAGTTATCAACATGATTACCAGAATTTTTAAGTTAATTGGAAGAGAAACAATTTAAAAATTTTATGTTCATTTGAATTTTGTTGTTTTTTTTTCATTACTTGCAATCATTTTAATCAATGTTTGACCGCAACTGATTTAAGTCATGCTATTAAGACGAGATTGTGATTGATTATAATCATCATCAGGCTTTCAGATGATTCTTGACTTGATTGTGAAGTTGGAAAACAAAATTTTCTACCGATAATTTAAATTGTGATGGATAATTGGAATTGATTAGTTGTAATGGTCACTTTTCTGGTCATTTTTGTGTTGTTTCCAAGTCCTTCTCATGTGAATTAGGCTTAATTGTAATGACCTAATCATCAGTTGATTATCGTCTTATTAATAGATGTTGATTAACTGATTGAACAGGATAATTGCAACAGGAAGATGATCATTGAAGTTTGAGTGTTAAACTGAATCACAATTAACTTAACCATGAATAATTTTGATGATCAGATGAATTAACTGTGAAGATATAAAAAAATATTAATACAAAAATAAATGACTAATGATTAAATTAAGATAAATAAACCATAACAATTAAAGAAAATCCAAATTGATGACAAAACAATCAAAAAGTAATAATAAAACTACCAACAAGTGATTAGTAGTTGTTCAACTAATTTATTACATTAATTTGATTGAGTTCATTTATGGTTTCATGAGTTTTCAATTGTTTTCATATATTAAATTAATTGTTTCTCGTTCAAGTAATTTAAAAACAATCACAATAATCGGATTGTCAGACTGATTAAATTGCTGTTAATTGTGATTAGCTTGGTTAATGATTGGACCTGGAAAGGTTTTTTTTTTGTTAACTGGATTACATTGGTTTAATGGTCGTAAATTAAAAACAATCAACTGATTTAATAACTGAAAAATCAGCTGATTGTTGCGATATTACTTACGAAAGGAATTATTTATATTCGAGGTTCAACTAATTAACTTGGAATCAAATTAAAATGATTAAAGCCGAAAAGTGTATTAAAAGAAAAGAGCTTAATTGTGACAGGAAGACCAATTGATAAATTCAAATTAATTGTTCACAATTAAGAAAGTAAAGAGCTGATATTAGGCCAAGGTTTTTCTGGTTATTATCTTAATGATAAGAGGCCTGGGTGAGTTATAACAATTTAAACTAAATTAAGTTGATTCATGATTGTGAATCATTTCTGTTAATTTAAATCAATCAAATTAAATCATCATCATCATTATAATCAAGAGGAAGAGGCAACAAATAATAATATTAAACAATAAATCATATGTTGATAGTATTCATATGATATGAAAAACTTTGAATGAGAAAAGTAAATTGTTGATAATAATTTGATTTCTTTTCATACTCTAGGGTTGGTGATTAACAGTGAGAAACAATTAACTGATTAATTTGTGATATCATATTATATTTTTTGTTGTTAATTCTAAACAATAATGATAATCATATTAACGATAATTAAATTGAGGTCAAAACAATGATTAATAATAAACTAATAACTTTTTTTTTTCGTTTAATTGTAATAATCAATTGAGCTTCGTAATTCATTCATAAGCTTTTAAAGATTTTAATAGTTACTGTTATAACCAAGGTTTATCTCGTTACGGAATATAAATTTGACACTTTATTTATTATCGTTTAATTATGATTATCAAGTTGATTGTGAAGAGAGAAAAAAAATTTTGTTCGTTACTGTAAATAGTATATACCTTGATATGGATTAATGTTGTTGTTGTTATTGTAAATTGTTACTCTTGATGATCATGTTGATTGAGTTTCATGTTGATGATGCTCAGTGTTTTGTATCTCGCTTGTCAACATTAACGGATGACACGTTTTTTTTTCAATTGGTGAAATTACCTGATTGATGAGAGTGAGTGAGAGAGAGAGAGAGAAAGTTTTTGATAGTAACTGTAAAAAAAAAGGTTAGCCTTTAGTGAATTTAAATGTAGTATCAACAGAATCTTTTACATTCACCTGTATTTAGGACAAAGTGAAGTTAAAATGTTCAATTGGAAATGTCTTGTTGAGATGATGCCTTGTTTGTGATGATGAAGGTACAGGCTCAGGCTCACGGTAGGTTGACTTTTGATGACAGGGAAGATTATGTTTAAATAGAAAGATAAAAAGAAAGAGGATATTCGATGATGATGATGATGATAATGATGATAGAAACCAAGGTTGTGCTTAATAAACGAAGGGGAAACCAATTGATGATGAAAGTTGTTGTTGATGTTGTTGTGTTAATGACGTTTTCCTTTAACTGTTTCATATGAAATCTCATTCAAAGAAATACCTTTTTTACATTCTCTACATGATGGAATTGAAAAGAAATGAAAAAATATTAAAATTGTTTACTGGTTGAAATTTCATTGAGTTGAAGTAATCAATTCAGTTGTTTGTATATTAAGGGTGTGGATCTTGTAATATGAACATTGGAAAAGTTTTTACCTTTGAGAAAAATCCTTGTATATGTAACCATGGACGAGAGTAAATATAATAATATGAATGGAAAGGATAATTAATCGACTAGAGATGACACGATTGATGACAATTGGAAATTGAACAAGAGCTAATTGAGTGAAATTAGAAAACTGATTGGAGATTGAGTTGATTGTTTCACTTTGTTAACAATCAGCATCTGATTATCAGATTGCGAAAATTAAAAGTGATAAAAAAATTGAATCTTTTCTTTTGGCGGGTCATCCAAATTTGTTTTTTATTTCCTCACCTAAAGAGAGTTAATTGTTTGTTAATCAGTTGTAATTTTCATTTTCTTAAATTGTATTGAAAAGAAAATATTAAGATTCTAAAAGAAAATGGAAGATAAAGATGAACAATCAGCTGATCTAATTTACGTTGTTTTTTTCTTGTAAATATTAACTGTTTCTCTTGAAATTATCATGTGAATTCTGTAAATTGTTAATCTCTGGACAATATTGCCTACAATTGGTTAATTCTCGTTTAATTGTGATTAGTGGTTGTAATAGTAAATAACGTTGATTAACACACGCCCTGAAGTGGTAATATTCATGATGGAAAGAGAGTGAGAATGAAGAGAGAGAATGAGAGTGGGAGAGAGAGAGAGAGAGAGTTCCGACTCATTCGTAAGTTGAGTAACTTGAATGAGAATTATATTCACATTTGATATTGAGTTTCCACCACGAATATTTCTCAATCTTTAATATTCTTTATTTTCTTTCGTTCGATTTGTTTTAATTTCTTTATTATTTTTTCTCTCTCTCCATTTACATCATAATTTTTCCTTCTTTTCTTTTAACTCACCTTGATTCTATTTCTTAAAGTTTTTCATCGATTCTCATTCTTTCGGTGTGTCTTGTGTTCACCTTTATTGAACACACTCATTTCCATAGGAATATCATCAACGTTTTATCATCACCATCATCATCTAATTGTTAATCATGGTTGTTATTTATACTCTAATTGTTTTACTTACCTATTCTGTTTATACAATTGAAGGTAATCCATTGTTACAAGGATGTGTTTTACAATCATCTCTCGCCATTACTGAATGTGAACGCGATATCCGTTTCCGATTTGGTTATGCCAATAATACTGCCACTGATTGTTGTGTCTATTGGGGTTTATATGATTGTTTCCAGGATGAATTAGCTCGTCGTTGTCCATCTGAACGTGTCAACGATTTAACCCGATATTTACATGCCGATCATACAATTAAGGTGACCGCTGATTGTAAGCGTTTCCCTTCACGATTCTGGTGTGAATTACACTTCATTGGATTCTGGTTCAGCATGATATTCATTATATTGGCGATAATTGTGTTCATTGTGATTGTTGTGTTTATTGTTCTGTTCTTGAAAAGAAGATTTCTCCGACGAAAGGACCATCGTCGACCATTGACCACAACAATTAACAATGCAGCGAATAACACTAAACAATTAAGAACCGAAGCTCCTTTGGCTAATAGTAAAATCGATGATCTTTAGATTTTCAATGTCAACAACAATTCCAATTAGAGATTTTCTCAGTTATTATCATTACAATTTACCTGCGATTTTCCAATTTTACATATTATTATCAATTTTATCTGATTAGTTTTAATTATGATGACAAGAGACAAGCAATTAATTCATCTTTCTAATTGCTGCTTTTTTACTGTTTCAATATCATTATTAACTTTTTTTTTGTTCATAAGGAAAACACAATTAACACAATCACACACATTGGAAATATAATGAAGCACAACTTGTCTCAAACTACAACAATTAACTTCATCAAGTCATCATCATTTATAATACACAGTAATTACCATCATCGTCATCAGCATCATCATAATCATCATCATCAACAATTATCATTTGCCATCAATTGACAACAATTCACCATAATCAACATTAATCATTGAAAACCAATCAATATCCAAGTGACCTTAACAGTTTGATCCCTTATTTTAGGTTTTTTTTTTCTTGATTGTTACAATTACCACATGAACAAAATCAACAAATTGGTCAATTTATTACAATCCCACCTGAATGAAACTTTGATTGTGATGTGACAAAAAAAAAGTAAATCAACATGTTGATTGTTACAATTAAAAGGATGGAAAAGAGTCCCAAAGGTGATGAAGAGGAAGATGATTATTAACCATATGAATACAAACCAACCTGATGATGATTAAGTTAATTCTTGCCGTTAATTTGCTACGATTAACCATCAAGCAATCGCCTCACAACAATCAAAGTTAATCAACGACAATCATTAAATTGCCCTTTTTCATTACAATTAAGAGTCTTCTCTAGTCATCCAAAGATTCATCATCCATTGTTATCATCGTAATCATCATAATCATCATCATAATTTAAATCATAATCTTAATCATCACCAATTATAATTTAGAATCCAATATAATCTTAAGTTAGTTAATATCCTTTTTCCTTGAGCAGGTCTCGTTAATCAACTAAATCATAATCATAATCAACTTTTTTTTCATTACTTTCGAAAGCTTTAATACCAAAGTATTTGTATTCCAAATGATTAACTAATTGTTAATAATTTATATTCACAATTACCTTTTTGTACTATGTAAGGTCAGGTCATCGTTTCTGTTTTATGTTCAATTAGTTTCAAACTTTTCAATATATATTGATGATTATGATTATGATTACAATTATGATTATGAAATTGTTAAATTAAGAGAGAGTAACAATTAATATTCACAATTTATAATCAATTCATTGACTTAAATCTCAAATTGATTGTCATCAAATTAATTTTTCTCCCTTTTTCTTGTACAATTACAATTCCAAATCATCATTAACTTTATTATCTCATCAGTAAATTTTGGTATTAATTGTTTCGGTCACAATCAAGATCATCTTAATGTTCATCCCAAAGATAATCATCTTCAAGAATCACAAAAGATACAAATTAATTTAAATTACAATCAGAAAAAAGATAATCAATTAGGAAAGATTACTTTTAATTGTTTGGACAATTAATAAAAAAAGGAGAATCAACTTTTCTCATTGTATCTTTTATATTAATCAACTTTTGCTACAATTTAATTGACATTAACTTTTTTGTATCATCAAACAATCAACATAATAATATCAACCCAAGAACAAATTAAATATCAAACTGCCCAACAATCAACGAAATCACAGCAATTAACAAAAAATGAACTTGTTTTTGTATTTCTAATTGTGAACAACAATCAACCACAATATTTATTTGTCATTGAACAACAACAGCAACAACAACAATTAACTAATTGTCACTCCTCTGCCTTATAAATTCACAAATAAAATACAAAATCAAAAGATGAGAAAAAAACAATTGACAAATATCTCGTTCAATTTATTTACCTTTTCAACAATTAGTTGATTATCCAGGCCTAATAAACTGTTATTTGAAACCTTAATTTAGATATGATAAAACATAGAGAGTAGATTAATCAACCAACCATTAGTTAATTGGTAAATTAACTTTAAATTAACTGTAACCAAAGTGATTAAATATGATAATCATTATTTACCTTGGTTCCTTGTTTAATTGTCTGGGTTTTAATTTCTTCCAACCAGAATTAACTTATAATCATAGTATCTGATTGCATTGACAATTAGTTGATTAGTTAATTATTAATGGTCAGTTAATTGTGTTAGTTAACTTTTGAAAAAGTTTTTCCATTCTAATTGTAACTAATTATGGCGCCAATTTCATTGATTCGTAAATTGTGATTAAGACAAAATTAATTCTCTTATTACATTATATTGTTTTCCTTTCCTCTCTTAATTAAATTAACCTTGATTAACTATTTATTATGACTAATTATATGTCTCATCATCGACATCACTGATCAACAATTAACTTTAATTTGATTGTCAACCATTTTCAATTACAATGGTTAAGTGTAAATGTATTTCTCCTTTGGTTTCCTATTGAGCAGTAAGTTTACAATTACAATTACGATTCAATTGTAAACAATTATTACTCATTGATATGGTTTTAATTGTTAATTATCAAAAACATCATTTTGTTAACCATTTATGGTTAAGTTTGTATATATACACTAGGGAAGTGAAATTAAAGTTACCTTAACAACTGAATTAAAATAAATTATGTTGTAATTATCTTCCTGTGATTTAATGTTATTTAGATTTAATTTGATATGGTTAATAAGGTAAATATTGAGTTAATTGTTGACTATTGGACTTTACCTGTTGATTAGATTTGTAAACTTGTTAAAGTCACAATTTAATCAAATTTACCTTTTCCATCATTGGTTTTATATTAATAAATTTTTCTTTATTGGTGATTAATTAAGTTAATTGTCGATTATGGTGATTAACTTAATCACAAACCTTTCATCAAATAATACAAATTATCAAGTTAATTAATGAGATACTTGTTCAAATAAGTAAACAAATTGGCCTTTTCTTTTAATTGTTATCATTAGTTAATGTTTCAATTGTAAATTAAACAACAATTTAACTCTTAACATTTTGATTACAATTTGATATTTAAAACCAACATAAACAATTTACCATTTTATTTAATGTGGGTTAATTGTGAACACTTAGTGGTAAAAAAAAAGGTAGATTACCTTGATTACAATTAGGTTTAAATTGGAAACCAAATTAACTTAACAATTTACTTTCTATTATTAAAGATATAACAATTTAAGCTCATATTTAAACAATAATTCAATTGTGATCATGATCAAAATGAATCTTCATCGCTCATGATTAATTGTTGATCAAATTCAGAGGAATCAGTAAACTTTTTCTTATCCACTTTTGTAACAATTAACTAATTCCTCCTTCTCCTCTTAATTACTTTCTACCATTTTAATCACCAACAAGGTTACATGATCCAAATTAAATGTTAACTGTTCCATAAACATGAACCATTTAATCAACAATTTGAAAATGATTCTGTTGTTCAAACTAATCACAATTAGAAGTGTTCCCAAACTAAATCAAAAAGAAAAGTCTTCATAACAATCAACTAATCACAATAACAAGACAATTACACAATCCGGAAATATGAGGCTTAGAAAATCAATTTAACTGTTGACAATTAACAATTTTTTAAGTTTAACATAAAATGCAAATCAAATTGGTTGAAGTTTAATTGATTGATTAGAAACATGCAAATCTATCTTTAAATTGGATCCACAATTAAAGTTAATTGTGTTAACAATTTACCTCTCTGTTGGGGTGGACAATTTGATTCCTAATCAAAAGTTAATTGACTAATTGGCGGGATAATTAAAGTTTTATCACAAATAATTATCACTTCTTGTTAATCACCCAATCAATTTATTACAATCAAGGTAAACATATAATACAATCATAACAATAACAACAATTTAATCAGGACAAATTGTTAAACTAACATAAAAGTTGCAATTTAAATCAACTCGTAGCCCCAAGGTTGTCAAAATTAAAGATTAGCAAACAATTTAAGTTAATTTACTTTCCTTTCTTGATTGTATTCATCATCTATATTTCATAATTTGTTGATCAACAACAATTTACTTAATTATCACCACTATTACATATTAATAATATGCTAATTGTAAGCAAATCTCAATGAAATGATCAACTAATTACTGATTATGATTCTTAATTTGGATAAAACTTTTGTTCATCACAATTAACTTTAGATTCACAATTGATTTTATATGTAAAACTTAATTGTGATCACAATCAATTTACTTTCGTTTTTACAATTAGTTGATTAACTTTCATCTCTACCTTTTGTTTTATACATTTATTATATTTGATCAATAGTCAATTGAGATTAATAAACTTTGGTTGCTTAGCTAAATTGTCCAGAGTTAATTAATATCAATTGTTATTGTTTACAATTAAAAATGATTATATTGTTGACCTTTGATTAGATTGATTAGTTAATAAACTTGTTAATTGAAATAATCCTTAATTGCTGCAAGGTTTATGTTAAATTGTATTATGTTGACTTGTTGTTGTTGATTGTTGTGTTAATTAATTTTGATTAACTTGAGATATTTGATTCAATCCTTACGGCAGTTAATCAACATATTGTTTTATATTGCAAATGATTTAATATCAATTTCAAGTTTACTTTAATTTCTTGTTAATTGTTGAGTAAATTGTGTTTTTAATCACCAATTGATTACCGTTACAATTTGTTTTCTCAGTGAGTCATTTTGATTGTGATGATTTAATCATAGAGGAAATTGACTTACTCATCTTAATTGTAATCATATTGTTGTCATCTTAATTGTCAACAATCACTTGACAATCATACATGATATGAATAACATTTAATCATGGAATCATCTGAATTAATCTTATCAACAATTAACTCTATCATCTTTTTATCCTTTAATTTGTTTACTAATTTTTTTGGCCATTTAATGATAAACCAGTCAATCAAAATGATTTACATCAAATTAAATTAACTTTCTTTCGAGTTGATTTGTTAATAACAATTAAGCTTCTCGAAAAATTTGATTAACCAAAAATAAGGTTAGGTCAAGGTAAACATTTTAGTTTAAGGCTGAATAATTAAACCATTTGATTGTTAATTAACGGTAATCAAAAGATATGCTTGTCATTGAGAGTTAATTTCAAAAGTGACAACAATTAGCTTCCCATTAATTAGTTAATTGCGATGAGAATCAAACTTAATCAGTCGTTGAATCAAAATGATGAAAAAAAAGTTTTCCAATCTTATTGATTATTGATTATTTTTTTTCATTCTGATTTCAATCTAAATTGTTAATCAATCAAGGATTTTTAATTTTGATTTAATTGTTGTTCACCAAAAAAAGAAAGGCTGAAATAACATTGAACAATTTAATTTAATTGCCAACAATCAAGTGAGAGGTTATATATTGAAAATAATCATAATTTGCGTCTGAATTAACTAATTGTTGATGTCACTTGTTAATTCAATTGTTGTTTTTAATTACTTAACCTTGATCATTTCAAGTTGATTAAAAATAGTAACTAAAAACAAAATTGAAATTGAAATAATCAAATCAATCAATTTCACTGATTAGTTAATTAAAACTCGCCAATAATTTAATCAAAATTTACACCTGATTGTAACTGTTGATTTGTAATTTAAAATCAATTGTTGATCAATCAACGATATTACAGATGATTAAGAAAAGGAAACAATTAATGTCACTCAATTCTTGGTTAGTTAATTGTGTAGGCGTGATAACTAAATTGTAAGTTTTATGAAAATCCGATGATGAAAACTGTTAATTGTTGTTCAGTTGATTGTGATTAAATTTTATTATCGTGATGACAATTTTCAAGGATAAATTATTACCAATTGTTTTAAATCATATTAATGAATGAAAAAAAGGGAAACTTGATTAACAACAATTAAACCATTGATAATTTTTTCACAGAAAGTAAATATAATTAAGTTGGTGACTTTTTCTGTTTATTTGGACAACAACAATCAGTGAGATTTAATTTAGCAATTAAGGTTAACCTTAACCGAGAAAATTAAATTTCCAAGCCGATCCCTTAATCTAATTTAACTCTCTCTCTCTCTCTCTCTCTCTCTCTTTAATCATTAATTGTCTTCACTTTTACTCATCATTGTAATTAACTGTTAACATGCAAACAATTTGATTCCTTGTTTGATTGCTAGTTGATTAATCAAATTGTATTTACACGAAATCCTTTCGTGATTAACTTTCTCCTCTCATGTTGGCACCATCATTGTTTGATTATCTTAATTATCACAATCAAACCTTAAAATTTTTACTTTTACTTGTTAATTAACTAGAAAATGTAAACTTAATTAGCGTTTCAATTTTTTTTTGGTTAAGGTAAATTGTTCAAGTGTCTTGACCTTTAATTTGAGTTATCAAAGTTAATTTGTTTTTCCTTGTCACTTGTAATTCAATTTTTCATAGATAATCATTGTAAATGATTAACCAACAATTAGCGTGAACATGATAATCATCACAAGGTAAATTGTTTATTAAGTATTTGGTTAGTTAATGATTATAAATGAACATGAATTAAAGTGCAATTTGCAAATTAATACTTTTTATTTGATCAGTTTTGTTTTTTTAGTTGCTTCTTGTGTTAAGTTAATATTATGATCATTTTAATTGTTTAACAATAATAATTTAACAGTAACAACAATTTAGGACAATAACGATGATGAAAATAAACCATAATGATGAGTATTGACTTTAGACTACATTTTCTTTAGTCAAATTAAATTCAGGTTTTAATTGTTTTACCTTGAAATTCAAAGAAAAGCATCAAAATCTTTTGATAAAACGGTTACTCGTCTACCTGTCCAATCGGTTGCATTACATTTCCATGAGGATATTGCACATTTACCTGAGTGACATCGGAATAGTCCAAAGACACAAGGGTCAATTGAACAGTGTTTTTCGTCTGACTGGTCAACACAATCAAACCTTTGATCACAACGAGATTTAATTGGAATACATCGTAGCCCATCAGTACATTTAAATTCGTGGTCAGCACAGATCAATTTGTTTTCTTGATAAGGTTGATTGTTGACTTGATGGTTCTTATTGTTACTGTTGGTATAAGAGTTGAGATTAGATTCATTTGGATCAACTAGATGAAGAGGTTCACGAGTTAATGAGACCAAAGGGTCACTATGGTCAGAGGGCATCAGATAATGTGGAGTGTCCATTTTCTTTGGACTTGTTCTCTGTTCTAATGATCCATAGGGTTCGTATGATCGATCTGAGCTCGATGATATTGAAGAAAAGGGTGAATATGAATTGGCTTTAAATTGATTTTCTGGCCGAAAAAACCAATCTGATCTTCGCTTCGTTTCACCGATGGTGTTTTCTCGTGGCGTTGAATTGGTCTCTTTCGATGGATCTTTGGCCATTTCTTTTGGACATCGACTTTCATCATCGCCTCGAGGACAATTGGTTTTACCTAAACGTTGAAAAAAAAATCAAAAGGAACAAAACAAAATGAGAGATTAATCAAATGTAGATAAACAATTAAGTTCCATGGATGAACAATCTTATGTTTGAATAGTTAGTCAATTAATCATTAACCTTGGGGTAAAATCAATGAATTAGAAACTCAATTGAATCAAAAGAATCAAAAGAATAATTGACCACTGGAAAATTATTAACTCTAATTCTTACATTTAATTGTGGAAAGAATTAATTCCACTTGAAAAAGGATTGATCAGATTCTTAATTGCGATACTATTTAGAGTGAAGGACATAAATAATCAATGGTAAATTGAAGCTAATTTAACAGAAAAGGGTTAATAATTTTTTTCTGTCTACTTGTTAAGTGTTAGTTTCTTAACAATAATCACGATTATTTTTACAATTAGACATTTATGGTTAAAGTAACAAGAATTGATTGTTAATAGAATCAAGAGAAGAGAAAAAAACAATCATTCGAAATATAGTTGATTAGAAAAGAATTTGAATCAACTTGTTGTTGGAGGTTAAATTGTGTTGCTTAAAAACATTTCATTTCGTATTGTTGTTAATTGTTAATTGATCGTTAATTTTTACAGTCTATTTTGATCTTGTTGCTTTTTTCCTCAACTGTTCACTTTAGATCAACACACAAATACAGTTTCATTAAGTGAACCATATTTTTCACCTTTTAGGGACTATCATCAAATGGCATCTGACCTTGTTTATTGATGATGGTGATTGGTGATGGTGGAAATGGTTAGATTTTGTTAATTACCTCGTTTCCTGTTCCCTTGGAAGTAGTAATAATTCTAGATAAGAATTCATAATGGAAATTAAACTGAACCTTTTCCGGTAGAAAGAAACAAAGAAATAATTTTCAATTCCAAAAGATAGAAAATGTTGTTTAAGGTCCGAGATTTTAATCTCATCTTAACCAAAAGAGATTAACATTTTCCATCCGGTTATAAATTCTGACGAACTAATGACGACCAATGGCCACAACTTTACTATCAATTATTTGGTTCACATTTTAAAGAAATAATATTTTAACCTTAAAGAATTAATTGTAATCAAAACATTGGAAGAAAATTAGATTACAATTGAAAAAATTAATTTAGAAAAAAATTCTATCAAATCAAAAGAGAATACGATCTGAGCGACATCTAGCGAATCGAAATTCAAATGGAACAAATTTTCGTTTTAATTTTGTTTTTCTTTCTTTGTAAACAATAATTTGATTTATTGATTAATTGTTCTGTTTATTGGTTGTTAATTGTTATCTCTTGGGGGTTTTTCGTTTTAATTGTTGTTCTTTTACTGACTTACCGTCGCAAACTTGTCCAATTGGAATGCAAGGACCTTCTTCACACCGATAAGCGTCTTGAGAACAAGGAAGTCGCTCTATTCCTAAACAATGGTGAATCTCATCTGAATTATCTCCACAATCGTTAAATGAATCACAAGTCCATTTTCTCGGGATACATTTACCGTTGTTACACCTGAAAGCATCTCCACGACAAGAGTTTTCACACTCCAATTCATCTGAATTATCGATACAATCCTGTTGATTATCACAAACTCTCGCCATTGGTATACAGCGTCTTTGGTCAAGACAAGTGACCTCATCTTTATCACAAATCAATGTATCCCAAGCCGTTGAAGGCTCTGCAAACAAAAAAATTCAAGAAAATCGTTCAGAAGTAAAATTGTTACTCGCCATTGGTACTGTAATTAATTTCTTAGCAACTTGTTGCTTTTACTTACTTTTATCCAACAACGAAGACTCCGTTTGAATTGGTGATAAAATTACTACAAATAAACTCCAAAATGGTAACATGATGATATTAGTTGGATTAACTCAACAATTTATAATCTCAATCAACAATTACATTGGTTATACCATAAACTGTTACATTGTCTGATTAGAAATAAACTCAAATCGTTGTGGTTCTTGGAAATTATTGATTAGATGGTAAGGTCATATTGATAATATCTCAATCATCTCGTCAATTTATTCTCATAATAAATTAACCTCCTTCCTTAATTGTTACTCTATCATAAGATTAGATTGACTCCATCATCTGATTATGTTTTCTTTTATTTGTTAATAGCCCAACAATGGATCCATTGTAACTTCTAGTGACTTTTTTTATGGTATTTCCTAGTTACTTATGCGACTATAGCAACGATCAAAACAAAGTGATTAACTGAAGTTTCGAGATTAACTTCGGAAATGGATTAACCTTGAACTCTATCAACCTTGACTTTTACCATTGATGAAACAATTCAAGGTAATTAATTGCAAAAACAATACAGATTCTGAGATAATCTTTACTCTTTTGTCTCAACAATCAGTTTGTTACGAAATTTTCATATTCTTAAATTTTGATTATCATTAAGTTTCAATTCAGTATCAGGCTTACAATTAGTACAATTGATTCTGTTTTTAAAGAGTGTAAATTGTTTCAATTGATAAGATCATTTTACAAAATGTTGTCTTATTTTTGTTTATTAGTTATTTAGACAATTTAACAAAAAGAAATTACATTAACCAATTTAATTGACTCTCTACAAATACTACTAACTTCATGTTAATTTATCTCAGTTAATCATTTTGTATTCTAATGTTGACATCGACTAATTACAATTCTTGATCACTTTTTTTTTGCTTAAAGTGGGAAAAAAAACAATTCTAAACTAAAGCTAAACTTTTTTGTGAATAAATAATCAACTGAATTTGTCTAAGTCACCATGTTAGTTAAGTCAAATTTGATTGTTGATTTACTTTTTCATTTGATTTTCTGTCCAATGGTTTATGGTCCGTCTTCATTGTTTGCATCGAATGTTCAACCATTAGGAACATCAGATTCATTTCTAAACGATTATTACCTGGATTCTGGAGGTGATTCAAGTGCTAACGGTGCTCGTGATTCTTATGGTAACCAATTGTCCCAAGGATATCAAGGTTCGGGCTATCAGGCAGCCGATTCATCTGGAGGACGTTATTCATCTGGTAAAAAGGGACAACAATCACATTTATCATCTTCCAACCACAAACAATCTGATGGATCGTTGAAACACAGTGAAGGTTCAATCGAAGCGGAAAAAGATCGTGTTGTTAAACACCAATGGGATCGAGGTGGTGGATATGTTAAAGAATGGAATTGGGATAAAGGTGTTCACTATGAGAAAGAATCTGGTTCAGTGTCTGCTTCCGATTTAAAGCACAAAGAATCAGAGAAATCTCGTCAATCGGGTGAAAGGTCAAAAGGATCAGCTGGATGGCAAGAACATAAAAACAAAGATCATGAAAGACAGAAATCATCAAACGGCTGGGGAAAAGAGGGTTATCGTAACGAGGGCGCTAATAAATACGCTGATCGATATGGTTCCGATACTCAGGGTGGTTATAATAAAATCGGTTCCATCTCAGATGAACCATGGACACTGAAAGGTGAATATATGCCTCTTAAAGCTGCTGCTTCGGGTCAACCCTATGGATACGCTAAGGAACCTCCTGGTATTGTTAGGATACCAAGTCGACCTCACGGTTATCAACATCATCGTAGTAACAAAGGTTGGCCTGAGAAATCATATCGAAGGGACAAAAATGATTACAACAACAGTTTACGAGAATTAATTGAAAAGAAGTACATGCCGATTTATCGTAAATACAGTATGGCTGCGAAAAGAGAACGGGAAAGGTCTAAAGATCGTTCCAATAAGAAAAGTAAAGACGATGTACCTTATTACAATGATTTACGATTAGCTCTTTCGAAAGAGTTTCTCAAACCTCAAGGTCGCTGGAAATTAGGTCATCTCTTTGGTAATGGATTAGATTCATTCTCACCTTCATCTCGTTTCGTTTGGCATTGATACAGATTCCAACCAATTTCTTTAATCATGTGTAAAAATAGAAATTTTGATCAAAAAATCAACTCCAATTGAACCTTTGAGAAACACAGATAATTGTAGTTAATCAAAAAAAAACTCATCATAAAAATTAACGAAATCTTGAACTTAATCAACTCCATTAATCTCATCAGTTGATATCATGTTAATATCTCCATAAAACTTAATTTTTTAACTTCTCAACTTTGTAAATCAATGATTGATAAATTGTATCAATTCAATTCAATAATTAAGATGTTGTCAAAACATGGATTGAATTTGTTTCTCAAAAAATTTAAAACAATCAATAAATAAACACGACAATAAATAAGAACCTTATCCAGCCCCATTTCCATTATCATAGTTAATTGTGTAGAAAATTCATCTCCCAAAAAAAATCAGTTAATCATCTGATATTAGAATAATAATTTCTGGTTAATCAGTAAAAAAAATTTTCTTCTCAATTTGAAACGCGCTTCTTTTTGAAAGTGTAGCTTAGTAATGGAAACATGAATTAAACTTCCGTTTCCTATGATAAGATTTTGAGTGGAAATTGTTAACCACGGGTTTGCTTTACTATTTTGTTTAATTGTGAATTAGTTAAACTAATTAATCTAATAATTCATCATGGGTCGTATGCACGCACCAGGGTAAGTAGATGTGTTTGTAAAGGTATCGATCCATCAGGTCAATTTAGTGTCAAAATTATTGTTTCCAGCATTTGTTTTGGTGACTGTTTTCTATGTGTTCTTTTGATGGAAAAACTAATTGATTTCATTTACTGATGGTTCTAATATCTTTTTTTTGTAATTGTTTCCGTTAATTGTTTGAAGATCACTTTTTAATTTGGTTTCGTTTACTTTTTCTACAGAAAGGGTATTTCCCAATCAGCTTTACCATACCGGCGAAGTGTTCCTTCGGTAAGTTGATTTGTTTTATTGCCACTGAATTTGTGGTTAGTTTTTAACTAATTTCCTTTTTAATTTCTTTTTTCTTTGTTTCTCTTTTAGTGGTTTAAACTAACCCCTGATAAAGTGATTGATCAAATCTGTAAACTCGCCAAGAAAGGTCTTTTACCATCACAAATTGGTGTTATTCTCAGAGATTGGGATGGTGTTGCTCAAGTTAAATGGGTAACTGGTAACAAGATTTTGAGAATCTTGAAAGCCAAAGGATTGGCTCCACAATTACCTGAGGATTTGTACCATCTTATCAAGAAAGCTGTCGCTATCAGAAAACATTTAGAACGAAACCGAAAAGACAAGGATGGTAAATTCCGATTGATTTTGGTTGAAAGTAGAATTCACAGATTAGCTCGTTATTACAAGACTAAAAGAGTATTGCCCCCAACCTGGCGATACGAATCATCAACTGCTTCTGCTTTGGTCGCTTAAATTAATGTTAAAATACGAGGAAATTTGATTAAAAGTATTTCCATTTACTAAGCATCGCAAATCTAATCCATTAATCGCGTTGTTAAACCAACAACATTCACCCCTTAAGGAATTGTCTCTCTAACAATCGGATATCAATGAAAATTTCACATTTCTCAGCTGAAATTTGACAAAATAATTAATCTTTAATAAGCTCTTACATATTTATAATCAATTGTTGTACAATTTTGAGCTTCCAACAAAAACAAAATAAGTATAACACAAGCAGAAAGTAAAATTGTTCTCGGTGAACAGTGTGTCATGAATCTCGTTAAGATGGAAATTTATCCTTGATAATAGAATATAATTTACAATCAACACAAAGAAAAATATTTAATAACCTAATCTGTGAGAGATAATTAAATACTAGGTTTCCCATAAAGTTCTTTAGCTCTTTTTAGGAAACAATTAACAGTTTGATGGACTAATTGATCAAAAACAGTATGAGCCACCTTAGAATAGAAGACATTTCTAAATTCGAAATCAATGAAAAAATCAAGTGTACAAGATCGTTGATTACCAGGTTTACCATCACTAAATTTCCATTCAGTGATTAAGTGTTTAAATAAACGCCCATCGTAACATCGAGCCCGCACCAAATGAGGTCGATTCAGGTCAACATGTGAAGTATATTTTTCCACAATCATAGGTGGAAATCCAATGACTAAATCAGCTTTAACTAAATTAGTCTCTCGATGGGTAACAATTGATTTAGTACAAGCAGGTAAAAATAAATGATAATCTTCAACACGAGAGACGATGTCAAACAATTGCTCCTTAGAATAACCTAACAAACGTTTCTCTCGATAGGTTTTTCTGGATGAGGAACAAAATCGATGGCAGCATATTAACGGAGAGACAATTTTCACACCATATCGATTAATTATAATCATTTGGAAGAATAAATAAATCACAGAAAGAAAAAGAAAACTTAACAATTAAAATTAACTAAAATCTAAAAGAAAACAACAAATGTCACCTTCCATTCATTGGAAGGCTTAACTTTTTTTTTCTTCTAAAGGGAAAGTATAATAATTACGAGCTCGAAATTCGGGTAAAGGGTTTAGATTGATTTCTTTTTTTTCTTGATTCTTTACAATTAAACTTCTCATCGTATTTTGGATCAATTTTTCCATTGATTGTTTTTGGAATTTTGGTAATTGTGTTGGGATAGAATAATTCTATTAGAATTAGAACCGATGTGAAGAGAAAACAATGTTGGTGTTTTTTAGTTACTATTGTTTATTTTTCGGACATTGGATTTTTCTTTACTTTTAAACTAAAGGTTTATCGATTAACATATTCCAAATAAAATTTCGAATAACTGAAACGAAGGTGTTACATTAGGTTAGGTTGAACACTCGAGAGAGAGAATAAGAAGAAAAATTTTCACCAGAAAGGTTCAGGAATGAAAGAATCGCTTTCAGGTCGACGTCCCCAGAAATCTTTCATTTTCCTTTCACCTTCAAGAACTTGACGGATCCTTTCAACTCGAACTCGCCGGTGTCTTAAAATGGCTTTGGTGGCATTTTTACACTCGAAAAAATCTGTTCGAAAAGGTTCACAAGGAGCAAAACCTCTGGTTCGACCATAAGCTTCCATACATTCATTGTAATTGAGATAAAATTCATTACACAATTCAGACCGACCAAGTTTCGTACCAACAGTACGATATGTAACAGTTTCAGGCTTAGAAATCCAATCAGCGACTGGCATTTGAAACAGATCGTACCTCATGATTAATTGAAAAGATAAAGATAATCACCAAAATAAATAGTAAACAATTAAATATAATCAAAAATCTCAAAACCAAAATTGAATAGAAACCAAAAAAACATAAACAAAGTCACTATAAAAACGAATCGATTCCAAATCGATTTTTCTTAGAAAAAATAATCGATTTCGAAATTTAATTTTCTCGATAAATTTTTCAACAATTAAACAACAGCAATTAAATTAATCCTTTTCTGATCCATCACTAGTTTAGTGATATGATCAATTCCTCCGAACGTGTTTATAAATATGTGTTCATCTTTGACAATAAAACTCTTTGAACTTTAATCACTTTTTCGGCAAATTAGCTGATCACATTTACCGACCATAACCAAGGCCTCCGATTCCCGCTCCATAGCCGAGACCCGCTCCAGCAAATTTACCGAACCCACCGCCGAATCCATGGCCCCTGGAAACATGACGAGAACATGATTAAGTTAATTGGGATCAAGAATAATTGTTAATTACTCACCAGAAAGGGATACATGGATGGACGATTACAATTTTCTCCTTGATTTTTGATCCTTCCAGAAAATCATCAAAGATAATCAAAGTAATTAACAGGGTGGTGATTAAATCGATGAGTTTAACATTTAACTTCATCTTGAACAATTTAATTAATCCGTTAATCTCATAAGTTGATGGTGGTGGTGGTAGTTTATGTTTAATTGTTCACAAGGAAAACATTAATTTGATTAACTGTTAAAACTTCAACTTTTTTTAATCAATAACTTTGAATATTATTCAACTAAATGATTTAATTTATTGTTCACCAGGACAATTTATATAATCTGAGAAAATTAAGAAAGTGAGTAGGAAGTGATTAGTTAATTGTTAACTAGATTATGAATTATTATTGAACCAGTGAAAACTTTTTCCATTCAATTATTATTTAATTGTTGATAATCAATGTTTATTTTCATCTACATCGGATCACTGATCAACCCTTGAAGATTAACAAAGAGTTAATTAAAATGAATCAATTAATAATTTGATGCTCATTTGAACAATTTAAATAACAAAATTACAATTTAATTACAATTAATTGTATTCAAATTTCAACAACAATGAGAGTCAATTATTAATCATTAACATTTAACAACAATTAAGCCCAATGATAACCCCGGAATTGGATTAATTGATATAATAACATTATTTCAATTCAGTCCCAATTTAATTGACCAAATTGATTCAACAATCAAGTGAATTAAATTTCAATTACACTCGATTCAAATTGATTTGAATCAAAAAAATTTTGAAAGGTCAAGAATAAAACAGAAATCATAACATTGAGGTCATTTGATTTACTAAACAATTTACCCTCTTAAATGTAATAAACAAATTCCAATGGAAATCTAATTGTAACAATTATCAATTGTCACAAAGAAAAATTTAATTACAACAATTAACGAACCGGTTTTTCAATTGTTGCGCCGTTTCAAATTCTTGGCGCTCAAATTTTGGGTTCAGCTCTTTGTTTTGATTGAAATGTTTTCCTAATCAACTGCAAATTAATTTACTCTGTTTTTGGTTAATTGTATTTATTTTACTTAATTAAGTTAATCAGCAAGTCAGTTTTCCACTTGGAAACAATTAAAATTGTGATTAAAGCTTATCGGTTACAATTTGCCTCAGTTAATTGTCAATGACTCTTTTTTGTTACCTATCAACATTTTCACCTGAGTGTTAAATTCAATTCAATTTTCTATGTGATTTAAATTGTTCCAATTTAATGTGAATTAGACTGATTGTTATTCATTGATTAAGGTAACAATTTAATTAATTGTTTGTGTGTTTGTAAACAGTCAACGGTCCCTTGTCTTTATCTCTAAGGAGAGGGAATCTGTTTGGCTCCATATGATTGAGCCTTCTAACTGTTTACCTCTCGATCTCTATGTTGTTTAATTTGTTCCTCTTTTGTTTATCTTTGATTAATTGATTAATTTTCTTTTATTCTTTTTTCCCTTTGTTCTTCCATCTTTTTCTTCTATTTTTTTTATACATGTGGATACTCAGTTGAGTTTATATCTAACCTTTCACATCGAGTTTATTCGTGGGTGTTTTCGTCTTGGTTCACAATGGCTGAATATAATATCCATCATAGTGTAAGGAAATTGATGCAACTTCTTGATGTCCGAAGTGATCGTGGGGATATGGAAGCTGCTATTGCTGAGAGACTGGTTGAGAGTAAAAATCTTCAAGTTAATCGTAAATCATCAACATCAGCTAAATTTGTTAAGAAATTGTGTAGCACAAGTAAAGGAGATTTCAAGGAAAAATATGAGGAACTGAAAGCAGCCAATATAATTGAAGTAGATCCATTGGTTCAGTTATTAGCTCGAATTTCTGAATCTGAAGATGTTAAAAATTTTATTAAATTTCAAAAGATTTTGAAAGAAAAGACTCGATCCTCATCTGTTGGACAGAAAAGTGACCTGCCCGTCGAGAAAAGGCCTGAAACTTCAGCTTCCGTTGAATCTGTGGTACGTCCTGTTAGCAAAAGAGAATCAATTTCAACAAAATCAGATAAAAAGAGCGACTTCTCATTTCTTACCAATGATTTTTCACCTTTTGATTGGCCTGCCGATGTTGTGGTTCCTCCATTGTCCAGTATGGCCATAACTGACCAACAGAAAGCTCTACTTGAAGATTTACTTTATGTTCTTGTTGTAAGAATAATATTTCATTTCCATTGCTTAGGCTCTAGATTTATATCTTTTCTCATCTAATTTTTTTCTCTCTTTTCTCTAGGGTATCGAGGGCAGATATATCCGTCGCTCTGCTGTTTCTGATAAAAAATTTCGCCTGATTGTCGACGAAGGAGCCGATAAATTGCTCAAGACGATGGTTGAAAGGATCATCATCATATGTCCACTTTACTCTGGTGTCATATTTTTTATTGAACATCATGATTTCGGTCTTGTTAATCAAGCTTTAATTGCTTTCATGAGAGAAGCTGTTCACGATTATTTCATCCTTATCACTCAATTGGAACACGATTATCACCAGGGTTGTTTAACTCTTCAGAAAATGTATTATTATCTTCACAATGTTCACTCTGATTTTGAGATTCTCAAACAAGTTAGCTACAAAATAAGACAGGTAAATGTACTAGATAATCAATCTCTCCCATCTCATTTAAAATCTTTGCTTTTTCTTACATATTCTCATCTCTGTTTATCTTTCTCATTCAGGGTAAATGTATCGGAGGAGCTGTACTGAGTATCCTTCACGAGAAAACTGTCAGCCATACTGGAAACTCTCGTGCTTCCAAATTTTGTATGAAAATGATATCGACTGCATGTGAACCTTATTTTAATATATTGGAAAGATGGATCTCAGAAGGTGTTATTTGTGATGAGTACAAAGAGTTTTTCATTGAAGACACAGAAGCCGATACCAAAGGTGAAGATCGTCCCCCAGGATCTAATGACGATTCATATTGGGAGAGTAGATATGAGGTAGTTTCCAATCGAATGCCAATATTTTTAACTCGATTTGCCGATAAGATTATGAAAACTGGAAAATACTTAACCGTAATCAGGGAATGTGGTAAAGAAATTGGTGAATCTCCCGAATGTGAACCTCTTCGATACACAATAGAAGACCGTGTTTACGCTGAACGTATTGATACTGCTTATAATTATGCGAGTAAAAGTTTACTTCGTATGTTAATGAATGAATCAAATTTAATTGCTCATTTGAACTCAGTTAAACACTATTTCTTCATGGATAAAGGTGATTTTCTGGTTCTATTCATGGACATGGCTGCCAATGAGCTTAAAAAAGATATTGATGATATTGTACCAACAAGACTCGAATCTCTCCTCGAATTAGCTGTTCGAACAAGCGTGATGAGCACTGATCCACATGCAGATTTTCTTGGAATTGAACTAATCAATGATTCAGTTTTATTCCAATTGTCACAAATTCTAAGCCATGGATCAACAGGCTTCCTTGATATCGATGATTCTCAAAGTGAAACATCAGCCAGTATAAAAGGTTACGAAGCATTGGCCTTTAAATACAAAGTTGAATGGCCATTGTCCCTTGTCCTTAACCAACGTAACATTGCTTGTTATCAAATGTTATTTAGACATTTATTTTATTGTAAATGGGTTGAAAGGCAACTTGGTATCACCTGGAAGGATAACAAAATATCAAAACGATTCTCACTTAAAACAATGAAATCTATGCACTTGCCTTTGGGTTAAGACAGAAAATGCTTAATTTTGTTCAAAATCTTGAATACTACATGATGGTTGAAGTAATTGAACCCAATTTCCACACTTTCCTGCAAAAGGTCAATACCAAAGTAACCAGTGTCGATGATATGATTAATGAACATACAATCTTCATGGAAGGCTGTCTTCAAGATTGTATGTTAACACAGAAAGTTGCCTTACAATTAATGGTTAAATTACTCAACCTTTGTATGGATTTTGCTTCATTTATGCATGTAAGTAATCAAGGAAAACTAATCGAGTGAAAATCTCCTTCCATTACATATGATATATTTATACCTCTCCTTGTTTATCATTCATCTTCTCTTTCCGCACTATTTTATAATCAATCAAAAGTTAATCATTTAAATACTAAATGTTTTATTTATTTTTCTCTTCAGACTAATCATCAACTATCAGCTCAATTTGAACTTGAAGGTGCTAGTGAGCAAATCCGGAAAGCATATGAATTCAAAGCAATCAAAGAGGATGAGGAACCAAGTGAAGTTTTACCAAGTTTCGAGCAGCGGATTAACCAATTGCACGCTGAATTTAATGACAATATACAACAATTTCTTAATGAAATTATAAGTCAACAAAAAGATCATTATACTGGGAAAATGCTTCAAATCCTCTCAAGGTAAAAATATATCACAATAGAATCATTATAATAAATGATTAACCTTTAATATTAATTATCTTTTCAATTTTACTAATATTATTTTCTTTCCTTTTTATCCATAGACTTGATTTTAATGAATATTATGGAAAACTGGCCAATGGAAACTCTTGTCCACAACAAGATTCTTGTCCAGACCAATAGCATTTACTGTAGTTAATTTAATTAACCATCTACTTTAATTATAACCACTTATAAGATTAAATCACATTGTAAATAAGTTATTTGAGTTAACTTTTTTCTTTATACTCTTTACAAACAATGGCAATCCCATCACGTTATTGTTAATATTTATACATATAAGTTTAGATTTAATCAGATTGTAGATAAAAAAATACATAACAATTGAAGTTAATTTAGTTAATAAGATGCTACACCATTACTATTGTATACACTGAGCTGTCGAGAGATTTAATTGTCTTGGATGGATTATTTTTACTCTTTTTCACTGGAATTATAATTTAAATTGTTTCCTTCCAACAACAAACCAAATTGACCAACATTAAAGTTGAACTTGGAGACAAGATGAAGAGAGAGAGAGCAAGAAGAAGATCAGGTCAAGTTTGGACTGGACTTTTGGTGATGAAAATTATATTGCTCATTACATGGAATCCAAGCAGCGAAATTATCATCGTATCATCATGTTTAATTTGATGTCCCATCGCTTAATCAGAATCAAGTTAAGGATAAAAAAGAGGAGATAAAGTGAGAGAGAAACAAAAACATGAAGGAAAACAAGAACAAGATCAACAACCTTATATTCATATTCAGTTACTTGTTTTTTTTTGTTTCTATCGTAAAATAGGAAAAAAAAGGTGGAAAAAAAAAGAATCCAAAATGCTGACGATTTGTTGTTAAGAGTTAATGATAAAGGAGAAATGGCGATGGATTCTGTTGGCTCTGAATTATGTTCATCTGGATGAAGATGGAGAAAGATCAAGTTTAATAGAAGATGATGAGATGAGGTAGTACCTCTTTGCTCCCTTAAAGCCTACAAATGGAAAAGAAAAAGAAAAAGAATCAAATTAAATGTAAAAAACTGCGAGAAACAAAAAAGAGATTAAGATAAAGGTTAATCATTAGAAAGCCTTACGATCAATAATGATGCTCAGGGTGTAGGTTGACGATGAGAGATGTGAATATTATCATCTTCATCTTAATTATCTTCATCTCTTTATTCAATTCTAAATGTAACTCAGCCCAAGGTCTGGTTGTTGTGGTTACTTTGCCTGCCCTCAGTTGACCCTCACGGCTCAATAACATTAGCATCTTCATCTTCATCTTCATCTTCATCTTCATCTTCATCTTCATCTTCATCTTCATCATCATCATCTGATTTCGGTCGATTCCTGTTTAGTTAATACCGTTGATGATCAGGATTTCAATTGATTTTTATGAACTTAATCAGCTTGAAAACTTGAAATATTGTTCATGATACATGATAAAAACAATCAATGATGAGGATATACCAATGTTGATGGACAATAAATTACTAATACAATTGATTAACAATAATCATCTCATTTCCTAACAATGAGTTTGATTTTTTTTTCTCATTTCCTTACCTATCATTTAATAATTATACAATCAAACAACAATTAAAATGTATCAGATCAGATCCCCTTTCTTAAAGTCAATATTATTTAGTAATTAATTGTTATTATTTTAACATTTCAATCCATCATTTAATTGTTAAACCATTGATCAGAATTTAAAATATCATTAATATTATATTGTTAACTTGTTTTAATCACTTGAAACAATTAACAAATGATTGTTATGTAATATGAAAGGTGCTCAATCAATTGTTGATTTTAATTGTCTGTCCACACCCTTGGGCTATTGTTATTTAGTTAATCAACAATTTAAACACAACTAAAAAAAAAGGTTTGCCATAAACTTGTCAATTAAATTATATCCTGATGGTGATGATTAAAATGATAACAATCAAGATAATTAGTTAGGGTCAAGTTTAGATTATCTTGAAAAGGTCAAGTAACAAAACAGTTAACTATTAATAGTAACAATACAATGTAATCAACTAATTGTTAAGAATTTAATTCTTCTCATCTTATTCAAGGTTACTCGGTCGATCTAATTGTTAACCGTTATTGTTAACAATCAATTTTAATCATTTCCTCATTCATGATATCTATTAGATAACAATTACCTCTTGACAATTAAATATCACATTGTGAATATTAAATAACCATCTCATCAACTGAATTAAATCTAATTGTAAATGGTTTTCCATCCTTGCAAATTGAATTAATAATCAAATCAAGTTGAAGTAAAAACTTTTTCCATTAATCATTAATGATTTATTTTAATTCTAATTGTCATGAAAATTTTTCTTGTGAGGTGTTTAAATGATTAAGATAATTAAACTAGATCTAATCATTATAATAATATATATATATATTGATGATATTAATTGATTGCCTGGAGGTTAGTAATTAAAATTGATTTTTCTCCTCCTTTGGATTGTGTTTATAAAATTGAATCAAATTAATTTTGGCTATTTGATTGGCTATTAATTGCTTTGAGTCGTTAATTGTGATTAAATTTAATTGAACAAGGTGTTACCTCTTTAACTATTGACAGTGATTAATTGTTTTTAATCATCATTGTCAAGGTAATTTGCTGTTCATTGTTTCATCTTGATCATAATCAACAATTTAATGATCATCTTTATGTGTATCATTATAAATGTTAATTGAAGTGATTAACTAATAAAGTTTCAAATCAACAAACCTTAATTGTTGTGTTCACATTGAAAAACAAAAATTAATAATAAGCTTCAACAATAAACTAGCAACTAATTAATTCAGTTCTTTAATTATTTCAAAGTGATTATTTTAAAACTTTGTTTCAATTTACTTTGTTGATTTACTTGTTGATTTAATTACAAGTCAAAGAGACGATTAAGAATTCAATTAATCAACAACGATTGTAACAATCATGTATTATTAATCAAAAAATCAATTCAATGGATAATAATTGATTATAAATAAACGTTACAATTAGTTAATCATTGTGATTGATTATTGATTAGTGACGATTTATAATTTAATCAAGCAAACTATTTATAGGGATTATGATTAAATTAGTTTGAAAGGTGTTGGAAAAAAAATCAGATTAGTCCATTAAAAGATAATCATATAATATTAAGCAATTTAATCCTAATTGTAGACTTAAATTGTGATGATTAAATGATACCGATTAGTTGTTGACATAAATCAATTGATATAATCATATAATTGGGTCAGTTAAGGTCCAATCCTGGTTCTGGGTTTATTTATACAATCAAGACAGTTGATCAACAAAATAACCTACAGACAGAGCAATCAATTTACAATCAATTTGCAATCATGCAATTGCAATTAGTTATTAATATTTGCAATACATGAGCATACAAATTGTTACATGAAATGATTAAACTAAATTACAATTTGTCATAATTTCTGTGTGAAGTTCAGGTTAATTAGACTTCACTTTTTAACAAGATGATTGCCATCGATTGACCAATATTGATCTTGATCTTGAAAAAACGATTTAATAATAAGATCAGGTCAACTCAATCGCTCACGGAGAGAGGGTCAGTTTGAATTATAGCCAAATAAAGGAATTGAATAACTATCTGAATTAAGGATAAAGATGACGGAGGATAAAGAGAGAGAGAGAGAAATAGATTTATGAAAGATAAAGGTAAGATCAACAACCTTAATACATATTCAGTTAGTCGTAATAAGGAAAAAACTGATGAAGATTATTGATGAAGATGAGAAAGATGCTGTTGGCCCTGATTACGGTATCCGGATAAGATGAGGATGAGGATGATGATTAAAAGATGATAGATGTAACCTCTTTGCTTCCCTAAAGCCTAATGAAGAAAAAAAGAGAGAGAAATTGAAATAAATGAGGAAAAAAAATTTTGAGATTAAGATAAAGTTTTATAGTGATGGTCCAATAGTGATGCTCGGGTGTAGGTTGACAAGAGATGAATATAATATCATCCTCATCTTCATCATCTTCATCTCTTTTGATTCTATTTAATAACTCAGCCCAAGGTCTGGTTTTGTGGTTACTTAACTAAAGCCTGCCCTCAGTTGACCCTCACAGCTCAATAACATTATCTTGATGGGTCGATTCCTGTTTAATTTTTGGGATACCGTTGATCATCATCATCATCAGCATCAGGATTGTGAATTGATTGTGCTGTTAATCAGCTTGAAAACTTGAAAATTGAGTGCATACATACACATGCATATAACTCCCCCGGAGAAAGAAAGAAAGAAAGAAGAAGAAAAAAAGATGAGGGGAAGAAAATTAAGATCGACTGATGAAAAGCACTGGAGACTCGCTTGGCAACCTTTTCTCATTTAATCATCTCCATCCCAATGGAAACACCAAACGCATCCCAATGTATGTTTCTGTTATCGTTATGAGCCAAATCCCCTCCCTCTCATCCTCCTCCTCCTCTGATCTCAAACTCTCAACGTCCAGTTCCAACTTTTTCCTCCTCCTCCTTGTATTATAATCATAAGATTTTATCATCTTTCTCTCTCTCTCTCTCTCTCTCTCTCTCTGAGTTGCAATTTTCGGTTTACGTTCGTTGACCTTGATTATAAAAGTCTCAACATAATTTCCGGGAATCCAGTTGGGAGTCCACCGCTCACCGTAAAAGTGTCCACCAGGAATATTAAAAACCTTTGCTTATTTCTTGAAATCATTTAGTTATCACAAGTTAAGTGTAAACATCAACATCAACAAAAACATCGCCAGCAAGTAAGGATTTATACCTTTAGTATTTTGTGTTGACTATTAATTGTTGTTTGTAGTTGATTCTTATTATTATTAACATTGAAAAGATTCAGCAAACATCAATCACCATCTCCTTTTTAAAAGTAAAACCAAATTTGTGATTTAAATTATTTTTCTGTTTCTCTGTTTACCTTTTTGTAGGATGAAGTTTTTTATTATTATTGCTTTGGTCATTGTATCGACCTCTGGACAGATGATTCGACCTGCATCACTTCCAGGTAAGTTTTTCTTTCGTTATTATCGTTTGATTTTCAATTAAATTGAAATGAAAACGATTCTTTTAACATTCGATCAACGCTAAACCGCATCTCCTAATCACTTCACCTTTTGTCCATCTTCAGGTCTCATCTCAATTGTCCGTTTCCAAAACACTGCCTGTAATGGTGAAAACGGAGACTCAGGTACCTGTTTAGCCGAACAGGAATGTGCTCGACGAGCTGGAACTAACATTGGCCCTTGTGCCAACAACTTCGGTGCCTGTTGTTCATTCAAAGTGAGAAAAACTAATTTTCCTTAATACTTTTTCAATTGTTAACAATTAACATTAGTAAATGATGATTTTGGATGATTGACTCAATTTAGAACGAAGTAAATTTAACTTTACTCATTCGTCTTTACCATTCATCACTTTGTTAGTGTCTCTTATTAATATTTGAATTTCATATTTTAAATTTTAAATATTCTCATGAAAACCAATTTAATTTCCAATATTATTTGTAACTTTGAATTTCCAACAGTTCACTTGCGGTGGAACAACAAGTCAAAATGAGACCACTTTCGTTAATCCATCTTACCCACGAGGTGAAAATGGAACCGATACCTGTCAAGTTACCATTGAGAAACAAGCTAAAGTTTGCCAATTGCGTCTTGACTTCGAAGAGTTCACTCTCGCTCAACCCGATGAAAATGGTCTTTGTACAACCGATTCATTCATGGTTCGAACCACCGTTGGAGAACGTCTTCCAATCCTTTGTGGTGAAAACGCCGGTCAACACAGTGAGTATCTTTTTTTTCGAATTTGGAGAGAGAGAGAGAGAGAGAACGAGAAAAAGTAATAGAAAATTGTAAATGATGATCAACTAATAATTTCTCTTCTTTTCCAATTCAATCGTTCAGTCTACATCGACATGGGACGAGGAAGTGCCAACCCAGTTGTCCTTTCAGTTGTTTCCAACGGAGATCGAGTTACAAGAAAGTGGAAGGTTAAGATTAACATGATCCCTTGTAACAACCTTGACATGGGTAAGTAAAAGAATCAAGTGATTAGTTAATCAACTTCTAAATCAAGATTAAGAGGAAAGATTAACCAGTAAAAGAAAGAAAGAAAAGAAAAAAACCAGGAAACTCGATTTTCTTTAAACTTCTTTCTACTTGTTAACTTCTTCTCTTGTTTATTTGATATTCTAAACGTGACCTTTTATCTGATGCCCTTAAATTGACCCTCAAATTAATTCTTACCTGTTTTTCTTCCTTCTCCCTCATCATCATCATCTTAATCTTAACCAATTGGTATTTACGACCACAGCCCCATCAGGATGTATGCAATACTACCGAAGCCCATCAGCCATCATCAAGAGTTTCAACTATGGCCCAAGGGTGAGTCTCAAGTTAATTGCAATTAACTTAACAAAAAAGTTTCTTTTCTTTCCTTTAACAATCAACTAATCATCGGCTTAACTTTTCTCTGCTAATTTAGATTGAAAGCCGATCACGATATCTTTCAAATCTTAGATATACTGCTTGTGTTCGAGTCGAAGAAAATTTCTGTGCCATCAAATGGGAAACCGAATTACCTAATTCATTCAGTTTCGGTGCTCCATTCGAAGGTAAGTTGGAATAATTGATCGGAAATCGAAAGAAAAACAAAACAATATTAATTCTATTTTTGTGTTTTGTCATCTTTTCATCAACAGAACTTAGTCTTGGAAACCAAACTCGTCTTGGTAAGTTAATCGATTCTCATTTTTGATCCTCGATAGAAAAGTCAAAAATTATCGAGAAAATTTTACTAATCTTAAAATGTATTCTCGTCGTTTTTACCGTTACTTTAGGTGGTGCTACTGGTGGACTTTGTTCACAAGATGATTTCGTAGGAATCGACCAAGGATCAGTTGACGGAACTGGACCTGGTGATGATCGTTTCTGTGGTAACCGACTTCTAGAAATGAACTCAGTCATTTCCCGATCTAAACCTTTCATGCTCAAGGTCCGATCTAATCACGATCAAACCCTTAACGCTGCCAACTCACAACAAGGTTTCTCACTTCGATATGTTCAACTTCCTTGTGTCATCTAATTTAAATTATTTAAAATCACTAATTTAGAATCATGAGAAACAATCAAACTTTATCAACAAAAAAAAGAAAATAGCAAAAAAAAAATCAATAATTTATTAAGAAAACAATTAACAGTCAACAGTTGATTAACAATCAAAATCTCTCTAAACACTTAAACTTTAAACGCCGTCGATCAACTTAATTTTCAACAATCAACGAACACACAAAACTTGATTACAATCAAATTATGGTTTCGCTCTCAACTGATTAATATATTTATTATTTAATTACGATCAATATAAGGATAAATCCACCCAGACAATCAACAACATTTGGATAACAATTAGCAAATGGATTGAACATATTCAAGAAAAAAACGTCAACAAGAAACAAACCCAACGAAAAACACCAACAATTAACTTAATTTAATTTATCTAAATTATAATAACTTATATTATTTAATTACATTTTCTATTGACTAATTGAAACAAATCAAATCCCAATGACTATTCATTTATTTCATGATCGTGTCACAATTATCAAAGGACAATGAAAGACTTTCAACAAAAGTCAATCAAAATTAACAACGATTCTTAATCGTCAGCAATTGATTTTAAATCCATCGCAAAATTAATTGCTAAACTAGTGAATCCAATTAAATTGTAACAAACTAATCAACATTAAGCGTTCGATGTATACTTCAATTCAATTGATTAACCAACGACTGATAGTTAATACAAAACACCATAATGACCATAATGGTTAACTGTCCAGTTAAACTACATAATAATTTCTTAATTGTTGTAATTAACAGAGGATCAATTGTGAGTCGGCTCGATTGTTAAATCGTTAGTAAATACTAAACGAAGCGATATTTTCCCTGCCGCCATCTAATGGTTTAAAATTTTCTTAAATCAGGTAACAATTAGATTTAATTAGTAAATTGTTTTGATTGAAATATCAACTACAAGAGTCGAAGGTTGAAAATCGGTGACCAGAAAAAGTCATATTGGTTGAATCGATTGAGAAATTTGAACATTTAGATGAAATCGAAGTAAAAATTGAAACGATGAAAAAAGAGACGAGAAATTAAATTAATGAAAAGTGTTTATTTATAGTGAATGAGGAAATCAAAGTTGTTTGCAATTAAAAACCTCGAAAAAATCAATTTGTGCTTGTTGATAATTGGGAGGGAAAATTAAATCGCTTTCACTTAAAAGTACTTTGGTCATGGTGATTGAGTTTTATTCCGATTTCTCCGAAAAACTTTAGCGACAAAACTTGTTGAGTCCAAAGCCTTCGCTTTCCGATCGGCATTTTGTCTTGTGTCAACTCGATTATTCAATCGTTAGTATCATTTATGGATTTGAGACAATTTTCAACGTTCAACTAGATCTTGGGTCGTTTATTATCGTAATTGTATTATAAATATTGTCGAGTTTGAAATCAATTGAAACATGAACTTACAATAAGCAACTTTTTCAAGATTCTGATTGTGATTGATTTATACAAAGATCATGAAATATTAACGTCGACGACTCGGTGGGCGATTTTGTGGAAAGGCGCCATTTCCTGTGCACGCAACTGTGGAAATCGTTTCAATGATTCTCATGTCCCATGAATACATTGATCGAGTACGATTTCCAATATCAATCTGGTTGTGAGAATTCATTGAGCTAAAATTGGATTATCAATTAGCAGTGAATGAAACTCGACTCATGATATTAAAAGATATATAACCCGAGGGTAATTATCACAGAGAAATTTATGTCTCGAATATTTTTGTGAACATTTTTCTCATCTTTTTGTTTTCTTCCTAATTCCCTTCACTTTCATTCTTACATTGTTTTCATCTTCATTCACTACAAATTGTGTCGCTACAATTTTAAATTGAAAGAATCAGTTTTTGTACATTTACTTACATCGACAGAAAGAGAGAAAGTTGTTTGATTGTGAATTTGATTCTTGTCGCAACTTAATTTAAAATATTGTAATTAAAGGAATTGAGAGAAGGTGAACAATTAGTTAATCACGATTGATGAAGAAAAAACAAAAGTAAAGGAAATAGAAGAAAATTGAGAAATAAATAAAATTAGACAGAAAATGATCAAGTAAAATCAGAGAAATGAATAGGAGACAAGGGATGAAAAAAAGGAAATAAATTGTTATCATAGTTTCAACTCGTTGGCAATTTTAGATGCTATATTTTTGAAACCAATTGAGGTACCAGAAATGCGTTTAAATCGTACTCCATTTAGGGATAAACGAGGAAGTTTGCACACTTCAATCTCCCATTGAACTAATGAATCGGTGTTTGGGTCTCCATGAACGCAAAGTAGTAAAAATTTTTCTCTTTGCTCGTAATCACAATTGTTTTTATCTAAAACTTTTCTTATTTCGGCCATAATTTCAGTAGGATCTCTTGATGACGTTGTCTTCATACTCCAAGTGAAGCGTAGTGATCGTGGCTTTACCTGTTCATCGTTCATTGTCCTGTACAAAGGTAGGCAGAAAGGTAAGAATGAAAAAATGATGATGGAAGGATAGGTTTGAAGAAGTGATGATGAGGTGGTGAGAAAGAAAGAAAGAGAGAGAGAGAGAGAGAGAGATAAAAGGGAAAAGAGAGAAGATGGAATAGAAAGAAGATGATAAAGGGAAATGAGAGTATACAAAAAAGAGAAAAAAGAGAAAGAGACAGAAAAAAATAGTGAGAAAAAGATCAGTAGAAATATGAGGAAAAGAAAAACAGGAGAGAATAGAAAAGAGAGGGAGAGAACAAGTTGGAATGAAATTCACCGGCGAAAAAAGAGGAATTCAGTCATCACAGTTGCGGGCCATTTGTTGGGGATAAGGAGTGAAACAAATAACAAGTAGCAGTAGTAGTGAAGAAGTAGTAGTAGAACAGTAGAAGTAGTAATGTAGTAGTAGTAGTAGAAGTAGTAGTAATAGTAGTAGCAAAAGAAGGAAAAGGAATAAGGATACAAGAGTATGAAAAATGAAAGAGAATCGAGAGAAGAAGGGAGTCAGAAAGAAATGAAAGAACAGTATTAATATTGTTATAGATCGAGTTAATAAAGTGAACATGTTATAGCAACCTTTTAGAAAATTTGGATGATAATTTGCTGAAAAATGATTGCCTGGATTGGCTAACAGATAGAGTGTCCTGTGTTTGCAGAGGTGCTCCAGCTGATCCATCGAATGTCATTCGATCGAACCTTCTTTCTCTTGTTTGACCACTGTGAAAGGTACTACGGTTTGCGGTCCCTCGAGGAAAGGCTCGATTAACAACCAGTCTATCGGTTTTGGGGGTTGATGAGGTTCCTTTCACCGTTGATGAGCTAAAATGGTAAGATGACCAAATTGTCGGCAATCAAAATTTGATTGCGTTGATGAGTAGTAAGAAAAGAAAAGAAAAACGTTAGTCAAAATTGTGCCAACAACAAAGAGATCGTGTAGTTGATCTAAAAATAAGCGTAAAACTAATGAAATCATAAAGAAATGAATCAAATGTATTACAAATACTGAAAAAGGACGAGAAGTGCAAAGGAAAAAGTAAAGTATATTGAGTGGGTAGGATAAAAAGTAAAAAGGTTCCACCAGAACCAGAAAGAAATGAATAGGACTGAGGAAGAGAAACAAGAAAATGGAGATTCAAAGAAAAAGATTAAACAAAAAGAATGAGTCAATCGATTGGCTATAAATCAAAAAAGTAAACACTAGGAAATGATAATGTTGATGATATAAGAAAATACAAAAAAAAACAAGAGCAAGTTGCACGTTATATCTAAGGTAACCGGCAAATAGAAGTCAACAAAAAAAATCAACAAGCAGTCAAGGAATGAGTGGGTAGAGAAAATTGAAAAATCATAACAATAATGATGCAGCAAAAGAAATTGAATTGAAAATGATAATGCGGATGTGAAGTGATTAAATTAAATAATAATGAATTGACTAGCTAGAAGGTGAGATAAAGAGTCTGATAAGCATTCCTTATGATACCTCGGTCGATTTGTTTCAGAATTAGATTCTGAGCGGGCTTCAGAACTGCTTGAAGAACGTCCAGTAGACGAGGACAGTGAAGCTGATTTCGTGTGTCCTTTTGGACGTAAACTTGACGAGGTTGAATGACAACTTGTCGACGAGCCTGTTGATGCTATTGTAGTCGTCTGAGTATTAGTAGTGATTGAGGAGGAGATTGCTACAGCTGTAGTTGTGGTTAATGAGCTCAAAGTTTTATCTTCAGTCACTGGAACGCTGGACAACGAAATTAAATATACAGAAAGATGGAAGAGGAATAGAAAATAGAAAGAGAGAGAGAGAGAGAGATAAAGAGAGAAAGACGATGATGTTGACAGTTTGGAAATAGTAGATATTTGAAGGAGAAAAAGGATTGAAAATGAATGAACAGGAAGATGGCAATGAATAAGATTGTTAAAGGAAGAGGAAATCAAGGTGAAGGAAATTAAATAGAGTTGATAACTACTCCGACAAAATGCATTAATTGTTCAAGAGGTTCGAAGAGGGGAAGAGGCTGACACGATATAAGAGATTCTGTTAAATTGTAAGAAGGTTAATCAAAAGTAATACATATACATAAATACATAATACATTAATGTATCTAAATATGTATATGTATAAGGCAGGAATTTAAATAGTTCAAGGTAAATTGTGTTAACACTGAAAGAATTGTCAATTAAATACCTAGAGGAAGAAGTTTCTGTCGCTGTGGTTGTTTTCTCGTTAGAGGCACTCTTATTCTCGTTACTGTAATTAAAGGTATTACGCCTTGGTATACCGCTTAGGGTATTTTTCACTCCGGAACCGGTGACTGGTGATACTGTCCGTTGCCTTAAAGATCCCATTCCGGTAAGCTTATTTGTATTAAGTACAGGGCCAAGGTTGAACGGGGAGTTTTCCGTTGTCAGTGAAGAAGGTGGAGATTTAATGGATTTATTGGTGGCGATAGTAGTTGTAGTATTGGTGGTCAAAGGTGATTGTGAACCATTAGTGGAAGGAGTAGTAGTCTCTTTTACAGAATTACTATCTAAATTGCATTTTAAAAGAGGGCTTATTTTCTTTGTGGTTGTGGTTGTGGTGGTGGTGACTTGTTCTGAATTACTTGTCTTTTCATTACTGGAAACACTGGGTGTATTATCGGCATCACCTCCATGACTGAATCTTCTTTGTTTAGTGCTAGCTGAGACACTTCGGAATATCTCCTTTTTTTGTGGACGAGATGGTGATTGACTATTAGATAAACCCTCAACAGGACGAGGTTCTCTTAATGAAAGACTTGAACTTGATCGAGATTCAGAGTTAGCAAGTTCAATCGCCTGTGTAGATTTATGACAACAATGACAGGTAACATGATCATGATGATTATTGGAACAACCGTGATGGATAATGATGATGATGATGATCCAATAAAAGAAAGGGGATAAATAGAAAGAAGAAAGTTGAAAAAAAAAGAATGAGCAAACAAAAGATACAGTGGATATAAATTACAATTAAGTTGGTAGCGGAAATCATAAGAATAGTAGACAGGTGAGACAACCACTCTCTTAACTGGTGAGCAATCAAGTGGCTGATGGTGAAGGAGAGACAAAATGATTTACTTATAATTAAGAGAAAATTTATACTTACATCGGTACCTCTTTTACACATTAATAAATAACTAGCCATAATATCATCATATTTTTTGTTCTTCAAGGAATCTTCAATCTCCTCTTTACCATAGCCCATAGACATTAAAATTTTAACTTTAGTTGGCTTGATAAAGTCTGATACATATTCAACGTAAGGCTTCAATTCGTCATCTTCATAGCCAATATTCATCCACTTATCTTTCATTATCACCTATAGACAATTAAATAGAAGAAAAAGAGATGAAGCTACAAGGTGAATCAAGATATAATATTGTAAGGTTAAATGTAGAGAGAGAGAGAGAAAGAAAAAAAACAACCGAATGAGTGAAAATTTTTACATTCAACTGAGAACAGTCAAAGTAAAGGTAACAATCAATCGTTAGATCTCTCACCTCAAGAGATGCTCTTTTTGCAGGATTAAGAACTAAAAACTTTTTCAGAAGATTTTCACAATCGGTTGACATGTAGAAAGGTATTCTGTATTTTCCTCTGAGCACTCTTTCCCTAAGTTCCTTGAGGTTGGCGCCATCGAAAGGTAGAGACCCACTGACTAGCGTGTATAATATTACCCCTAAACTCCAAACATCAACTTCAGGTCCGTCATACTTTTTACCTAAAAGGTGAAAAATTCATCCAATGTGTTGGTTGTGTTGGTATATTTTTTTTTGTTTTTGTTATTTCAAGATCAATTGGCGTGGCACATGAAACGTGAAATCAGTTGCAACAGTAGTAGTAAAATAAAAGGCCAAATTAAATGAGAACGTAATCGTTGAGTGAACGTTAAAATTGAAGTTGTCAGTTGAATCACAAATGCAGAAAATGGTTGAGTGTGTAAGCCATCAATTTGTAGGAACGAAATGTATTTTATAAACATGTATAAATATTGAATGATGGAAGAGAAAAGAGGGAGAGATCATTGAGAGTCATAAAGATGATCACCAGAATCAGATGAAGAATATTGATCCATGGGAAATTTAAGTGAGAAAACGAAGAAAAAAAAGAGAGAAAGAGAAAAGGGAAGAAAAAAAATTGTGTATGAGAATTATTGTTTGTTGTTATCAAGTAGATAAAATTGATTGTTACAAAAAGCAAATCGACAATTGATCAATCAATTGAAATTCAAGTTGAACTTAAGGTTAGTTTACCTTGAAATAATTCTGGAGCAGCATAAGGAGGGCTCCCACAGAATGTATCTAATTTTTGTCCTGGACTAAATTCATTACTAAAACCAAAATCAGCTATCTTAATATTCATCTGGGAATCTAAAAGAAGATTCTCTGCTTTCAAATCTCGGTGAATAATCCTTTTCTGGTGACAATATTGAACAGCAGACACTATTTGACGAAACTTGGCTCGTGCTTCCTTTTCTTTCATTCTTCCATGAGCCACTAAATAATCAAAAACTTCACCTCCACTGGCATATTCCATAATAAGGTAAAGTGTTTTCTCAGTCTCAATAACTTGAAATAACTTGACTATATTGGGATGGTCTAACATCTTCATTATTCTTACTTCCCTGAATAACTGTGGAAAGAAAGAGAAAGAAAAAGAAAGACATAGACATTATAAGTAAATGAGTAGCAACAAAAAAAACATAGGAAGGGAAAAAAACGATTGAAAGGAGAAAAAAGTCAAAGAGAAAGAGAAAAAGATGAACAGAGACAGTGGAGAGACACAGAGAGAAAGAAGAATAAGAATGTTTTTATTAGGTTAAGCTAAAACAAGTAGAATTAGCTAAAGGAAAAGATGTTGAAGATGATGTTAGTGTGAGTAATTGTAATTGAAATGGTGATGGTAAAGACAAAGGGGAAAAGAAGATGGAGCAAAAAGAGTAGAAGTAGGCAAGAAAAAAAAAGAATAGGAAATAAGGCTTTAAATCAATATAATTTATATATTCTCACCTTTTGAAGACTTGATGGATTAAGAAGGGTCTTATCAATTATTTTAATAGCAACTTCAATACCGGTTGGAAGATGACGGGCAAGCTTAACTTTGGCAAAATTTCCTTTACCAATAGTCTTTAATAGCCTGAAACGACCAATATGGTGATTCTCGGGTCCTCGCGCAGAGAAAGATCGCCCAGTTGTTGATCCGGTTGTTGTTGTGGTAGTGGTTGCAACAGATTCATGGACAGTTTGTAGAGTAGTCCTAATACTGGTGGCCATGGTTTAATTGTTTTCTCTTCAATTTGACAAATATTTATGTATAATATATTGTATAATAGAGTAAGAAGCAAATAATTATTAATAATAGTTTAAGGTAAAGGAAATCCAAGAAGAAATAGTATTAAGAGAGAGAGAGAGAGAGAGAGAAGAAAGATAGATAGATAGAGTAGAAAGAAAAGAGAGAGAGAGAGAGAAAGAGAGAAAGAGAAATAAAGAAAGAGTAGGGATAGGTGGTGATGGTGGTGGTGGTAATTGTAGTAGTAATAGTTGGTAGTGGCTGTGTTTTGGAAGTGGTGAGATGGTGATTTCTTATTACAAATAAACAATTAAAAATAGCAACAAAAAATTGACTCTTCTATTAATTTTACATAAACAAAAATCAAAAAAACAAAATATTCAAGACACTATTACTCAAGACATGATCGCAGGACTTGAGAGATGAACAGAACCAACATATTAAGAGAAATCAAAATGGAGGAAAACAGTGAAAGACAAACTGAACAGTTCGACTGTTCCACCGCCAGATGGAACCACAAATCGAATTTTTTTCAATCTTTTCTTTTTATCTTCATCACCTTTTTTTTGATCAAATTTTTTTTTCTATTTTCTATAAAGGGTTAATCTTTTAATCTTTAATCACTTTTCTTTCATTCATTTTATCGATAATTTTTTAATTGTTTATTATCATTTCATGTCTTGTGTTGCTTGTTTGAGTTTTACTTTTTCCCCTTTCACCTTGAATAATTCATTTTCTCTCTTCTTCTCATTTTCTTTTCAGTTTATCTCTTGTCATTTTGATTATCTTTTTCTATTTCTTTCTTATTTTTATCTTTGACTTCATTTTTTTTTCTCTTTTCTCTCTCTCTCTCTTTTTTGATTCCATGACTTTAATTCTGTTTTTGAAAAAATTTTTCATGAACAATTTTCCCTTTCTCTCTTTTTTTCTTTCTCACTCTGTCTTTTTATCTGGTTCTTACTAGATAATCTGGTAACATGTAAGTACTTTGATAATTGGTTGGTGATTTTCCTTTTTATCATTTTCTACAAATCATGAAGAAGCTTTGTTTTGATTTTTTTTTTCTATTCTTTTTTCATTTAATATTCTATATTTCTAGTGATTTCCTCGGATATTAACTTTACCTCACCACAAAATACACTCACTCATTTTCCATTGATTGAAGTTCACGTTTATCAATAATATCGGTAAATTTAGATCTCATATCTAATCCTGATTATAATCTCTTTATATGTCTTTTAATAATTAGCTGACATTTTTGCTGCTTCCTTGTTAATACATACCGTGATCACCTCTAATGATAACTAATATCAACTAATAACAACAACAACAATAGAAAGAAACTAATTACTGGTAATAACTGGAAAAATGTATCAATCTTAAAATCCCTGATTCCTTGGGCTTAACCCTGAACACTTTGATAATGTGTATACATTTCAAATGGACTAGAACACAATTTAAAAATGGTTTGCGTGAGTTTAAAGTCAATCAACTACTTACCATTCACAGTGAACAACAATTTACATAAAATTTTCGATATAATCTTAATTATATTAGCTGATATAATATACTTATCATTGAAGGATTTCATTGTCAATCTATTCCACTTGAATCCACTTCTCTACCTCCTTTCTCACTTAATTTGTCTCTTGATTTTAATCACAATTTACGTGTGTTCCTCATCAAAGATTTTCTCAATCAGTAGCATTAATCATTAACCATTAATCAATAATAATAATTTTCTCTTGGCAATCAAATCAACTTTTAAAATGATCCTTTTTATGGTGAGATTATCATTATCATGTCTCTTTCTCAATCATTTGAATTCATTTCAAAAGTTAAATTATCTTTACGATTCATCGTAACAATCAAAAAAAGTAAACATTTATCAACCTAGTTTGTTAAAAAGAGTAACAATTTACTAAATTGTTGTACGAATCATTTTCTTACAACAATTAATTTGGAATCCATATGATTCCAATTTAAATTAACCATTAGAGATTCAGGTTTACTTAATTTACTTTTCAAATTGTTCTCAATCTTTAATCATTTCATTTGGATTTCAATGGTTAATTGTTTATTATTTAAATTGTTCTACCAGTTAAATAATATTATTATACAATCAACAATTAACAATCAAATTGCGATTGGCAAAGTTAAATTGAGTAAAAAAAGATTCTTCTTGTATTCTGATCGGTTCAATGGCTTTTTTGCTCAATCTTCTTGTTCACAATCAAAATCAATGATTTGATCTATTTTTAAATTGTTCAACATTTGATTTACTTTTCTATCCCTCATATATATCATCAAGTTGATTTAACTTTAATTCCAACAATTAGAGTTAATGTTTAACAAATACACAAGAACCTTGAACAGTGAATGAAAAAAAAAACAACTCAGGAAATGAAGTAACAAGTAATTCAAACTAATTTATTGATTCGGTTTTATTGTTTAATCAATTTAATCGTGAACATGATGATTGGTAAATTAAGCTTACAATTTACACTACAAAATTGTCACAAACTTCCGGTCAATTTAACTTAATTGTCACGATTATGGTTCAATTAATAAGTTAAGAGATTTGAATAACTTAATTAACTTTCGTTGAGTAAAAATTGATAATATTTTCCCGCTTTAATTGTTGATTAATTCATGAATCAGTAAAATTATGATATTGATTACAAACTAATAACCTATTTAGATCAATTAACTGATTGGTTGAGATGAGAAATCAAATCAATAGTTAAACATGATTTACTTTTAATTGTAGTGGTTTTCCAAGTTGATCAACAATAGATAATCAAATTTGATTATGATGATTAACTAATATGATCAACCTCCAGTTTTTAATTTCGAGGTCCAGCCTAAAGAGGATAAAAAAGTTCTGATATTAATTATCTTATCCATTTGATTAACAATTAACCAATAACAATAATAAAAAAATGAACAACAATCAATTATCAGAAATGAAATTACTGGTTACAAGTAAATCACAACAATTGACGTTGGTAAATAATCAATACAATTAGTTAATAGTCGTAAACTTGAATAGTTTATTGTTAATAAAATTCATCTCTTTGTGTCTTTAATTGTTCAGGTTTAATTGTTTTCCTGGAAAATCAACAATTTAAATTGGCGAAAACAATTAACTCTTCATAAAGATAAACCTCCAAAAAACATGAACTTATTTTTACAGGTACATTTGCCTTTCAATTAGAAATCCTCATAGTGTTGGGCGAGTAATTAACTAATCATCATCATCATCAACATCATCAACATCATCATCAACAGCAAGATGAGTCATTTACAGGGTGGTTTTCAGATGATAATCAAGAGCAATTTAGTAAACCGGTATTGAGAAAAAAAAATCAACTAATTTACCTTTAGAATTGTTAATTTTATATTATTACATTAATCTTGCTCTTTTCTAATTGTAATTAAATTAACACTTAAATAATAGCATAAGAAATAAACAATTAGATATACATATATACCAACAATTAACTGATTGTTGATATGTAATTAATTATAATGTTTCTGTTTAGTTGAAACTTTTAATTTCACTTTTGAAACTTTTTGATTCTTGAAACATTATCATTACTGTGAACAACAATTAACTGATTTTTTTGTTTAGTTAATTGTTTGAGTTTGTCTTTTTCTGCCTATGATTAACTTTTTCTTAATTGTAATTGTAATTTAGTTTCTAGTAATTATTGTCCATATGAGTGTAATTGTAACAGGGTTACAATTGAAGTCAATCCTTTTATTATGGTTGGTTAATCACTGGAAGTTGATATTAATCATCTTGATTGTAATTGTGATGGGTTAACCTTAATTACATTAATGGTGATGATGATTATGATGAGATGATGACTTTTTTTTTGATGTTATGAATTTTCAATTATCTTCCAGGAAATAAAATTCATTCAATTGTTCATGACAGGTAAGTATCTTCACAATCAACATTTGGTGATCATTCAAACCCATATTAGTTGTTGATTGTTGATGATTAACTTGATTTCATCAAGATCAACAAGATAATCAACAATAATTTTAATTATATGAGATTCATTTCAATTTGAATTAAGATTAACCTGGACCACCACCTACTTGATCCTAATCCGGATTAAGCATATCAGATTATTCAATCATTAGGAATAACAATCAAATCAACTTTCATTTGGTTCATTAAATTGTAATCAAATTATTAATGAGTAACTTTTTTTTGTTCATTTTTTTCAAGGTAACCAGATATGGTCACTTAGTTAATCAATTGTTAAGCAAATTAAGACAATTAACTTTTGTCTTGATATTATTATACAATTATTACTGGATAATTAGTTTACAATCAAGTGATAATTGTATTTAATTGAAATGCTGAAAATTGAATGAAAAAAAAAACAAAAGTTTTAACCCAAATGTTAATTGCTCTTGATTGAGAAACTAAATCAACAATAACTTTGAACACAATTAACATTTAGATCTTAACTGATTATCAGTTTGATTTTGATCAATTCAATCAATGTTAATCTCATTTCTTGGGTCAAACAATTAACAGATTGGTTGACAATTTAAATTGTTTTTCTCATCTCAATCCAATGAATTAATCAATTCAAGTTTCACAATTATTCAAACTTTTCAATTGTAATCAAGTTAATCACCATGAAAACGTAAAGGATGTTAAAAACATGGATTAATGATTAGTTGATTATGATTATTATTACATTTAGATTGTCGTCAATTCTTCCGGTAATTTTTTCACTTCTTTTTTAATTGTGTTGTTACTGATGAATGAATTGTTAGTTATATTGTTAAATTGTTGATGTTAAACAATACAAACAATTAAACGTTGACTTTGCACTGATTAACTTTCAATTGCTGACATTTGGTAACTTTTTCAATCTTAACTACAAATCGTGTTTACTTTTAAACAATTTTAATCATCACCGGCAACAATTTAGATGATTATAATCACAACAACCTCTCCCAATTTCTTGATTATTTGTAAAAATTTAATTGTTACCTTAATTGTAATTAACATGGTTAAGACTTAAGGTCAAATAATATCAATGTAACTGTTTAATGGGTTGACAGTTCAATCAACTCAAATTGATTACATTAAACTTGCAAATAAAAGTTAATTTAGTTTGTTAATTGTTTGTTCAAGTTTCAATTCAATCACAATAATTATAATCATTTAATTTTAATTTTAATCAATCAAATCAAGTTGATAACAATCATTGGAATTGCTTATTTACATCAACAAATTAGCCCAGAAAATTAATTAACTATTCAAGGTGAAAATTGTTGTTTTTTTTCAATAATTACGCTAACAATTAACAACTAATCTACAATGATTAATTATTAATTAGTTGATCAACTTAATTAACTTTTAATAGAATGAAAAAATATTTTAATCTAATTGTTAACCAAATATGTATTCAGCTTGATATCAAGCTTTTAATTATCAAAATCCCATTAAGTTATTAGTTTACAATTAACTTTAATTTGTTTATCAATTGATTGTTGATTGTCGTATAAGTATTGAAATGATTACTAGTTAATGATAATCAAATTTATAACTAAATTTAGTTACAATTTAGTTTCACTTTTCAGTTCAAGGTAGGGCTTTACTTGATTGAGTTAAATTGTTGAATCATTTTCTCTTATCAAAATTAAGATGATTAAGTTAATTATGATTAAAATGATGATCATGTTAACATGTAGTTAGGTTGATCTGTTTGCACGGTTAACAATTAATTGAACATCAGCCAACAATTTAAATCCGATTCAATGGAAACAAATATCTCTTTTGATTAAATTTCTAATGGTTACAATTTAATGAATTACTATTGTTATTGTTACTATTATGTTACCAACTAATTCACAATAATGGTGATTTTAGATTAGTAATTAAATGATTAACGGGAGTGTATTTTAAATTACAATCTAATTTAATTCAGTTCTTTCAAATTGTTTCTCATTTTCTTGACAATCCTAAACAAATGTTAAGTATTAATTGTTGATTAGAAACTGAATTAACTTTATTTTCATTATAATACTAATTCATTCAGCTCTTTCATTATATTGTGCTTACAATTAACTGATTGTTGGTTGGTTTGTTAATGATGAGACATTTACTAGTTAATTAACAACAGCAAGGACATCTAATGGTAACAATTAAAACTATCGACTAAATTTAATCTATTAGAGGCTTAATCAAATTGTCAATCAAGAAAAACATAACAAAATTAGCTAATCATTGAAGACTTGCCTTTAATTACTGGTAAATTTTAACAGTAATTAAGTTGATGGTTTGATTTTCATTAATAAGAAATTAACTAATCCAATGGTGACAATTAAAAAGAGTTGTGGGTCGCAGTGTATAACCAAATTGTTGATAACTAATTGTTTCCTGTTTTGTTAAGGTCTCTTGCTTTTGACAATTAGTAAATTAGATATTCAACTAGTTATATTCAACTAATTGTTTAAATTGTTAACACCAAGATTTACAAGATTATTATGATTTACAAGGTTAGGAATCTGGATTGATACCAGGGCTTTAAACTAGAATCTGAGCCAAATGGTTAATTAATTGTTTCCTTGATTCTGTTTCCATGGATTAACGTTTCACTTTCAATAGTTTTTTTCAAAATCAATTTAATTACACATTTCACTTTAGATTCAAATTAGTACATTACTTTTTTTTATTAGGTAATTAACTTTTGTTTTAGCCAATTTAGATTTGATTTTTCATACTAATCACAGTTTAGACCGACAATATATTAGAATTGGATTTTTCTTCATTATAACTTTTGTAATTATATATTATTTTCATTTGGAAATTAATTTCTTTCAATGTTCAATACAATTGATTGTGATTTGTAATCAATTGGATTTCCTTGATTTTGCTATACAAATATAACATATAAAAGATTTGTTTGGATCTTTTTGCTTTTGCTCTTTCGAGATGAAGATGAAGATGAAGATGACCAAGTTGACCATGAGGACGATGAATTTGGTTTCAATTTTCTCTTTGATGATTTTGATGAATGTCTTTTCCTTTTCCGTTTTTTTTTCAAGATGAAAGATAAATCATCGTAGAAACGAAAATGAATTATGTCAAAGTTTGTTTTTCTTTCCTTTTCCTCGTTTCATTTTATAAATAATTTGTGATGATTGTGAATAGATTGATTTTTACGGTGATGATGATGATGATGATGATGATTTGAGTAACAACAGACAGTTAGTGATCTTTAGGAATATTGTATTTCGATGGATGATTTAAAGTTACTCTCAAATTATCATGGTTTCATTGAGATAACTTTTAGATGATGATTTTACTTTGGTCGATGAGACTATGTTACCATTATTGGATAAACTAGTGTTGAAAGTGAAGGCGCTACTCGATGACGAGTAATGATTATTGCTATTGGCGTTTGATTGTTCTTGTAAACTTATCGGGGAAGAGCCATTTTGAAGGGAAGAAGACGATATGGATGAGAAAGATTCAGAATGACCACTAAGGCTTGAATTGTTTCCAATTAAATTGGTCCCAGTATTGTAACAACTTCCATTAGATAGACTGTCACCATAATCGGAATCAAAAGGATAGGCCAAACAATCGTCCGGTGTAACCATACCATTGGAAGTTTGGGTCGAGGCATCGTAATAAGGTGATATTATACATCGTTGGCGACATTGACTACATTTCTGAAAGCGAGCACCACTTTTGAGTAGTCTCTCTTTGGATCTTTCTTCTAGAATTTTGGCCATGATTGCGGCAGAAACGTAATCAGGGCCTCCATTTTGTTTCTCTGATGATCCTCCTTGCATTTCTTTTAATTCATCATTCACTTTGTTTACAGAATAAACCATGGCTGTTGGTGGAAATGTTGAAATTGGAACTCGAATTGTTTTACCATTTCCACTTTTGGTGGTTTCACTTTCTCGATTGGCTTTATTTACTAAATTATTGGAAAGACCACTTCCTATACTTAAACTACGGCGTTTACCAAGATGAGAATTTGCATAATTGGAACGAATTTTGTCTTGTAAATCGGCAGGTAACTAGAAATAGAAAGAGAAATGAAACAGAAAAATTAATTCAAATGGTTCATGATTATTGGTAAAAAGTTTAAATATGGAAATTTCTTATTCAAGAGTAAAAATGATTAATTATAATAATATAATTGTAATATATATGAGAATCATTTCAGCTTAATTGTCCATAGATACGGAAAACAAAACTTTACGTCAACCCTGATGATTGAACAGTAAAATTATGCCAAGGAGAGTCAACCTTGAATTAGGAGCTAAATTTAATCTTACCCATGGTGATGACAAAATTTCAAAAAAAAAGAGAATCGTTTTACAAAGTAAATATACTGAAATGATGATAACATGGTGATGAGAGGAAATAAATGAACCATCCATATATTTATATTGAGATAAATACCTCAAAATGGAAGAAAAATAAAGTGATGATAGAAATATAAGAGTGAAAGATGATATACTAACCGAATTAACCTTATAAGAGACAAAATTGGAGGGTTTACATTGGAGTAAATTAACGGCAAGAGTACAATCATTTTTGTAATGTTCATTTTCATCTTCGATCTCGTTAATGGTCACTCTTGCTTCGACCAGTTTATTGGTTAAATCGGAAATATCTTGAGTCAATGTGGTCTTCTCTGATTCAAATTTATCAACAATTCGAAGTAATTTATCCTCTAACCCTTGATTCACTTTCTGTAATTTCCTATGGCTTTCGGAAAGTCGATCATATTTTTCCTGCCAAAAGCGTAAAGTCTCTTGAAGTGCTTGAAATTCCCCATTGGGATATTCTTTGGCATGATTCATTACTGAGGTTTCCATTTGAACAATGTGATAATCTCTTTCGGCAACTTGACGTTTAAGATTTTCGATCTCTTGATAAAGATGGACAACGACAGAATCTCCATTTTTAGATCCATTGCATTCATAAACACAAGAATCACAGTGACAACTACATTCCTGTATTCAAATAAAATTGTATTCACCAAATTTCCAGAGAAAAAAAAAGAGAAGAGAAAAAAAGAGAAAGATTAATAGAATTTCAAATGGGCTAAAAATATTAAATCAAAGCAAAGGATGAGTGGAAAAAGGTAAAACAGGAAGGAAAATCAGTCAACTGATACCAGTTAATAAAAATTCGCTGGCGGCGATTGTTGAACTTACCATAACTTGGTCAGAAAAAAAAGATTAAAAAAATGAGAGAAGATGAAAATGTTCTCAAGAGAAGGAAAAAAAGATACACTTTAAATTGGAACTTGTAACTTGTTGAGATTTCGTCTGTTTTCCATTAATTTTCAAAGGTGATAAAATAATAGAAGGAGAGGAAAATGCAAATTGTTTACAATAATAAACAAAAGAACATAAAATATTTTAACAATTAAAATCCTTTCTCTCCAAATGTGTTCAAAAAAAGTGCTGTTACCAAGCAACTCTTGCCACTTTGATGTTTATGGAATGTCCTGTAAACGTATAACAATGTTTCCTTTAAATGGTGATAAATGATAACACAATTAAATAGAAAAACAGATAATTAACTGGTTGTAGTTTCTTAAAACAATGATACAATTAATCAAAAGGTAAAATTTGATTAATCAAAAAGGTTCACATAGAAATATAATCATGATTAACAGAAGCGAATTCAATTCATCATTAAAATCCAATTGACACATCGAAAAGAAAATGAAAACAACAACAAGGCCCAAGTTCTTTTTGTCCACCGACAGATGGAGTCACTTAAAGTTCCATTTTTTCGATTAATCATTTAAACTCTTTGGTTACAATTAGTGATTAGTTTCAATTTTCTTGCATGAAATTAGATTATTTAGAATCTCTAAAGGGTCTGAATCTTAAATCTGATTGATATTTGAAATTCTGTGAGTTTTAATTGAGAAAATTTGAATTCGATTTCTTTCAATTTTCATAATTTTCTTTTTTTCGCGCTACTGTGATGTGCTGCCCTCTGGTCGTCGAAATATTAACTATCGGTTGAAGCTTCAATTTTTTTTTCTTTATTTATTTTAATTAATTTTCATTTTTCTGTGACAATAAATTTCCTTTAATTGTTCAACTGCAATTAGTTGATCGTTCCCTGTATTTACAATGAACTGATTTATTATTATTTTAATCGATTAACTCCCTTTTTTATATTCTTCAATTTTATCTGGTTAATTTTTCACTGTTTTTACTTTGTTTTTTGTTTTGTTTTGTTTTTGTAAACCTCACATTACATTCATCAAACACCCAAGAAAAATATTCAAATTTATGCCTGTCAAAGATAATCAAAAATAAGTGAATTTGCTCAACTGTTGTTGATAAAACGCGACAAGGGGAGATAAAGAAAGAGATATAAAATTATCGAAAGAAAAAGAAAGAGAGAGAGAAAGAGAAAGAGACAGCTTGAAAAGTAAGAGAGATAAAGAGAGAAGTAGAAAGAAAAGAATAGAGGAGTTAGAGAAATTGATAGAAAGAGAGTGTAGGAGTTAAAGTGAGAGAGAAAGAGAGAGAAAAAAGCAGAAAGAGATAAAAAAATAGAGAAAGAACTGAAAGCTGATTCTAAAGGATGTCAAATGAAAGTAATGAGATTGGTGAATGTTGTAGCTCTCCCGTTGAAGATGAAACACAATTAAAGGCTTTCGACGATAGTAGTGAAGAGATTTGTGATAATAATTGTCTTCTACCTGATGTGACTGTTGTTAAATCAGTCAAATCGACCAGTTTAACATCCCAAAGTGAGAGAGAATTGAGAGAATCTCAACCTCTATTGAAAAGAATGGATCCTGATGTTATTTCAATAAACAATGTGTTCGCTGATGATCCAGAATTCACTTCTATCATCCGAGAAGCAGAAACTGCCATTGAAACAGCGATTTATCCTGAAAGGATTTCCAAAGGATCAAGTGGATCTTATTTTGTTAAAAATTGCGAATTGGTGAGTAAATCAACCTCTAAGGCTTTATGTAATCAAATTTGATTGTGTTGAAGGTTTTACGTTTTATTATTTCATCAACTATCAACCTAATCACTTGTCAATACCATCAAGTCCATCGGTTCAGATAAAAGTCATTGTTTTTTTCTTTGTTGGTTACCTTTTGTTGAGATGCCACGAAAGCTTATCAATTATCTCTATATATATCTCTAATTATAACAGAAAATGATCAAACTAATTTGTATCAGTTCATGGAAATTGATAAATATGTAATTTCCCTCTTATTAGTCTGACATTTAGGCTTAGCCATTAGGAAATTAGGAAATGATATTTTCTAAACATTGATAATTCACCATCCATTCACCAGATGAGATTAATTTTTTCTCTCGTCTAATCATTAATCATTTACTCATTCATAACAAATGTTATTTTTAAAATTTTTCTAATTCAATGTACATTAATTTTCTCTCCTTTCTTCCTCCATTTTTCTCTATAGAAAAGAATAGGTGTATTCAAGCCCAAGGATGAGGAACCATACGGAAGGTTAAACCCTAAATGGACCAAATGGATGCATAAACTATGCTGTCCCTGTTGTTTCGGGAGAAGTTGCTTAGTTCCTAATCAAGGTTACCTTTCGGAGGCCGGGGCTTCACTTGTAGACCAAAAACTCCAGTTAAACATAGTCCCAAAAACGAAAGTACGTCCAATCGACATGAATGGCCAATTCCAATTATTTCACTTGGATTCGTTATCCCCAATAGTTGATTAGTATTTTTCAAACTCTTTCAAATTTAACATTCTTTTCGTTTTAAATTGTTATGACTAATCATTACGACGTGTCTCACTTTTGAAGTGTAATAGTATCTGAGTCAAGGTTGTCACCAGTACGACAACAATATTTTCCAATTTCTCAGTTGATCGTTTTTGTTTTTTTTCTCTCTTTTGATTCGCTCCACTTTCTTTTTCTCTCACCTCATCCAAATGGGTCAATTTACTACTGTTTACTTGGATAGATAATCTAAATTAGTTTGTTAATCAAGTTACGATTATTATTATCTACTTCCATTTAGATACAAAATTGTGTAATTTCACCTTTAATTCAGTTTCTTACCATTTAGACTCCACTCTAAATTACTCTGTGTCTGTTTACCTTTGTTTTTTTCTCTACTTGATTATTTATATTAATATCTGGTTAACGATTAATTTGCTTCTCATGGTTAGTTTATAGTTTAATTTCCTGATTCGTTACATAAACATGAATAATCAGTATGAGTCATTATCTTGTTTTTTTACTCTGTCAGTTTCCCCCCCCACCCAAATTTCCTGTTTTCTATTCTTATTGATTGTTGTCTAATTGCTTTTCTTAATCATTCTTACTCTTTCCTCACAGGTAATCAAGTTAGCAAGTAAAACTTTTAATTACACCGCAATTGACAGAGCCAAAGCACGAACCAAACAAAATCTATCTGAAAGATATCCAAACCTTGGAAGACGTTTCAACAGAATTGGATTACCATCTAAAGTGAGAAATCTACCATTTTTTTCATCGTCTCGTTTCAATCGATTTATCTAACTGGTTATGTTAATTGATCTTTTCTTTTCTTTTTTCTTTCTCTCATCAGGTTGGCTCTTTTCAAATGTATGTTCACAATTACGAAGATGCTTCAGTTATGCTTAGACAATTTATGGACAATCCTATACCTGAAGAAGTCCAAAGAGAGTTTCAATTACAATTTGAAAGATTGGTTGTCTTAGATTATATCATTCGTAACACCGATAGGAATCATGATAATTGGCTAATCAAATACAATAAACTAGAAGAAAAGAAAAGCTCGGAAACTTGGAATCAGAAAAAGGAACCTTCCGTTAAGATAGCAGCTATTGACAATGGATTAGCATTTCCATTTAAACATCCAGATGAATGGAGAGCATGTTAGTGTTAATTTCACCTCTAATTTATACCTTTTCATTATATTCTTCCTATTTTGAGACCCTCATTGCCATCACAATTTGATAATTGATTCAATCAAAATAATCATTTCTCATTTGCTTATATTGCATTTTTATCTTTGTATATATTTATCCAGATCCTTATCATTGGGCTTGGTTACCTTATGCTAAAGTACCTTTTTCCAAGGAGATCAAAGACCTGATTTTGCCTCAATTATCGGATATGAATTACGTGCAAGAGCTTTGTGATGAGATGCATGACCTTTTCAAAACAGATAAAGGATTCGATCGTAATTTGTACGAGAAACAAATGTCTGTAATGAGAGGGCAAATCCTCAATTTAACTCAAGCTTTAAAAGAGGGCAAAAGCCCGGCTCAACTCGTTCAAATGCCCGCTGTTCTTGTTGAAAGATGTAGAGAAGCGGGAGCAGGAATCAACCAAAGAGGAAGAATTCGAGTAATGGCTGACCAATTTACTCAACGATTTCAAAATCGAGCTCCATTTTTCTCATGGTGCTGATCATTGAATCTACAAAAATTCCATTTTTTCTCTCCTTTTTTCTCCCTCATTTTTTTTGTACATTGTCTTTCTCCGAATCAAAATGAAAACCATTTTTTGGCAATTATGGTCCATTTGATTATTCCGAAATTAAATACTTTTAATCAAATCATATCATTACTATTCAACCTGGATCTCACAATTGGTTATCGATGAAGCTTTCGCCGGATTTGATGTCCCCAACTCGAGCCTAAATTTATTAAATTGTTAACTGTGTAAAAAACCTGATCATTGTCACGAAACTAATGCTAATAGATGTCTAATTGTCAGACTGTCTAATTGGAAACAAATCTCAATGTCTAATTTGATTACGATTATTGATTATGATTTAAACATCAATTACATTGATTATCATTTATAAAGGATAATATTAATTGACATTTGAAATGGTGAAAAACTGTTTCAATTTCATCATATTATCTAAGATGCTTTATTTATCCAAATATCAATTAGATAATTATGAAAGAGATTAATTTAATCAACTTGTTGAATTAACTGTTCTACACAGATGGATAACCTTAATTCTCACTTGTTATTTAATCAGCATCTTAAATCATCTACAATTACATATACGTACCGATTACTAATCGTCAGTTGATTAACTTACAACCTAATTAGAGAGATTTTTTCTTTCTCTCTTTTCTTAAATGTTAAATCATTACAATTTAACATTTATTATGGTTTCATTATCAATCTCAAGTTTAATCATTAAGCTGGAAATTTACAATCAAAATTAATATTTTGGTCTGATTGATATTAAATTGAAAACTATGAATCAGAAAATTGTTCAAGGTACAACAATTACTTTTCATCAATGATTAAATTACTTGACCTTCATTGACGATGACCTTGAATGTGGTCATTTCATTGAGTTAATATAATGAATGAGATTAATGTGGTGAGTATATTAATGAGAATAACTTTTAATTACAAACCTAAATGGACAATAGTTAATTGCCTCCAATGATACATTTGATTAAAGTATTGAAAAAAAAAGTCCGATTGATCTTGAAAGTGAAGCAAAAAATTGATTTAATTAAGAAATAACAATTAACATGAATGGCATCAATGGTGATAAGTTAAATAATTATATATTTAATAGACTCTCTCTTAATTGTTTCAATGAAAATGGATTGGGATTGGAAAGGTTTTTGGATTGGTTTGTCAAGATTAACAATTAGGCTAAGAGATTAACAAATCAGATTCTTAATATTATATAATAAACTAACAAAGGTTTTCATCATCATCATTGTAATCATCGCAATTTGAATAACCATTGGTGGTAATTGATGGAGATGATGAATTTTGATTATTATTACCAGAAGATTTTGGTTTAATGTAAGATTTTAATGAATTAACTTCGTTCGCTAATCTTTCCAATTCTCGTCGAAGTGTAAAATTTTCCGTTTGAAGGTTGGACTCAAGAGAGGAAGCCAAAGCCCCGTCAACGTTAACACCTGAAAGTATTTTATCACTTAATGGACAATCGATACCGTTTCCGTTTGTATCACTTCCGGAGTCACTATCTGTCACCGTGGTTCGAGCTTTGTGTCTCAATTTAAAAGGTAAACATGAGTTAATTCCTGGTACTGTTGATGAGGAAGATGTTGATGATCCCAATGGATGATTATTATTATTGTTGTGATGATAATTTGAGGGAGTTGGTGACGATGATCGCGTTTTAAAAGGTCCAGAACTGAAAAGTCCATTTGATGTTGGTGAGGTTGGCGAGTGGTGAAGATGATTAAGTTGATGGTGATGGTGATGATGATGATTAAGTGAAGGTGGTGATGAACCTGATATTGAGGTTGCTGTTGGAGCTGAAGGTGATGAGGTTGTTGATATTGTTGAGGTTGATGTTGGACTTGTTAAGCATCCATTGGAAATACCATTGTCGTATAAAGATGAAGATGAAGATGATGGCGATGATGCGGTTGATGGTATCATTGGTAATCCGTTACATTCATTTTCACCTGTATCATGTATGTGAGATATAAAAAAAAAGAGGAAACGGAAAGGATGAAGGAGAGAAACGGAAAAAGAAAGAATCAGATTCCGATTTTTATCCGATAAACGAAATCAATTTTGATTGTAGTTCAAGTATTCAACGAGTATTTTCAGAAGTTAATCAGATGAAAATGTAATGAAAATAAATAAACAAAATCAAATCAAATTGTTTACGAATCAAACCGATGGGGAAAATAAAAGAAGCAGAAAAAATCATCGGAAACGGAAATGATGCATGATGTTGATGGAAAATCAGGGAAGAAAAGAAAGAAAAAAAAAGAGAAAATTATAAGTTAATTGTTATTATTCATTGATTGTTCATTTTGATTGTTGATATCAATCAAATAGATGATAATAGGATATGATTAACGATATTAAAATAGATAAGGAAGATAAAAGCATCAAGTGAATAACCTTGAAATGTTTCAATCAAAGTTTTGTTTACCAAAAAGTTTGTTTCATTTTGTAAAATTTTCTAACGGTACTTTTTTTAGACATTCAATGCAATTAACTAACTATAACTATGATATTAATGTTGATCAATGGGTTTAGACAGAGACAATTTAATACAGGCACACACAAGAGACAAAACAACAAATTAGTCTAATTAGATTAGTTTACCCTTGCGAATTCAATCGGATCAAATGATTATAAAGTTGATTCATAATAATAACTGATTTTAGTTTTAATTTGTTAGTTGATTAGTTGATTAGAGTAGGTTTTGTAAAAAGTGATTAAAGAGAGAGAGAGAGAGAGAAAATTTTATACGATCAATTATATATGTATTAATATTGTTATTGCGGTGATTTGCAAGGTGGATTATTAATTGTTGGTATTATGATAACAGGTTGATTGTTGATCTTTTCAATAGGCTTACCTGAATAACCATTTCCGCTCATAATGGTGGTTAATAGTTTATTTCGTCGACCTCGACAACCATTTTCTGGCATTGAAAGTGGTACTACTTCAGGGTCAGCGAAATGTTGATTCGAAGGTAGACCGAATTTCTCCTTAATGGCACAAAGTTCTGCTTTTAGAAATGCATTTTCCCGGGTCAGTTCGAGAACTCGAGTTTCCAAGACCATATCAGAGATACGACGTTTCTCCCGAGATCTAAAAAAAAAATATGAGCGATAATTGAACAAAATACAAATAATACAATTGATGGTTAATTGTTGCTCATTTGATGTTCGAATTGGCTTTTTCTTTATTACCTTTTGCTGCTTCGTTGTTCCTTCGTCGTCTATCCCAATAGCAATCATCTTTCTTTGAGTCGGGAATAAATTCTCGTTGTTTACGAGATGAAAAAAGTGGACTGGTTGGACTTAATCCATTCGATGAAGATGAATTACTATTATTGTTGTTGATTAAATTGTTCGTATTACTATTGTTGCTCCCATCGTTACTGTTTGAGGAGTTATTATTAACTTTACTATCATTGGTGTTTCGGTTGTTATTCACAATACTGTTGGAGTTGTTGTTGTTGTTGTTGTTGTTGTTGAGTTGTTGTTGGTGTTGTTGTTAGTGTTACTGTTGTGACCATTCAGCATATTTTTCATTGAAAAAGATCCTGGTGAAAGTGAAGCTGTGACACAAAATAGAAAAGGTCATCATGTAAATACAGATACAAGAATAAACTTTGATTGTAAATAAGATGCAATCATTTACCAAAGGATTAAATGGTGAGGCTGTGTAGGTGTTTAAATATTTACGTGTGTGAGTGAGTGCAATTAAGAAACAATTAAATACTTACAAGGTAATGATCCAAGTGAATGAGGTGATGAAATTGAAGTAACCGTTAAATCAACTGGCGATGATGGATAACGAGCTTGTTTTCGGGTTATTGTTATTTCCTCGGCATCCGAACAAGTTTCCATGTTTACCTGGTTATGGGGACCAGAGTGAACTGGATTAAATAACATTGTCAACATGGTCACTAATTAAACAAATTGTCTATTTCATATGAACGTAACAACAATTAGAAGAAAAGAAAAGTTTAATCACAAGAAACACGCTCACAATTTGGTAGCGGACAAAAACAATTGAACACAAACACCCAAGTGATTATTGTGATAATTTTATTAACTGAGAGGAGGAAAAAAACAAAACAATCAAATAAATTGATTAACTAATTAAAGATGAGAGAGAAAAAAGAAAAATAGAATAATAAAATAAGATGTTAATTAAGATGATGAAGTAATGATGATGATGATGATGAGAAATCAACAGAATTAAAAAGAAACACTTAAATCACAGTTATAATCTAAATCCAATGTTAATACAATCCAATGTCTTCACTCATGTAAAAGTAAAAATGAAAATGAAAATAAAAAAGTGAACACATAGAGACATTAACGAAATTAACAGTGACCCAGAATGATGATGATAATGATGATGATCAGAAGGAGGGAGAAGATGAAGGCAAAGAAGAAATAATAATAAATAGACACAGAAACTCACAGAGAGAAAGAGAGAGAGCAAAATAAAATGATGAAAGAAGATAAACACTGAGAGAGAGAGAGAAAAAAAGAAAGAGAAGAAATTAACTTATATTATTATATTTGATCTTCGTCTCTGTGAATAGTGATGTGTGTTTACTGAACTTAGATATTGGTGAATGAGTGAATGAAGATAGATGAGAGAGAGAGAGAGAGAGGAGACAGAAAGATCTCAGGTTGAAAGGGATGAAAGAGGAAGAGAAAGAGAGGGAGGAGAAATGAGAGAGAGAGAGAGAAAGTGAAAGTGAGAGCGGGAATAATATGTTTCTCTTTTCAAGGAATCGCGAGGTGTTTTCAAGGCTTCTCCTTATACTGAGCCACTGAAAGGCCATTCAACAAACGACGTTATACCCGAAAAAGAAACTAACTGTCTGGTCTTTCTTTGTTTCTCTTTCTATTTCTCTTTTCTGGAAATAGTAAAAAGAAACAATATAATCAACAAGTTAGAAATACTATTAATAACCTTACATCAATTAACCAGCAGAAAAATATGAGTAATAACAATTAAATCTGAAAAAAGCAAAAGAAAACAAAACAAAATGATGTAAACAAGACACGAAGATAATAAGTAACTAATATTATGTTTGCAACATTCCCATGTAATGAAACTATTACAACAGGAAACGAATACCTTTACCTGTGGAAAAACATTCAACTTCTCACAAGAAAATTAATTCCCTCTCTCTCCCTCTTTAATTAATTTCAGCTAATTGTTAATAAGCCCCACTCGCTAATCATGCGTTTATTATTGAATATTATTTTTCTCAAATCATGTAACCCATCAAATTGGTTGTTCGTTAATTGTTGTTGATTGTGTTCTCTCTCTCTCTCTCTCACTCACTCTTTCTCTCTGTGAACTAAATAACTGTAACATGTAATCTGGAACCAAAAGTTTTGGCTCAATGTGATTTTAGGTTTTGAGACTTGGCATCGGATAAAATTAAAACTTTTTTTTTTGATACTATTGATGATTATCGTTATTATTATGGAGATGATTAAGATGGAGACAGACTGATTTAGTTAACTAAAAACGGGAATTGAACCCGGAATAAGTTTCCTCCAAATTGTAACAGTTAAAAAGGAAACAGAAAAAGTAACAAGTGAATGTTAAATTGTAATAAGTTCTAATTCAATTAATTCGACCTCGAACTTTTCTCTCTCTCATTCACTCTCTCACTCTCTCTTCCTCCCTCTCTCTCTCTCACTCTCTCTCTCTTTTGCCATATTTTATAATAGGAAAATCGGTTTTCTATCAATGATAATAGAGAGTAATTAATAAATAAAAATGTTAATTATTTGTAACTTTATTTACTTTTTCCTCCATACAAATGATTAGATTTGATTAGGAAAGTGAGTAGAAATGAAAATTAGGTCAAATTTGATAACCAACAATTAGTGTATCATCAAAAAAGATAAATAGATTAACAACATTACGGAACAAGCCAAAAGTGTGTGATTAACAGTTAACTATTACAATTAATTATTATCAATTTGGTTTATAAACCTTGAAACTAAAGTATATCATAATAATAATAGGTAAGTAATGTTAACAATTAAAAAAGTTACTCTTCCTCAACTAATCATATGTAGTAATTTACTTGTTGAATGTTAACAAAAATTGAATGACAACAATTAAAAAAAAACTGTACTAACACTTTACTAATTGTGTTAGCCCTTGAGCTGTGGTTGTCGCTAATTATATTAAATTGTGAAGGAAGAGAATCAACAATCAACTAATTGTTACCAAAGGCCTTAGCACTAATATACATTATTGCTGTTGTTAGATAATTGATTAGTTTATTATAATTGATTTGAGATTGATTTGTTTTCATTTAATTTATTTGGATTATTATTATTATTTACTATTGATATAAATGATTGGTTAATTGATATCAACCAATTGATATTACCTATTGATTGTCCTTGAAGCTTTGATGATGATTATGATTTGAACATCAACAATTGATGATCAATGGCCATGATCATGATGTAAAAAGTGTTCAGTTGAAAGTAATCAACTTGATCATCATCATCATTTAACTGAAAACAATTGACATAGAGTGAAAATTTCACTTGGTGACCTAATTTAATTATATATCAACTGACAGGAATGATGAAGATGATGATAAACAAAAGTATATGAGAGAGATGGAGAGAGAGAGAGAGAGAGAGAGAGAGAGAGGGAGATGATGATGAAAAAGTAGGAAGAGATAAATATTAAACAAGGTAATCTAAGATTATCATTATGTATTATTAGCATTAGTTAATCTAATTGTTCTGATCTAATTAATAATCTAATTTGAAGGAAAAAGATACACCAAGTTACCTAATGATAACTTGGAATCACTTGTTGCGCTGAAAACAGTTTCTATTGGGACAATGTCACATTGTCATTATTGTTATTTGTGAATTTAAATTGTTGAGATTAGCTAATTGTTGATTATCTAGTTTAGTTTTGTTTTTCTCTAAATCAAATGTCTATGTAGTATTAGTAGAGTGTGTAAAAGAAAAGAGGATAATCTTTGAGATGAGAAAACGTTGGTAGCATTTTAGAAAGAAAAAGTTACGTTGGCAGAAGTGAGAGTAACGTTTCATTTATGGGATGATGAGAAGAAGAAAAAGATGAGAGAATGTGTATAAGATCACCGGCTCTCATCATCATCATTCTCAACAACAAGTCAACATTTATCATCATTTTATCTTCTTCTCTACAGGAATCTCTATTGAGAAAGGAAGAGGAAGAGAGATGAAGAAAAGTATGTCAGGGGTAAGCCTGGTATCCATAAAATCTGTACAAGGTTACATAAGAAAGAGAAATGATGAGGAAGAGAGAGAGAGAGAGAGAGAGAAAGAGAGTGAGTGAGAGAGAGAGAGAGAGAGAGGGTAAGGCGTTGATAATGGGAGGGAAATAGGGTGGGTGAAGATGAAAGAAAGAGAAACAGAAAGAGGTATTAAGTTACCCAACGAATATGACCCAATGCTGGAAAAAGATTGAAAAAGATTGAAACGAAAACGAGGAAGAAGGTTATCAACGTTTTCTCTTTATTTTTCTTCTATTCATTTGTTCATATCTCAATTTCTTTCAATACATTATCATCACCCGACAAGGTTATTCTATAATCATGGTAAAAATGATAATCATCATGATAATAATAATAATAATAATAAAAATCTTCTCTTAAGGTCATCAAAATGAAATCGTTACTTTTCAATTCGTTTCATTTTCCCGCCTTTCACTTTTTTGAATTTTTCTCTTAATTGCTCTCAGTCTTCATCTCTCTCTCTCTCTCTTTCTCACTAACCATTAGGGCGTTTTCTCGCCTTCTATCATCATCATCATCATTATCAAGTTGATGTTATCAGTTACCTAATTAGCTAACGAACAAGTTAATTTCTGTTTTTGTTGTTTTCATATGAATCTCATAATTAGTACTATTATTATTATATTAGTATTATAATCTTACCTTTATGGTTAATTGTTAATGTTAATCACTATAAATATGATGAAATACTTTGTTGATAAAATCATTACTGTTGATTAAATTTCCTCTTTGATTACTATTCCTTGACTGTTGTTTAAAATGCACATACACCAAGTTAATAACAAAAAGGTAAAAGTTAACTTGTGATGTTTGTTGTCAGTTGATTTACAATTGATTTTAAATTGTTCAGTTATTGGTAAGTATGACCAATTAATACAAATACTATTGAGATTTAGGCTGAATTACAGGAAAGGTGAGAAAAAAAAATTCACAACGTGAGATGTTGAGATGAACGAAATGATTATGATTCTGATTCCATCATTAAGATGAATTTACAAGTTCTTGGCTTCATCCTCATCCCTTTCATCTTCTTACTTTACTCTTTTGTCTTCTCTTTCATCATCGTCATGATGATGATGATGATGATGAGGTTGTTTAACATTTCGAGTTCTAATTTACTTTGAGCAAGCCTCGAATACGAAGATTAGGATGAAAGAAGAAAAAAATTGTTTCTTTCTTTTTTTCTCTGTTCGAATTACAAATAAACAGCTAATCAAGAAGATGAAGATGATGAAGATGATGATGAAAATAGACTGAAGTAAATAGTATTAGGTAAGGCTAATAGAAAGTGTCACAATATCATCATTATCGTCATCCTTGTCTTCTCATCACATGTTTTTCTTTCTTATTCTTAATTGAATGTTGCTCTCTCATTCTCTCTCACTCACTCTCATTACTTGACCATTAAGATGATGAAAAATGAGGATAAATATTTATCCCAAAGAGATGACCTTAGATGTTTTTTAATTTGTATTATGGAAACGTGAAGATTAAGTCACGTTTATACCTAGAAAAAGTTATGCAACTTACCTGTAAGACGATCATGGTGAAGATGATGATGATAAGTTACATTAAGATTATCAAAACGATACAACAACAAAGTCGATTATCTTGTAAATGTCCAAATAGTTACATCGTTACGATCTTCGATTGACCGTAAATTGTCCAAAAAATGACCATTAGAAGATCATGTAAACTTTATTTGATTTACTCGAAACTTGGAAAAAGTTTTTCGAACGGTAAAATGACCTTAGTTAATTGAATGGATGTTTAAAACTCTGAATATCTATCGATATCAGAAATTGAGATAAAACTGTGAATAAGTTTTTGAAACTTTGTTTCTGAGAAAAAAGCTCTAAAAAGCTTTGTAAAGTAATGAAAGTTCATTCATGTTCAACGATCACCATGAAAAATTTAGCATAACAAGATGATCAGAATGCTGATATCTATTGATAATCGTGCGGTAATTGTGTTTTAATTGGATAACGGAAAAAGGTAATCATCTTGGTTGAGTTGAGATCGTAACTTGGCCTCAACAGTTTCCCGAACTTTTTATCTCTCACTCGAAATTATTTAAAACAGGAAATAAACAATGGAAACCCTTTAGTAGTAGAAGATAATTATTGTCACTGTTGGTGTTAAATTGTTGTTAAATTGTAAAAATTAAAAGACCAATGTTAATGTACCCTTGGTGGAAAACACAATTAACTTGATTGTAATAAAATCTTTCAAGTGATTTAACCTGAACAAAAGTATTGAAAACAAAATACACCAACAGATTCACAAAGGAATCAAGAGTAAATCCTTAAATTGGTTAAATCATTTGTGCTCGTTAATTGTTGTTACCTGATCATCATGATTACGTTAATATATTATTATGAATTGATTAAAAAACCTCGTGATTAAATTTAATTAGTAAACACTTACCTATGGTCTCAGGTTTTGTTATTTTTTTTTGTCAATACGAAACCTTATCTAGTGATTAAAGTTAATCATCTGATTAACGGGAAACTATTTCAATTTAATTCTTATTGATTTAGTTATTCACATTTTGTATTATACAAAATACTGATTATTTTAATCATGACGATCATTAAATTGTTAATAATATATAAATTAACTTAATCATGAAACGTGTCTACAGTTCATTGAAATATTAATATTAATCAATGATTAGTAAATGATTAAAATGATCTCATGATTAACTGTAGATGATGTTTAGTCTTATGTGTAGCAATTTATGAAGTAATTTAATTGTTAAAATTTATTAAGAGTAAATTAAATGTCAACTGAGTAAATCTAATTGTGTGCCCAAATAAAATGAAATTTGTATAATCAACCTTATGAAACAATTAATGTTATTGAAATTGAAACGTAAATCAATCAATCAACTTGATCATCTAATTAAGCGTCTTAATTGTTACACGAAAAGAAAAACAAATTGTTAATCATTAAATTAACAACTACTGGTGTTGATTAATTGACCAGTGTTACTATCAGATAACAGATTATATTGATTTAATATCAATGTTAACAATTATTATGTGAAATGGATTTAATTCAGTTGTGTGATTTGATTCACTAATCAAGTTACGAAATCAAATCACACATTTTGATTATCCATTGATTTATAATAATCAATTTTCACGTGTATTCCAACTCAAAATGATTAACACAGTGATCAACTTGGATTAACAGACAATTTAGATTAAAAATGATGATTAATAATCAAGAAAAAAAAACTGGTTAATACATAAAATCATCAAATCAAATCAAATTAAATCTCATGATTAATATAATTAAGAGACGACAACAACAAACGTCAACTATTAATAAAGTTTTTGGTTAAGAAATCAATGTAACCTTGATTAGCGATTTAGATTAGCAATTAACTAGATTGTTTAATTTTCTGTTATCCTTGTTTTAGTATATTATAATAAATTGTAAACTTAATTATAAATTGTACAACTTTTAATCACAGTTGAATGAACCAATTAAACAGAAATATAAGTTAATTGTTTTGTGAAAGAAAAAAAATTTCTCTTCTTTTATCAATGTGGTTGTTTAATTGACTTTCTAAACAATTAGTAAATTATATACTGATTATTATTCAAGTATTATCGTTATTATTGTTATTATATTGCAACAGGTATTAAAACCTTTGAAAAAAAATCATAATCTCATGGATAACAATTAACTGTTAGACAGAATTTAATTAGCCCTTGAAGAAGTAAAGAAAAATTAAAAAGATGAAGACGAAAATGATTAAATCAAGTTGATTAACTGTTAAGGTCATCAAGTGAATGATTAAGGTGAACTTGAAACCATGATGATGATGAGAAAACAGGAAGAAGATGAAAAAATGAAAGAGAAAAAGAAAGTGAGAGATTGATCATCATCATCATCATCATCATGGTTATTTGAGGACAATTAACAAGTAATCAGTTTTTACGTTCAATGGTAAATTTGAATGGAAAGTAAAACGTTAATTGTGAAGGTAAAAGGTATTTTCCGTGTTAATTGTAATCACTTGTGATTTATCATTAACACACACAGAGAGAGTTTGATTGTTGATGGAAGGACAATATTATTATTATTATGGCAATGATCACATTTGTTAAATTGTAATAATCATCATTGGAATCACCTTGATTATGATTTGATCTTGTAATTGTTGGGACCTTCTTTGCGTTATTATTAATCAATAACAAACTTGTAATTTCCTTCATCCCTCTAATAACAATTAACGTTCACAATTAATACACACACACACAGTAAATACATTGGGTTAACAAGGTAAACCCAATGATAGTAATAAATTGTATTATCATAAGAAAAACCTTCATTTGATTGTTGTGATAATTGACAGAACTAATCAGTGAATTAAATAGTTACCAATTATATTAACATTAACCTTAATGGTGATTATGTTGATAATGATCATCAATTGATTGTTTGTTAGTTAACTATCAGGGTTAAGGGAAGACCAGACAATGTTAATTTAATATCTATTTCATGTTGATTGTTGATTGTTCATTTATAATTAACTATCAACAAAAAATTGTTACTTTGTTTTCATTTTCATGTTGATTAGTAAATTTTGTTATTATTATTAAGTAAATCAATTGATGTTTCCTTCAATTTACATTGTATATTAATTTGATTAAGCCTTAATTTGATTTTTGTTAATTTATTTTTCTCTCTCTCTCTCCTTTATTGTTTAACAATTTTTGTATGTTCACAATCAATGGTTATAATTGTTAACTGGTAGAGTTAATTGTTAATATACTAACTGTTGATGTTGTTGTTTATCATTATTGTTGTTGTTGTTCAAGTTCATTTGAAATCCTTCATTTTGAATGATTCCGGAATCAGGGAAACAACTGAAACAATTCAATGTCAAAGACAAGGCAATATTATGCAAATGGTTAGTATACATTTTAATCACATAATATTAATTTAGTTGATGATGATGATGGTTAATTTAATCACACAAGTTTAACAAGAGTTTAATCATCATCATCTAATTGGAGGTTAATCATTTCCTTACCTCACCATTAACTCGTCACCATAATCATTTTGAAAGAAACAAAACTATTAAACCAAATATTGAGAAATTAATAAAATTATAAATTTTACTTTTATTATTTCATATTTAATTCCTTAATCGTGATTAATTATCTGTAGTTAATTAAAGCATTAACAGTTAATCCAAAGTGAGAGCATTTAAACAGATCCAATTAGATTTTAACCTCTAAAAATATTCAATTTCTTCATAGGATTAACTTATCATTATTTATCAGTTCTATTTCTCTCCTTGATTAGATTAAACTTCATGGTAACATGAACAATATAATCAGTTAATTGTTTCAAATTCGTTAGACTAATTTACTATTAATAAGTAAATTTTACTTTTCGATTAGTGGTTCCATCTCTTGCTTTTTTTGGAAAATGTTCTTTTGCTCTTGAAATAGACTCAGTGGACTATTCGTCGTGACAATTTATTAATAGTTTTAGCTGAGGTTGTTTAAGGAATTACTTGTTGATTATAGCAATTAGTTAATGCAAGTTGTTAGGAAAGTCCGTTAGGATGACTGAAAGTGAGAAAAAGACATGAAAAAGTTAATAGGGACAAAAAAGTTCCATTGGACGAACATGAAATCAATTTTATCAATTAAAACTCAAGAAATATTTTTCCAAATTAAGTTCAGGTAATTTTACCTCAAAAATTGTAAATTGGAAGATGAAGATTCTTGTCGTATCCTGGGCTTAGGAATTGATCAATTAGAAGAAAATAATTGCTCGTCTAATCACAAGTAAGGCGATAATTAATTCTGTAATCATGGATCAACAATTGATAATAATCTGAAGAGATTCAATCATAAGAAATTAACGAAAAATGTAGAAAACTTTTCCTTGCGAAATAAAAAGTAACCTTTTGTGATCAATAACACAATGAGAATCTTTAATCAAACACAATTTAAGTATTAACACTCCATCTGAATGATCCACGACTCGAATCCTTTTCAAAGACAAGTAAATTGTGAACAATTAATCTAATTTTTATGCTAATTTCGAATGAAATTTCCTTTTTTTCAAACTTAATGATAATTAGATGATCAATATTGAAGCAAATCGTTTACTTCAGTTGTTCCTTTATAACTTGTATGGATAAAATCAACCGAAGGGCTATCAGCTCAGTCCACTCATTCAGAATTATTTTCTGTTCCAAGATTGGTGATGATTGATTCATCTTTGATCTTCATTGACACTAGATCCTTTTGTTGTTCGAGTTTATGTCAAATGTTTTATCGAGTTTAATGGTAGTTTTGGCGGGACCAATCGAAGTTCAAATTTCTTTTCCGTCCGATGTCTAATTGGATTAAAAGTTTCATTTGGTCTCAATCAAAGGGCTAATCTTGTTCAATAGATTTCCAGGTTGAAACTGTTTCATATCGAGATTCTCATTAACTGATTAATATCCAATTTACTGTTCGTTTCCATTGGAAACATTTTATTTTCAATGTTTTCGTTGCTAAGTAACAACGGTGACCAAAGAAATGATAACAGAGAGAATCGACATTTTCTCTGGTAGATTTTACTTAATTATCTCGATAGTTTATTCAATTTGATTTCGATTCATTTTTAAATTTCCAGATTGTTATCCATATACAATCGTACTAATTGTGATTAAAATTATTTTAGATTGACTCAAATAACAAACAGTAACTTGAAATCCTATTAAAGTTATCGATTGATTTTCTTTTTTTTTGAATGAAAGCCCATTGATATTCACCATTTACCTTTAATTGTTGTCTTCTAATTATACTTTCTATTTTTAATCAGTTATAAAGGACTGAATATTGTGCAGATCATCATCATCTACTACGGATTGAGCAATTAATCAATCCATCAATGGGTTTATTTGGTAAAAGTGGCTCTCACCCTAAAGACAAGGTAATAATTATACTAATACTGATATTTAACCTATTAAATCGCTAGCAAAACAATTTACTAATTCTATTATTAATTACGAAAGTTTCTTGATTGTTATGATTATACATATTATAAAACAATTTCGATGTGAAAGTAAACAAACAATTATTACTGTTCTCACGATTAGATATCTCAATGGGTTAATATTGTCATTAGATTTTTGTTAATTGTGTTTTCATTTTGATTATTGTGTTGATTTATTTCAGGTTCAGGATTGGATCAGGAAACTCCGGAAAGAAGTCATGTCAATCGATCGGCAAATAAGAAATATCGAAAGAGAAGAGGCCAAAACTCGACTTGTAATCAAGGAAACGGCCAAATTGGGAGATGAAGATTCTTGTCGTATCCTAGCTAAGGAATTAATCAATTCTAAGAAAACAATTGATCGTCTAATTACATCTAAGGCGAGAATTAATTCTGTAATCATGGTGATGAATACACAATTAGCTAATCTCAAGATCTCTGGTAACTTGGCAAAAAGCTCCGAGGTAATGAAATCAATGCAAGGACTAATTAGTGTACCTGAATTGGCGATCAACATGAAACAATTATCTAAAGAGATGATTAAAGCTGGTATTATGGAGGAAATGATTAGTGAAACAATTGATCAATTAAATGAATCCGATGGTGAATTAAGTGAAGAGGAGAGCAAATTGCTGGAGAAATTGTTGTTTGATACAACACAAGGAAAGATGGGAAACAAGATAGAATCAGTTGATTCAATAATAACAATCAAAGTAAAGAATCAAAGAAAATAACAATTAAATCAGATTCAACTGATAAAGATGAAGATCAAGACGAAGGAACTTCAATTGTTGAGATGGAAAAGAGATTGGAAGCTTTGAGAAGTTAAATTGCTAATCAAACCTGCGAATCTTATTGGACACAAAAACTCATGAATCTCAGTAATTAAAAAGACAATCCAAGTGATTGAATTACAATTAATAGATTTTATTGATTGAATCTTTGGCAATCAGTTCATTTCTCATTCCATCCTCATAATAATCAACTTTTTATGTATGTAATTCAGTAATTGAACAAAATGGATTGTCCATTTATCGACTAAATTGAAATGATTAATTTGTAAATTACTGAAGTTTTCACTTTATTAGATCTCAAGCAAATTGAGAATATGTTAACACAGATAGAGAAAAATTTTACATTGATTATAAATTTATTTTCGCAATTGTTGAGAGTTCTGATCAGGTTCGAGTTTGTTGATTATGTCTTGTATAAAGAAATTTATAATGTACTCAAATTTGATTAATTAGACTAGAAGTTTGAGTGATTTGAATTCAGTGTAGAAAGAGAAAGTATTGATTGTAGTGATTAAATTTCTTGAACATCATCATCTTTTGATTTTGATTCTTCTGTGGATGTTGAACTTTTATCGAGCGATTTAAGGAGACCAGAAAGTGAATACGAGGAGGTCATCGAGGACGAAGGGGTCGGAGAAGTGTCTCTTGTGCGATTTGATGTATTCCATTGAGATGACCACCACGATGATACCGCAGTTTTAGCTGAGCTTAAAGCTCCTCCAACGGCTTTGCTAGTTTGACCTAAGGTTTGGTTCAACTTTTTACCTCTCTCCGTATTGGTCAAGGCTTGGGACAGTTTAAGTTTCATATCAGCGATACTTAATTGTCCATGGAATGGATGACCAGGATTGACCTCGAAGATTCCAGGTTTAGAGAGAGATGTCCACAATCGATAATTATAAGTTTCTTTCCAGCTCGAAAGAAAAAGAGAGTTGAAAGAGGCATATTCTTTACTATTTTCTATTGATGAAATGAAAAGAAAAAAAAAAAATTCGTAAGAAAAAGATCAACAAGTGCTCATTGAAGAGATGATTTAATTGTGTTTACCTTCACATTGAGATGTCCGAAGAAGATGAAGAAGATAAATTTTGAATTGGTATCTCAACCAATCATCACAACCTTCCCAAGAAGAACCATCATTGGGCACATTTTGGGTCACCGAGTTCTTACTGACCACTTGACCTTCTAAAGCTGCTTTGACCAAATAATCAGCGAATCTTAAATCTTCCGTTGACAACATAACTTGTTTTCGTAGTTCAGGATCGTTGATTTCAATTTTAACTCCATCCACTTCGATAATAATATCGAATAGATTTTTCTTCTGTTTGAACAAGAAATTGGTCGCACCAACAACACAAGAATGGACTCTTGGGTCACTTAATATGTCCAGATAAGTGATGGATAAATATGGATGACAGAATGACCCATTCCCAAATATCCTTAGGGGTAAACCACATTCTGAAATTGGTAACTTTAAAAGTGGAGGAGTTGATGATTGTTCTTGTGAGTTATCAGGCTGAAAGGAATCATCAGAATATAAATTTTCGGCTTTCACAATATCTTCATCACTAATATTTAATTCCTCATCACTTTCACCTTTGTTCTCAATTTTTTCACTACTTTTATCGCAATTATTATCGTCATTGCTATCTGGCTTTTCCTCCCTTGACTCAGCTGATTTGTCATTAATCATTGAATCCAATTCATCAGGTGTCTCTTGATTTACCGTAATATTTTCAATCTGTTGATCATCTTGTGTCGTTTTGGTTGTTTCTCCTTCTTCTTCCTTTTCATTTGTATCAATTTGAGGTTCATCGTCTTTAACTGAAACATTATCATCATTTTTCTTGGAAACATCGGTGAGTTTAGTTGCTAATTTGGATGAAGATTTATTCAACTCTTTCTCCTTGGCGTCAATCACTTGAATGAGAGGATCAAGAAGTTCAATATCTCCTGAGAATTTTCTTCCAATTGATGCTTTTGGAACAACCGAAGTCGAAGAATAGTCAAGACCACCTTCTTCAATCATTCCAGGGAACAGGGAAAGTAATGTTATTATAATTGTACACAAATCTTTAACCGGCGATTTGTAAAATAAAACCTGAATGAAGACAAAGAGAGACAAATTGATCAGTAAGATGATTGATAAAAAAGTAGAACTTGTTATTGTTGTTTACCTTTTTCTCGAGAAGAACCAATTTAAAAAGAATGAGTATTTTATGTTGGAATGTGGCAATAAGATCACGAGGAGAAAGTCCAAGGAAAACTTCACTAGAGTTGAGATAATCTTTGGTCAATAATCCGTTCAGATTGAAATAAAGCTCCTTGAGACAATCTACTTTGGAGAAATCAAACTCATTGAAATAAGCATAAGTAATCATCTCACATTTTGCAGCAATTAAACCATATAAAGGTAATTCACTAAGTACGACAACACTTTTCTGTACAGTTCCTCTGGTAACATCATCAGTTTTACGGTGCAATCTATCAGAAGCAATTTGACGATAACAAGAGATGCCATAGATTGTGGATAGTGGCCTTTCAGGGTGAGGAAGATGAAAATAAATTGTGTCTCTATCATAATTATGAGCACCATCAGGTAAAGCGATTGAAGGTAATGTCCTCCATACTTTCGGCAGCCTAAAAGGTCCTTTACTTTCCTCACAAGGGGTTGAGGAAGTGGTTAAATTATCATCACCTTCCCTTTGATCTGAACTGTTGGTGTGTCTCATTTGAGGAAAACAATACTCGATTAAACATCCTTTCTTGTGGTGAAATCCAACAACTAAAACGTACAAAATTGGTCCACAGGGCAGATCATCATCAGGTTGTTTCATTGTTTAAATTTTCAACTGCAACTTTCGTAATAATAAACTCGTAATAATCAAATAATCAACTCTTTCATTTCATGACAATTGTCTTAGATAATGAAAATTTAGATCAACTGATTTGCATGGATGATTTTTACATTTGATTTGTTTGTAATAAGGTTTATCATGATGAGCTGGTTATTTACAATATTTTCTTTCCCTTTATATAAATAGATGCACCAATAATTATCAAACTCAGATCATCAGAGAAGATATAGTAAATCAAATAATCTCACAGGTAAAAAAAAGTTAATCTGTGAAAGCATAAAAAAAGAGGAAATAATTAGAATTAAAAAAGGAGAAAAAAAAATTAAATGTATCATGGAAATGGATTTAATTGTGAACAGGAAATGTCAAAATGAATATTTCATAACTTACCTGTTGGAATTACAAAAACAATCTACCAAGTTGAGGTACCGCAATCTTAGTGGAGGTGAAATGTTTGAAATAAATGGAAACAATTAAGAAAATCAAATTGTAAATGATTAAAAAATCAAGAGCAATTTCAAGTTGATTGTTAATTTTATTTTCTCAAAAAAGTAAACAATGTTTACTAAACATCGTGATCGCAGCTCCATCTTTTGGTGGAAAAGAACAAAAGTTAATCAATGAGTTTTTGAAAAAACGTTCTAATTATTTAAATGTTTTCTAATTAAATTTAAAAGAGAACAAGTGATTTTTTTCACTTTTTCTCAAAAAACCGAGATAAATAAATTTCGTTCCATTCAAATTGTGTCAATCAGAAAATTTAATTGGAAAGTGATTAATTAAAAAGACATCACACTTGATAGATTTCATTTTCTGAGAAAAAAAAAGTTAATTTAAACAACTACAATTAAAATTTAAGTTGAAATGAATTTACATTGTATCTTTGAATTGATTTTTTTTTGTTTAAATTATGATTTCTCCTTTCATTTGACTTTGTTTTAATTGTTAAAGTTATTTGATTAAATTGTGTATATTTTTTTTCGTTTGTCTTGTAATAGATATGCGAATTTTTCAACAAAACGATTAACTATTAATTAATATTTTTCTTTTCAGTTAATTCCAAACATGAGATATTTTTTTTGTGTCAATAATTTTATCCATTTTTTGTTGGTTCTCTCCTTCCAATTATGATTAGTTAATTTAAGAGTAAAATTTCATACATTTGATGTACACTGGATGCAATTTCGGTGACTCGAGATTTAACTGACAATTGCATGTCAGGACTACCTGGTTGAATTTTGAGTTCAGCAAGAATCCACATTCCATTGCTCAGTTTACATGATTGGTATAACATGTCGTTACCTTCAACATTACGTTTAGCTACGGTGAAAATATTATTCGATTGTAATTTAGATGAAACTGAATCAGCATCTAAGTTAACACCGTTAATTGGAAATTTAAGTTCATTTTGAGGTGGAATTTCTTGCCATGTAGAGAGGAAAACACGTTTATCCATGCTACCATCTTCGCCGCAGTAAACATGGAGAGGGACAATGGTGCTAAAGTAAAATATTCCCACATTATTTTTAACAGCAACTTGTAGATTAGTCAGTGGATTCATCTTTTGAATGGGTCCCATGGTGGTCAGTGGTAGACTCACATCAGCTGATACATTGGGTGGAAGAGGAGTTTGGATTGTCAATGGTTGACCAGGGGCCAGTCCAAAGCTGTTCTTGTTAAATTGGACAGCAAATCCGGTCATCCCTTGCATTGCCCTATTAGTAAAAGTCATTTCCATGGTTATTGCACCATTACGGCGGGTAAAAGTACCAGAGATTTCCAATCCTTTTCCATCTGTAGCAGAGAGCCAAGTCTATTGAGAGAGTGAAAATTTCATGTAGGCGTAAATATATTAATACAAACACAATAAAGAGACAAGATATTTCTTACTAACCTGCTTAGGTGGGGTAAAGAAGGTACTAGCAACTGGAATGCCGAAAATGTCACCGAGAAGTCCAGAAGTTGAAGATACTGGTACTACTGATGGAATGGGTGCTGATGAGGTTGGTGGGAATGTCGTGGTTGAAACGGGAGGAGCAGGTTGAGAGATATCATTACCGCCCAATAGAGTATCCAATCCACCTCCAAGAATATCAACATTAGAGTAACTGTTGATAGGTGATGTGGCGTATGTTGGTTGAACCGAGGGAGGATTAAGCTCAAGACTTAATAGATCACCAATTAGACTTTCTTGAGCTGGAATTACGGTGGGTTGTTGTGGATCATTGGTAACTGCAGTTGATGTTCCATCATCACCTGATCCTGATCGAGGATTTAAGCTTTTCCTTAAACCAGTTTTACCTTCGACAAAAGCTGAAGGTGGTTTATGGTAAACTGAAGCTAAACTTCCAATGTGACAGATCAATTCATCCAACAGGGTTGGTTCTAGAAGATCAGTTTCCTCTGAAATTAAAGGTTTCTCTGCAAGAACAACTTCTTTCGCAGCTGCTGGATCAGTGGACAGTAATCGCCAGTAAATATATCCACGATCACGAAGGTCAGGATTGTCACTGTCCAAAGTAGCCAAGCTAAGAACTGATTGAACCACATCCTGAGTTTCTGTAGGTCTTTTCAGGAAAAGTTTCACAATAGCTGTCAGTAATTGTAATTGAACTTGGGCGTTCTCATCATGAAAACCTTCAAGGAAATTTTCTAACAATTCATCGGCATTATCAATACGTTCAGCGTATTCACCGATAATCCAAATCATGGAAGCTCGAGCTTCAGGTTCATCGAGAGTGTCAAGATTTTCACACAGAGTAGAAATGATACTCTCATATTTATTGGGATATTTTCTGAAAATATCTTTGATCACCACAATTGCCTCTTGTACAACGTAATTAACTTTAGTTTGTATCAGATCCAACAAAGTGGCAACACACCTCTCGGCAGATTGTTCGACTTTGATAGCACATCGACCAATTGCTCTTACAGCTTTACGAACAAAATCAACATCAACCTCAGTTGCATATTCTTTCAATTCAGCCAATACTTGGGTGATATTTGCTTGAGATGCTAATCGAATCATAATGTCCAATTTTTCCAATTTCACGTAGATTGGGTCATTATATTTAACGAAGAAAACCTTCATCTCATGTTTCAGAATATCGGGTCTTTTTTGCACAATCAGGTTGATATTTCTAAGAGCAACATATTGAACTTCAGGTTCACTGGATAAAAGGGTTACCAATGGAGGAGCCAATTTTTTCGTTAGTGTTGTAACAAATTCAACATCATTCATTCGTTCCATGAATTTCATCAGCACCTTTACTGCACTAAGAACCACGGCAGCATTAGCATGAGCCAATCTGGGAGTAACACGTTCACAAATACTTTGTGCTTCCCGATCATCTTTGGTTGTATAGTTGGCTAGTGCATCTAAAATAAATACCTGGCCCCATTCAGTGCATTCATTAAGAGCTGTGAGTAGTTTGTTGATCGTTTGGGCATTAAATTCAACCAATGGTTGACCGGTGCTTGAAGCTTCATTGATCTCGGAAAGAGCAGCAACAGCATTAGCAACCACCATAGGATTAGAATCGGAAAGAAGTTCTCTCAAAAGATCAAGAAATCCTTGTTCTTCAACCATTGATGAATTGATATCATGAAGCTTGGCCACACAAACAGCCGCAGTTTTCCTTACATAAGGATCTTCATCTCGTAAACATTTTCTCAAAGGTTCAGTTAGATATTCGGTTATTTTGTCAACTCGAATACACCCCATTGTTCTAACAGCCAATGCTCTAATCAATGGATTAGGATCGTCACAATCTCGGACGAAAGTGTTAACCGCCATGATCGCCATGTCTGGTTGACTTTTCGCATAATTCATAAGGTAAAGATAAACCAGCTTTTTAAGTTCCAAATTATCTGTTTGCATACAGTTGACCACATCAGGAAAAAGAGAAGAAACATCTTTACCAACTGTCATTGAGGCGATGACCTTTTTAACAGCTTCCCTTCTTTTCTCTTTTTTATCACTATTTAATTCACCTTTCAACTCAAAGAGTTCACCTCTTTTAGTATTGGCAAAATACTTGGCATCGGTCATGTTGACTATTAAGAAAATAAATGATTCAAACAAACAGAAAGGAAAAGAAAATGATTAATCAAATAGAAAGTAAGGATTAGATTGTGGAAATTTTGGAAACAATAAAAAAAACAAGAGTTTAATTTTTAGGGCAAACAATTAACCTGAACAATTAATGTAATTAGAGAAAAACAAAACCAGAGATTTTGTCAAATCAAAGAATTGGGGGCGTTTCCTATCTTTCCTTTGTATAGAATTCACGAGATGGCGCTACTTTCGTACTCGCATGTGACAATTTAATTGTCAGAGTTTTGATCATGTTAATCACTTAATCGAGATTAATTGTGATTAAAATTTCTTTCCATTTGATTATTCTGAATGTTTTCACCGTATAATTTGATATTCTCTCAGTAATTCGGTCTTCTAAGACTGATGAGAAACTTTGATACCGATTAAAAGAAAAGGTTAACAATGAAAGTTTAATTATTAATTATTGTTAGATTGTTGTTGTTTTAGTTAATTACAATAATCGATCCCATTTTAATCAATAAACATAATGAATTCTCATGTAAAACAGTTATTTCATTTGTGAATTTATTGTTAAACAATTGATACATAAACTTTATTTGTAGACATGGGATTTATTGGGCTGACTATTTTGTAGCTCAATCGATGATTAACTTTTAACTTTGGCAATCAAATTAAGCTCAATGCTTGATTTAAGGGAAGGTTAGATTAGTTTAGTTCCGGTTTTCGATTTTAAGAGACTTCAAGCTCTAATCTAGAGTTTCCATCCATTCAACACTAAGCTCATTAGTGGCAGTGTATGAATGGTCCATATTTCGTCCATAAAAGTTTGATACTTGTTTGCGATATTTCAATATCAAGGTTATTTATTGGAGAACATTTTTCAAGGTCATTTGAAAAATTTCTTAGAAAGGGATGAATTTTAAGCCTACCTGCGAATTTTCATTCGATTTATATCAAAAGGTCCTGATTTATTAATTCTCGATACATTTTTTCATCGAGATAAAACTTTTCTCTTCTTTTTCTCTTGCTCTTTACTTGTGATTTATTTTTCACCGTCAAATATAAATAGTAAGAAGGATATTTGATTTGATTTTCGTTTGATATCTCCATTATTACTTATTAATCATCGAGCTGAAGGAAAATTAAATCATGTTTATGAGAAAATTAGCAAAAAAAACTGAATATGAATATGAATATTATGAGAAAACAAATGAAAATGAAAAAACTTCCTTTCTGAATATCAAGCGATATTGTTTGCTATCGAAAGAGTTAATACAAAGTTCGAGCTTTTTTTCTTCGCATTTTATTTCAATGTCAAGGTTATAAAGGTTATTCGCCAAAGATCACACTTGAAGGTTATTTTGATGACGATAAGCTTGAAACTACGAGTTGATAACATAACAATTAACGTTGATATTGCTGAATAACCTTAATGAGCTCGACATTGAAATATGACAAACAAGTATCGATAAAACTTCCATAGACGAAATATGTAAATTATTGGCCATAAGTAATTATTGGGAGATTGGGAATAAAACAATTAAGGTATCCAAATCGCCCTGTATTCATTGAGCAGTCAGTTAATTATCTTTAATTGTGTTCATGTCAATCATTACAAATTGTTAATGGCAAGTTTTCACCTTTAATAATATTATTATTTAAAATCATTAACCTTAACCATTTTACTTTCAACAATTAGCTATAAAGAGCACTTTTGATTACTCTCACTATTAACTAATTACCTGAGTTTAATTCCATATGAATATATAATAAGATCAAGTTGATTCTAACAATTAGAAAGAAACAAGTTCAATAGAAACTCAGTTTTTTTTTGCTTCTTCGCCGAAGATATTTGATTTGATTCTTGATGATTAAATGGTTGATGAACTATGGATGAAAACTGGTAATATGATGATGAAGAAGGAAGAAGATGAAAAATTATCATCCCGTTATGTTTCACATCATCATCATCCTGATCATCATGGTTCCTCTTTTCAATTTCAATTCTATCAGTTCCTTGACCTGAGATGGAAAAAAAAAGTTTCTCAGATCAACTTCACAAATTAGAAATCAGATAATCACAATTTATTGTTAATTAACTTTGTTCTCTTATATAAAACTGATTAACCTTTCATGATTGTTAAAAAATCGCAACAAAATCAACCTAATCAATGCACAATCAAAATTCATAGTTGATCAACAATTCAATTGGAAATGTCTAAGACAATAAAGTTAATTACCATTGAGAAAATTTCATTTTCTCCAATAACTGGATCAATTTTTAAATCGTTTCGATGCTTGATTTAGACCAATTTAACTGATTATCAATCTCTCTGAACAATTAACTCTTCATTACCATGAGCATTCATTAGCTAATCAACAGACTTGAACTCGAACATTGTTAACAATCAAATGAAATTGTTAGCAACCTTTTCATTAAGTTTTTAATCACGTTGATCTTTTATTATCTTAATCATGAAAATTTTCATTCTCTTGTTGATTAACTTTTTTTTTCTTCCAAAAAATTAAGAACCGGATTTATCGGTTAATCTCAATCTCATGTCATGGAAGATGAAGGTTACATTGACTTTCCTATTCTGTTGTAAGTCTAAAAAAAAATCTCTTTCTAATTATCTGTCTAATTTTTTTTTCTAATCTTTTCCTATTGAGATTTTTTAATTCTTAGCAAAATCAACTACATGAACGATCATGATAATAATGATAATGAAGATGAACTCAGGAAGAATCATGAGCTTTCCTCTTGTTAAAGGTAACAAACAGGTAACTCTTTGGTTACCGGTTTATTATATTTCTCAGGTAAAAACGCCCTTGGGGTTAGAAGGAGGAAAATAAAAGATCCAAGCCCACCCTCTATCTACCCAAGGACCGACCTTAACCTGTTTCCTCATCGCTTACCCGAGTATATAAAAGCAAAGCCGATGTTGACCCTACTCTTAGGTCACTTAAGCTTCCCAACTTGGAGTGATTAGTTGATTGTAATTTATTTTCTTCGTAAACAAAAAGTTTAACCAACACACAGAACAAAACAATGAAATTGGTAAGTTATCATCTCTATTCAGTGAATGATTTAAATTTCTTCAACTGATTTACAATATTAATTATTGATCTAATTTTCGTTTAGACTTCAGTAACTATTGTGGTCCTTTTTGGTGCCATTGCCACAATTAACGCTTATCCAAGTGTAAAAGGAGTTCCTACCCAAGTCTCAGGTAAATTAAAACTTTTTCCATTCGAAAATTTCAACTGTTTAATTGGTGGTTTAATCTAATTTTCCTTTTTAATTGTTTCATCATTTAGATGTTAAAGGTCTCAAAGTTCCCCCTAGTCCAGGATATTACGATCGACCCTCGAAGGTTGGTCAAGTTAGAGATGATGTAAAAGGAGTTAAATCAGTTCCTGTTGTCCAGCAACAACAACAACAACAAGTACAAGATGAAATTAAAGGTGTCCAACAACAACAACGAGATCAATTCAAAGGTCAAGTTCCCGTTGTCCCTCAATATCCCGTTAAAGGTGTCCAACAAAAAGACCCCGTCAAGGGAATCTCTCAACATCCAATCAAAGGTCAACAACCTGTTGTCCAACAGCGACGACCTTACCCAGTCAAAGGTTATCCCCAACAGAGAGACGAAGATGCTAAAGGTAAAAGTTTAGTCCAACAACAAGCTGAGGTCAAAGGTGTTTCCCGACAAAGACCACACTATCCAGTTAAGGGTTACCCTCAACAACAAACCCAACAAGTTCACGATGATGTCCAACAGCGACAACAACCCGTTTTCCCAGTTAAAGGTCAAAGACAAACTCGAAGTCTCAACTATGAACAAGATGTTGACCAATCCAAAGTTGGAGCCAAAGGTAAGAAGACAATTTCTAATTGTTACAAATACTAATTAACTGAAAATTAAGTCACCATAGTTTAATCGCTCCGTGATTTTGTCTCTCTCAGGTCGAAAGGGAGGTATCAAGGGTGCTCCCAAAGCTCCAACCAAAAGTGTCCCAAGAACCAAGGGAGGTAAATCTGTCAACGATGTCAAAATTGTCCAACAAGAGGCTAAAGTTGCCGATGTCCAAGTCAAAGCCGATGAACAGGTGAAAATTGTCCAAGAACCCGTTCCAGTTGTAAAGGTATCTCAAGAAAAGGTAGCCCAAGAGTCCGTTCCCGTTTCCCAAGAAAAGGTTGTCCAAGAATCCGTTCCAGTGGTCAAAGTTGTCCAAGAAAAAGTTGTACAAGAATCAGTCCCCGTTGCTAAAGATGTCCAAGAAAAGGTTGTCCAAGAGTCCGTTAAGGTACCACAAGAATCAGTTCCCGTTGTAAAAGTAGTCCAAGAATCAGTCAAAACTGAACAAGTGAAAGACGCTCAGGTCAAATCTGAAGAAGCTGTTAAAGGACAAACCGTTGACCATGTAGTCGTCGCCGTTGCCAATGGTGTTGGCTCAAGTTCCAGTGGTGCCTCAGCTTCAGCTTCCGCTTCAGCGGTTGTTGTAGTCGCTCGAGAAGAGCCACAAGTTAAGGAAGAAACCAAAGCCGATGAGCCGAAACAAGGTCGATATTTGACCAAAGTCGGTTCTCCCGTCAAAGGTGTCCCATTTTACCGCAAAAAGATCAGTCAACAAAAGGATGTTACCGTTCAACAAAATGAACAACAAGTTGCCCAAGAACCTCAAGTTGTCCAACAAGACCAAACAGTTCAATCAGATTAATTGATCAACAATTAAGACAATCCCTTAATCCTTGTCAAATAAAATACTCACCACACAAAATAATTGACGAGCTTGTACTTGTATCCTAATGATTTGAATTCACACAAATTAATTTATTACTCATTAAACGCTTTCCAGCACAATCATTACAACCATCACAGATCCGCAATCAAATCATTTATCAACAAAGTTAATTGTCACAATCAAATCTAATCAAACATTAAACAATCAAACTCAACAACAAATTATTGATTCGATTCCCATTCAACCTCAAGGGTGAAAAGGTAACCTCAACCAGTAGACCTTTAATTGTCATTTAATGTTAACAAGTAACAATTAATTATCTCTAATGATCAGTTTTAATTAAATTGTTCCAACAACTTATTTTAATTTTAATTCTCTTACTTTTTTCCTCTCTTTCTTTTCTTCTCTTTCTTTTTTCTCTTTCTTTCTATCCATCAGCTGTTTTCCATCATAACATTTTCTTCAACAACAACAATTAATTTCTCTCTCTTTTAAATTGTTTCCATTTAATTTAATTTCCATTTTTTCTTAATTGTTTCTCAGTTTTAATCTAATTTAATCACTGAACTTGAATTAATACTAATCTATTCAAGAATAGAAACCAGAATAATCTTTTTGTTGATTTCTTTTGGCTTTCAACTCTTTGGGTATTTTGTTTCTGGTAAAATCATTTACATGTTACGCTTTTACTTGTTTCTTTGTTTTTAATCAACAAATTGATGATTATTTTCATCACCTCAGTGTTATTTATAAATTAGTGCCAAGTGTCAAGTTTCCAGTCAATGGTCTCACCCAATGTTTTAATTCAATATGGATCCTGTCCCTTCATCACCATCAACATCTTCACCTTTCAACAACAACAACAACAACAAAAACCATCACCACCTCAACTGATTGATTTAACAGATGACCAGGATGACGATGATGATGAAGATGATTACTTTGAATCTACACCTGGTGATAATTTGCTGGTATCAGCGACCAACAATTTAACTAATCACCCTGAGTACTGGTCAAGTTTCTTTGATTACAACCTTGTCTCCCCTTTCATTTATCCTACATCCTTTTTCCTTACAAAATATATGATTATCTATCAAAGGGTGTGTGTAATTAAGAGTCACTTGTGTCCTCCCTAATGTTGATTTTATTCTGACCCCCGAGGCCTCGAAATCTTGTCATTCATTCAAATAGTTTGATGGTCAACAAGAAACCTGATTGGGAAACCTGCCCCTTAATGAGACTTTGTTGATGATCAAAGGAGAGAGAGAGACAAAAGACAGAGAAATAGTGAGAGGGAAAGACAAAAAAAACCGTTGATTTATTAATTGGTTTCTTAGAGACCAAGTTTTGTTTTGATGCAAACTGTTAGTTAATCAATTGCCTTTTTCTCAAGTAAAATGTGTTTAATGAGATTGAGTGAAAAACGTCCTTTGATTTGTTCCAAATTCAATTTCTATGAAAATTTTCTCATTTTTTCGTAATCTTTGTTATCGACTAATTTTCTGTTCTATTAATTGTTGTAATTGTTTCAGCTGCGATGATTGCGATTTGGATGATGGTCAAATATCGAATTGTAATTGTTTAAAAAAGATCGGAAATCATGATGGTCAAGAGGAAGATGAAGACGATGATGATGAGATTAAAGATGAAACCGATTGGGGTTTCAAGGGAAATTACAAAGGAGTTAAAGTGATTCGGAGGCGAGTGAAAAATTCAGTTTATCCTGGAAGTTCAAAGATTTATGATGTAAATTGTTCAAATTGCGAAACCTCACAATCATCTGCAGTTATATCACAAGAGAATCATCTTCTTCACCATGGAGATAATGAATTTCTGGGAGCCTGTGGTGGTAGAAAACATGAAAATGGTGAAGGAGGAGTTAGAATTGAAGATGATGATGATGATTATCCTGAGAAGGGTGTTAATGATGCCAAGAATAATCCAAGTAGATTAACTGAATCTAAAGAAAACCAGAGTCATATTAATGGATTAGTTAACAGAAATTTGGCCGAGGATAAAGAGGAAGCTAATGATGGGAAGATATTAAACTGTCAATTGGATCGAGATACTAATCCATCCGAGAATAGAGTTAATTTTTTGGAGAAAACGTTTGTCAAGTGTATTGGTAAACGTAATCAAAAGTGGATTTGTCAATTGTGTGGATACAAAAATTTCAATACCTGTTCTCAGTGTGTCCAATGTGAAAGGCGGAAAAAATCGTATTCTGGTCCAACCGTTGAAAATTATTCTCAAAGGCAACCAAACCCTGAGAAGATCAATGTTTTTAACGGTTCATCATCTTCCTCATCCTTTTCATCATCATCAGTATCACCATTTTCTTTGGGAGTAACATGTTCATCTTCACCTTCATCTTCAAGCTCCCAGAATTCATCGACACTTTTTACTCGAAATAATAAGAAATTAAAGATAAAATCAAGCGATGATATCAATTGGATCTGTGATAAGTGTTCTTTCAGTAATCTTTTTCTAGCTAAGGATTGTATTCATTGTCGACGGAGTAAACAATTTCAAAGAAATGGTGATCCAGAGTCAACAGAATTTCAATTAACTAATTGTCTCTTGTCACACTTAATTTCACCAGTTCATCAACCTCAGTACCTGCTCGAAACTAAACGCCAATGGATATGTTCAAATAGAGATTGTACTTTCGTTAATGTCGCTTCGACCTTTGCTTGTGTTGTTTGTGATACTAAAAGATTAAATTATTTGGCCAAATCGGATAATCGGAAAAACGGGATCAACGTTCGTCAAGCAAAATTCAAAGCAAGATTAAGGAAACACGATTCCGATGGATCATCAATCGTCCCTTCAGAAGGTGTTAATCCAAATGATGTAATGATAATCGACATTACAAATGATGATTCGCCCTTAATTACCCCAAGGTTATCATCATCATCTTCATCGCACCAACAAAAAGGATTCGTTAAAAGCTAGTACATCAAATAGTCAAGGATTTGCTCCATCATTGTCAACATCATCTTCATCTTTTAATTATAACTGCCAAGTAGAAAAATGTAAATCTTTTAACGAGGTAACTTCATCTTCATCAGTTGAACAATCAACGTGCTTACAATTAAATGTTCAAAAAGAGTTACCATCAGATGAATCGAAACAAATAATTACTCAACAACAATCAGAGATAATGATTTCATCTTCTTCATCTTCTTCCTCCAGTTCATCTTCCTCATCACCATCTTCATCAACATCCGATTCGGACAATGATAGTGACCATAATTATCCAAATAGTGAAGATGCCAATAGTCAAACGGATGATAATACTTTCTGGACTTGTCACCATTGTAGTTTATCATTTAATTCATCGTCATCTGATATTTGCTTATATTGTGATACACCTCGAAATCAACATGAAGGATCTCCGATTAATTTAATTCCTCGAGATGGTACAGTTTCATATACAAATAATATGAATTCCATTTGTTCCCGATTACCTTCATTTCAAAGTATTTTATCATCAACTGTACCTTCATCTCTTTCAACACCAACATCCCCAACAACAACAACAACAACAACGACAACAACATCCTCATCATCATCAGTGTACCAAACCTTTTGGACTTGCATTAAATGTACTCTCAACAATTCCGTTACTGAAAACTATTGCACAGCCTGTGGTGGGTCAAAGGTGAACAGCACAAGTTCAAAAGCATTTCAAACATTGAAACACGAGGAAAGTTGGGTATGTGTACGATGTACACTTCGTAACTCTAACAATCGTGATAAATGTATGGTTTGTGAGACACGTCGACCAATAGTTCAACAAAACAATCAACCCTCACCCGAAAGATCAACAGTTCAAAATTCAACTCATTCAATTTCCCGTGAGACTCTTGGTCGTCGAACCAAATGGGAATGTTCAGCCTGTACATACATTAACCCTGTATCACGATACAGTTGCGAGATGTGTCAACAGGCTCGAAGTGTTTTAACAATAAGACCAGGGACAGTTTCTCGATCTCGTTCATCAACTTATCGATCGGTAAATAATACACTTTGTCGAGGAGAAAGTGAACTAATGGAAGACTTGAGAATGATCGAAGAAGGCGAAGCTCGCGATCGATGGGAAAATATTGTTCGATTTTGTAAACAAGGTGGTATCAGTTTTGTCGATGATTCATTTCCACCCTCACCTAAATCACTTTATTGTTCATGGGAGGATAAAGTTCATTGTAAAACTGTTTCTCAATGGTTACGATTAAGTGAAATTAAATGTCACCCGAACATGGACAACGTCAAGTGGGCTGTTTTTAGGACTCCGATGGTCTCTGATATCTCACAAGGTGTTCTAGGTAATTGTTGGCTTCTGAGTGCCTTAGCGGTTCTCGCTGAAAGACCAGAATTAGTTAAACAAGTGATGGTGACCCGAGAAATTTGTCCTCAAGGAGCTTATCAAGTGAGACTTTGTAAAGACGGAAAATGGACTACAGTTTTGGTGGACGATTTACTTCCTTGTGATAATAGTGGACGTTTGGTTTATTCGCAGGCAAAACGGAAACAATTATGGGTCCCATTGATCGAGAAAGCGGTTGCAAAGATTCACGGGTGTTACGAGGCACTTGTTTCTGGTCGGGCTATCGAAGGTCTTTCAACGTTAACGGGTGCTCCTTGTGAGAGTATCCCCTTACAATTAGCAACCAATGGCGGATCAAACGAGGAAAGGATTGATGAAGATCTAATTTGGGCTAAATTGTTATCTTCCCGTTCTGCTGGTTTCCTTATGGGTGCTTCTTGCGGAGGCGGTAATATGATTGTCAATGATGTCGATTATCATCGTATTGGTCTGAGACCTCGACATGCATATTCAGTTCTAGATGTTCAAGATTTTCAAGGTATTCGACTGGTTAGACTTCGAAATCCATGGGGTCATTTCTCATGGAAAGGCGATTGGTCCGATGAAAGTAATCTGTGGACGGAAGAAATGAGGATCAAATTGATGCCCCACGGAGCCGATGATGGACTTTTTTGGATGTCTTATAACGATGTCCTTAAATATTTCGATTCTATCGATGTTTGTAAAGTTCGAAAAGATTGGAATGAAATTAGAATTGAAGGAGTTCTACCTCCACTTGTGGATAAGGAAAACATGGATCTAATTATAATCACCGTTTTCGAAGCAACCGAAATTGAATTCAGTCTTTTCCAAGAGAATCAACGAAACAACAAAAAATCTCAACGGTCGCAATTAGATTTGTGTGTACTTATATTCAAAGCGGCACCGAACTCATTCAGTCATATTGGTAGTATTATAAAGCACAGTCGTCGTCAGGTCAGAGGTTTTGTCGGCTGTCAAGCGATGTTGGAGCCTGGTGTTTATGCGGTTGTTTGCCTCGCATTTAACCACTGGCACACAAGTAAATAGATTACAACTTTAATTGAACGTTTCACAATCACAATTAACTTACTTTTCTCACCTTTTCTTTTTAAATTTAGTTTGTAATTCTGCGGCCGATTATCCTAAATTTTTACTTGCCATCCATAGTTCAAAGAAACTACTTGTGGAAACGATTCCACCTCCATCATTCATACTCGCTGATGTAATAATTAATTTAACTCTATCTAAAGGTCAACGTCATGAGGTAAGTGTTACAATTATGGTTAGATTGCTGTTTGTTTACCTTAATTGGTATTCTAATTGTTTCAGGGGAGAGAGGGTATGACAGCCTATTATTTAACGAAAGGTTGGGCTGGTTTAGTGGTCGTTGTTGAGAATCGCCTTCCCGATAAACGAATTCAAGTCATCTGTAATTGCTGTGAAAGTTTAAATGTCGTTTCAACTCGAGCCACTTTACGAACTGTGGACAGTATTCCCCCCAGACACCGGTCAGTATTTGTTGTTTTTTCTTCTCTATCAGATTATTGATTTGTAATTATCTTATTTGTTTTCTCTAATTAATAGACAAGTGATCACGATATTAACACAATTGGAGGGTATTGGTGGGTTCTCGATCACCCATCGTTTAACTCATCGAGTGTCGCAAAAATCAGGACTTCATGATTGGGGACCACCAGGAACTAATCATTTACCTCCATTAGAACAAGAAATATTTGGTCTACATGCACCAAGACCTATTTAAATTTTAAACACTACATTCAAATTAATAATCTTATTATTAAATTCATTTGTCACAACTTTTTTTCTTAAATCCTTTGCATTTTTCTATTGAATAGATTTGATTGTTGCAGTGAATAGAAAATAATTAGATGATGATTGCGAAGCTTGTGAAAAGTTTAATCCTTTACAATTTAGCAAAGATTATGAATGAAAAAGAAACACTTTAATCATCATCATCAGAATCAATGGCAGCTCTTCTTCTGTCGAATTGTACTTTGGTTTCTTTCTTGAATCTTTCGCTAACTTTTTCCAGGATATTTCTAAATTCATCTTCGGACAATTTACTTCTAATTGCTCCCATTCTCGCATTGTTGATCAAAATATCTTCCACCATTGTCCCTTTTTCGGGTTTCGCCGTTTTTATCGTATTCAGACGAGCTCGAGCTTCTTGAGATAATATTTGAGTCAACATTGAATTTCGAAATTCATCTTCCTTCTCCTTCCTCTCCTCCTTCTTAGCAGCATCAGCAGCAGCAGCAGCAGAATTATCACCTAAAGGACTCTAAAGAAAACAAAAGAAAATCAAATTAACTTTCAAATTAGAAAAATGAACCAAATGAAAAGAGAGAAAGAAAAAAAACAAAATCAAACCTTTGAACTTTCAGAATGTTGCTGTTGAAGTTGCTCAAGTCTTCGAGCTCGAATCATAGCAAGTTCATCGTCCATTCTCAATAACCAACCAATTAAACCAAAGAAATTACAACTAATCAACAATTAAAATGAATGACCAAAAACACGAGACAAAAACAGAATGAAAAATGAATCAAAATAAGAACCAAATCAACGCCTGTTGTCTATTTCAAGAAGAACAACAAAAAAAAGTCTATTCTCAGAGCAAAGATTTTCTATTTTCACCGCAAATTCTTTTGAAAACTTTCTCTTTCTTTTTCTCTTTCTTTTCGTTTTCTAATTGTAAACAAGATGCATTTCATCATTCGAAACGTCAAGTTACTCTAACCAATCAGAATGAAGAGATTTTTCTAGATCATTTTTACTAATCACAAGTGTAAAGCCCAATCTTAAATTAAGAAAAACAGTTAACACCAAATATTGAACGTTTCTATTTTGTTAATCATCATTGTTAAATTGTCTTTTTATCTTTTCTCAATTAATCACTTGCATCGTTTTCTTTTTCTCTATTAACTAATTAACCTGTTCTGTGTTTGGAGGCTTAAAGAATAATAAAAAAAAAGAAGATACTTTTACTCATCTCAAGTAAGTGGCTTCTTTTTTTTTCTAAATTCATTTTTCTTTTTCTCTCTGTTACTTTTTTCTAGCCTTCGGGTTTTCAATAGAACGATTTTTTTTATTCTTTTCTCTCTCATTTAGATTTGATTGAGATAATTTTCTTCTTTCTTTCAAGTGTCTCTTTCACTGTCTATCTTTTTTTTTTGTTGATTTTCATTCTACAATTTTCCTTTGTATACTTATATTATTCTCTGTCTATCTCCTCTTTCTTTTGATTTTTTTTCTCTTCCACCTCTGTCTTTTTTTTAATTCTCTCTTCGGCTTCTTCTTGTCTCTTTTTTCTTTTCTCTCTGTTAGCCATTTTATCTGCTGATTTTTCTTCTCTATGTTTTGATTTTTCTCATTTATCTTTGTTTTATAATCTTCATTTCGTTTCTTTTTTTTTCCATCTCTACTCTTTGGTTTTTCCCCTCTTCTCTGGAATTCATCATCATAATCATCATCCACCATTGTTTCACTAGTGATATTGAATGAGTTAAATAAGTTCACTATGGATCGTCCAATGGTGACTATTTCACCTGGTTCATCTAATGCCAACAACATAATCAACAATCACATCATTAACAATAATATGTGTCTCTCAGTTGACTCGCTTTATAACAACAATCTTAACAACAACAACAACAACTTCACAAATTTCAACAACAATATTGCTCTTGTCTATAATAACCCTCAACAAGTTAATGGTTACAATGGTAATAACAACAATAATAATATGGATGATAGCTTCATGTTTGACGATAAACTGATTGATTTTGACCAAGATTTAGACACTTTAAGCTTGTCTCTTTGGCAATCAGAAGGATTTAATGGTACAAATTGTGATGAATCGATGAAAATCGAAGACATCTTTCAAAATGATATTGGTTCATTCTCTGGAGGGCCAACATTAGCTGAGCTTAATTTGGTCGATGATAAGCTTGATTCAACAGATCTAGATGAATATTTGGCTAATCCAACACCAATGGTTCCAGTACGAGATATTATCCAAATCGGTGATGACAAAAGTCTTGTACCTCCAAATGAAACAAAAAAATTGAATACTCTGAATGGTCTCCCTGTGTTTAATAATACATTTATTCCTAATGGGACAAATGTCCAACTGACACCTGATGAGGTTGATCAGATTATTTCGTTGGCTAATCCATCTATAAATCCTCAAGAATCCTACAATCCTGTATGTCCAAACACCCAATCAATACCTTCTTACTCATCATCACGTCAATCATGGGAACCCAAGACAATCCTAAACTCAGCGGAATTCAATATTCAACCTCAACCTGCAAATCAACTGTCCTCTCAAATTGATATAAAGCCATTTGTAGATCATAAATTATTTTTTCCAACAACCAGCTCGAAAAACAATTCATCCTGTGGTAGAAACATCAGCAACAATGGTAACTGTCATTTGGAAACCATCTCAGAAAGTCCCACCATGACAATTAAACAGGAACCTGTTTCACCGAGTACGGATCTGAATAATTTAGTGATTAACCATGATAAAGAAAATTGTGATGTTAGCATGGAAAATGTCAAGGATGATCAACTTGTCACCCAAACTGTTTATCGTCCTGAACCAAGTCCAGAATATGTTAAACCAAGACTCAGACGGCGAAACAACTCAAATAGTACCGAATGTAGCTTTTCGTCTCATGATGAAGGATTTGCCAGTCAACCTGAAGATAATTCAGATAATGATCAAGAAAATGATGATTCAGATGATGAATCTTTTTACAAAGATTATAATGCAAAAGATTTACTTGGTGCCACAACTTCAGATGATGTAGAAAACAAATGGGCACTCGACATGGGAAGATCTCGTAAAACTGGTCAACAAAGATACTTTTGGCAATATAATGTTCAATCAAAGGGACCCAAAGGAACCCGAATAATTCCTGTACAAGAAAAAAGTAACGATCCTCATGTTTTAGCCGAGGCTAAAGATCCCGTTTTCGCTTCTGAATGTCCCATGGAGGGTGTTAAACATGCGGGTAAAGCTCGTCGAGGTGATGGTAATGATCTAACTCCCAATCCAAAGAAACTTCTCATGATTGGCCTGGAATTGAAAAAATTGAGCAAAGTGATTAATGATTTAACTCCAGTTGCTCAAGTTCCCGTCAACTCGCGTAATAAATCACGAAAGGAGAAAAATAAACTCGCCTCTCGAGCTTGTCGTTTAAAGAAAAAAGCTCAACACGAAGCGAATAAGATCAAACTGTTTGGACTTCAACAAGAACACAAAAAGATGATGAACGCACTTATTGATATTCAACATTTAGCCAATGTGGTTCTGGACGGGAAACGATCTAATCGAGAGGATCGACTAACAGATTCTTATGAAAATATTGTGTCAACCAAAGGGCCAAAAGTAAAGGTAGCCGGTAACACGACTGAATTTGTAAATTCAATTCTGGATAATGTATCAGCAGGAATTTCAGACGGTGGACTAGATAAACTATAAAGGTCGTGTCAAAGTCTTTTTGTGAACAAGTAAACAAAGAATCATCAAAAGATAAATCAAAATAAGAAAAAAAAACCAAAAGCATTTGGATATTTAAATATATAACCTCCTTCGTCCTTTGTAAATTGTCAATGAAGAAAACGGAAAACTTTCACAACCCAAACGCCAACCCTGATCACGATTACGCAACTGATTATGCCTGAAAAAAAATGAATTCAAATGCAACGATGGATTTTTATTGGTTCGTTTTTATTTCGTTTCATGTCTTTCCTTTTACCCGTTCCCGTGACCTTCAAGGATGAATAACAAATCTATTTGTTAATCAATGGTCGCTATTGGATCAAGATACAAACAACACAAACACACACACACCATATTAAACGTGTTCAGTGGCAATTAACAAGTAAATCAAACCCCACCTTCTTTATTTTAAGTACGAAAGCTGTAACTGTAACGCACTGTGATAACGAAAAACAAAATGTCGACAAGTTTAAAGAAACAAAAATGGAGACAAACCCCCCAAGTCAAACTTAAATTATAACAATTAACACGAGAAAAGGGTGAAACAATTTATCTCTCTCTCTCTCTTTGACCATTCAAACGGTCATTCATTTTCAACTTATTCTCTTTATCATCCTCTTCCTTTCACAATTTCCTCATCCTTAAACTCCTATCAACATTTTCTTTGTTTACTCCAAATGAAAAAAAAAAACAATTGATTATATTTCTTGTCAAAATTACAACAAAACAAAAAAGCATTTCATTGATCTTCCCACTCTCTCTCTCTCTCTCTCTCTCTCTCTCCAAATCTATCTCATTCTTCATGTTAATAGTTGAATCATATTTAAATAGATGATTTATATTATATTTAATTACGATTAATGTATATTTAGAAAATGTATCTTGAGCATCTAATTCCATGTACAGTGTATGTTTCCCACTTTCCACTCTCTCTCTCTCCTACCTCTCTCCTTATCTTCGTTAAATTACTATATTTATATTCACTTTCTATACATATATTTTAATTTCCCAAAAACAATTAACTAATCACAAGAAGAACGAAAACAAAAAACTATTCTAATTTGTATGTTTACCTCCTTTTCCTTGAAAAATTTTATCCACAATTTTTAAGTGATAACTTTTCCCTCTTTCCTGTTGATCTGAAGATATTATTTACATATACAGTTTACCATTGGAAAAACAAAGAAATTAATTTTTACTCTCGATTCTCTTTTGATTGTTATTCCTAAATTAATAATTAACCTCATTTTTCACCTTTTCTCACTTCACACCTTTTCTTTTTCATAATATTATCTAATCATTGTAAATATTATGACAATTTAAGTTTGACTGATTGATCTTTGATTGGTCACAGTGTTACAAGTGATTTCTTTGAATGAACTACATTATATTTTGTTAAAATTGTAATCAACTAAATTACCAACTAAAAAAATGTTTAAAAAGACAATTAATCAAAACAAAAAGAAACGAAATAAAATATTCTTCACTTGCCTAATTGACAAATTGTCCAATTTAATTGTCAATCTCGGAAAATGTTTCATTTACAATCAATGGTTTTCACTGAATTAACGTTAATGACGAGAAATTGATTGATTGTTTTTAATCATAATCTTAACTTTGGTAAGTTTATCATTGATTTAATTTGAGAAATATTAATAACTATTTACTCGGTACAATGATGATGTGATTAACAATTAAAATGGTGATAAAATGATGGTTAAGATTATAAATAATTACAATTGGAAAAGGTAACAATCAACAATCAACAATTATATGGAGTTATTGGCTTTTTCATAGGTAAATTCAAGCCCTTTTGATGATTAGATGAAGTAATTAAAAGTTTGGATGAAGATGATTAGATGATGATGAGTTTAATTGTGTGTTTAGGCCAAAGTGATTTGAAAGATATTGAGATTAACGGTATTGATCAAGAATTAATTTCTCAGTTTCCATGTTGTAATTTGATTGAGAAGGTGAGGCCAAAAATATTCCAATTTGATCGATTTTCTCGAAACATGTCTCCAGGGCGATTCTGGTGGAATTGGACTGATTAGTTGATTGAATATTGGGATTAATTACAAACGGAATACCATCAATGGGGGAGTAATTAGATGACAATTGCCTCTCAAGAGTAGATGCAGTTGTTGGCCTTGGTAAATAAGGTGAATCCTAATGAGAGAGGAAAAGATTATCGATTAAATTGTGATCGAATTGTGTTGAGAAATTAGTTAATCAACTCACCAATTGATTGTTACCACTGATTGATGGATAAATTGGTTTATTACTTGAGTCTTTATTGGAACCATCATCAAGGCCTTCGGTTTTAGATGAACCTGAACTTTGGCCTGATCGACGACTACGACCAAACACCGAACCAAACAAATCTAACATGATACAAATCAACTAATCAACAATAAAATGAAAGAATTGTGAAAACTAAACAACAATTAAAAAGGTAAAATTTTTAGACAATAAAAACAATTAAGGCAATCAAAACAATCACAATCATCAGTTGTGTTAACTAATAATAAACAAAAACTCAACTAATCAATTAAGCGGCACTTTTAAACCTAATTGAAACAATTAGTAAATTGTTGGCCACAATTAGTCTACAAGGTAAAAGATGTTTAAACAATTAAGTTAATTGTTTAACCCGATTGATCTAAAAGGAAACATTTCTTTCTTAAATATTGATTTCATTACTTTTTGGTTTAATTTATTTTCTCAATCAAGTTACACTTTCAATCTGATTCTCAAAATTAACCAGCCTAATTAACGGAATAACTAATTGTTGATAATGAAATTAATTCGGTAAATATAATAACAATAATCAGAAATATCCTGTTAAAATCGGAATGAAAGTTATTCCTTTAATTTTTCCTGATTTAGTGTAATAATTAAGGTGAATTAAAAATAATTAAATGAACAAAGTTCAAGGTAAAATGAATCAGTATACAAGGAAGGAAAAAGTGATAAAATAACAGTTAATTGTAAATAGTTAACTATACTAACAATGAGAAGAAAAATACAATTACAATTTAGAGACAATGACAGAGTAAGAAAATCCCCAACAATTTAAATGCAAAGTAGTAATTACAATTTAGGTGGAAAAGTAACAATTAACAAAGAAACAAAATTAAAACTCTCAACAACGATTTCGAAGTTAGAAAGTTACATTTACGATTGAATTTTGATTGGAGTTTAAATTTTGTGACGAAATCGATCAATTTACCAACTAGATTACTTTTATTTGTGAGGACAATTAACTCTCAGGTCTATTTAGCTACGAATTGAACGTTAATTGTTGTTAATTAATTTAGAGGAAAAGATTACACAAAAAAAAGATGATCTTTTCTTACCTGTAGGATTATAACTTATCAGGTTAAACTGGTTTCTTTTAATAGGAAAAGTATATATGAAAATAGTTAACATTTTACCTTTTTAATTTACCTTAAGATTGTTGTTAGTTAGTTAATTTAGTGGCAAAAGTTTCCTCTTAATTTAACTTTTCTATTGAAACATTTTCTTCCCAAACAATCAAATCATTAAAGTCTCTCCAACGGATCACATCAAAAAAGTCAAACTGACCATTGGTATAAGTGAACTGACCAAAGCAACTAAGTGTTTACGATTAACATTGTGATCTTGTTTGTTTTGTTCTTGTGATAATTTACAATTTATTAATTGTTTAATTTAGTGTTTTATTATTATTGAACAATGGAAGTGATTACCAATAAGATTGAGAATCTTTTCTCAGGAGGTTATCATGAACCTCGAGTATCTGATTACTTTTTAATCAATCATCCAAAATGGCACATTGCTACTTTCTTGTCAATCTATTTGTTAATTGCTGCTAAATTAGGTTCGATTTTAGGTTCAACGGGAAAGTCATACAATTTACGACCTTGGATGTTGGTCTTAAATGGACTTAACTTTGGTGTTTACGGTATTGCGATACCAATTATCGGATGGTTGACAAATTTTGGTGTCACTTGTTGGGCTTGTACCGAGCCCAAAGACGGTGCTTTCATTGAGGAAACTTTATTACGTCTTAGTTACACTTACCTGTGGATGAAAATGGCCGATATGATGTCCACTCTTGTCATGATTTTAAGAGCTAAACCAGGCCAAAAGCCGATCCTTCATGCCCTGAGAAACTCTTGTCTCATTTTAGTTGTTTACTTTGGCCTTCGCATGTACGCTAGAGGCTCATTCCTATTTCTACCCTTTACCGATGCCATTTTATCGGTCATCAGATCAGCTTATTATGTTCTAGCCTCACCTGGAGCCGCTTTCCGACATCACCTTTGGTTCAAAAATTATATCCACTATGTTGCCCTGCTCTTTGCTGCTCTCAACGGTGCTCACATGGCCTCACAATTAGTTAATTCTTGTGCAGGTCCACCCGGTATGATGATTCTCATCCTTGCTCATAGTGCTGGTGAAGCTTACGTAGCCATTACTGAGCTTTCAAGAAAAACCAAACAGGTTGATAATCATCATGATTAATTTCAGAACAAAAAAACCCATGTAAATTTAGTCTTCTAATTACCTTCAAACTAATTACTTTTTCTTAATTTCTTTCTTCTCCATTAATTGTTTCATTCCATTAACTTTTTCATTATTGTACATGATTTCATCTGACACTCGCTTAACTATCATTGTTTTCATAATTTAAATTTTAACAACGTTGCTGTCATCATTTTGATAACTAAATCGATTTATAGATTTACAATTTAATATTGGAAATCTATTTTCATTTCATTTCGTCTAAATTGCCAATAAATGACAATTTTTTTTTCGTTATAATTCAATTGCTTTGATCTATTTTCTATTATCATATTGATCTAATTGAGTTGTTGAATTATTTTCTTGAGACTCTATTTTAATACGGTTTGCAAAATGATCATTGATTTGGACGTTACAATTAATTGCTTGAAATTAGTTTCATTGGATTTTGTTGATTGTGGAATGATCAGTATACTCTCTCAAATGAAGAGTTAATTAACAATCACAGTTACAGAGATTCATAAATAAATTTCAGACAGTTTAAAATCAATTAGTTTGTTGCAAAAAGCAAAAATAAAGGGAAAAAGTAAAGTTAATCATTAAATTGATTCAATTGATTCAAATTTCTGTCTCTCTCTTTTGAGTCAATGGGGTTTCAATCAGTTCCTTAATTGTTGACCATCCTCAAAGATGCCAGGCTTGTCTCATCATCAGATCAAAATACATGTCCTCATCAACGGAAGCGCTGATGCCGGAATAGTAATCAATGAATTCCTCCTTGGTTACCTGATATAGTCAATAGAAAAAGTGAGAAAATCAATCAGAATCGAGAAATCAGTTAATTGTTAATGGAAACACATACATTTCCATCAATGGTTCCATTCTCTTCGAATTTAACAAGGAAAGTGTTTAAAAGTTCATCTTCGCTTTTAGATCCGTTCTGATATTCGGGATGACTCTTGATGTTATATTTCGATTTAAGATCTTCAATGGTCACTTTTCCGTCCCCGGTGACATCAAGTTTGGCGAATACTTTGTCTATGACTGTCAATCGATTTTGATTGACAGGAGGCTAAGTTTAAATGGAAAAGAAAATAGCAGAATATTTTAAAAGCCATTATATCTTTATATTAATTTCTTCAACTTACCCTGATTGATCTTAGGAATTCAGTATAATCAACTGTTCCTGAACCATCTCGATCAAATTTCATGAATAGCTCTTGAATCTCTTCGTTAGTGAAATCAACACCACACTCGTGAATACCTTGAGTAAATTCATCCACAGTTAATGATCCACTTCCATCGTTATCCATACGACGAAAGATTCTAACAAAAAAAAAGAGAGAGAAAAAATTCGTTAGATTTTTAATCGTCACCAACTAATTACTAAGTCTCACCTTCCAATTCCTAAAATTCCAGCCGCGCCTCGTTTTAAGGCCGAAAATCGTAACTTTTCAATGGGGTCGGTTGTTTTTTCCAACATTCGTCCAGCCTTTTCGGCCATAAGCATTTCATTTCGAGACTGTCCAGACATTGGTCGATGAGCCATTTTTGTTCAGCTATTGAAACGAAACAAAATAAAGAACGAATAAATCACAAAGACAAAATAATCAATTTTATTAATTCTAAAACTTCTTCTACGACTGAGTAAATCAGTCTGACTGTTAACAGAGCTGCTCTGTCAGAGCATCTTTCCATATCCGGATTGTTACCAGGACGACACTAAATCTCCCTTGTGAGAGCTTCTACCGCTAATTACAAAAAAAGTTTTTTAAAAGTTAACAATTTTTTGATCTGAAAATTAAAATTCGTTAGGAAATGAAAGTTATAATTTTGTTTTTCCTGAGTAATTTGTTTTAAACGAATCGAAAGTTAGTTCGACGAAAATCAAAATCTCAGAGATTCTTTGAGTGCTCATCAATTCCTCTTCGCGATTTTATGAGTCATCTTTAATCAACATAATCTTAACTCTAACATGTGATAAATCAATTTTTTTATGGAGAGGATTTAATCGGATTATCTTATTATTTGATTGATTCGGTGTGAAAATCAATAAATTTAAATCACAACGAGATTATTATACAGTGAAATCAAAACTAATCCGGTTACTATTGAAATTTGAACGTTTTAATTGAAACAATTTAAGTTGATTCTTTGTTTACAATTAAGGGAAACCTTAATGTAAACAATGAAGACAATGAAAAAGTTTTTACTCTCAAACAATTAGATTAAATTTCTGTGTGTAGGATTAATGAATTATCATTGAATGCAATGATTTATTTTACTCAACAATCAAAGTTAATCATCATCATTAACATTGACACATGAATGAGTAGGTAATTGTTTATCTTTGAAACGATGATTACGCAATTTAAATTTGGGTTTTCTTCTTAGTGTTGTGTTTATGTAATACGAGTGGAAACAGTTTCTGGTTTTTTCGGGTTAACTGTTTCTCTTATTTCTCTCTGTCTTTCTCTCTTGCTTTTTATCTTCGTCTTCTTCTATCATATGTTCAAGTTCTGAGCCTCTAGGGTGATGCCATCTTCTTATAATATCGGCAATTTTATCCTACGAGAAGAAGATGTCATTCGTATGGTGTTGGAGTTTTTAAATAATCGCGATCTCAGTATAAGCCAATTGAGTTTAGAAAGAGAGACCGGTGTTCATAATGGTCTTTTCTCGGACGATCTTCTCTTCTTGAGACAATTAATTATCGATGGTCAGTGGGATGATTGTCTACAATTTATCGAACCTCTCGAAATACTACCTGATTTCAATGTAAAAGGCGTTAAATATTGTCTCCATAAACACCAATATTTAGAGTTATTGTGTATCAGGTGAGTAAAAAATTGATTCGATTTACAATTCATCCATCAACAATCATATAATCTAATTCTTAGTTAGACTAATATTTGATTAAATTATCGAAAAATAAAACATGAAATGTTACCAAGCAAATGTAAAACAACAAATCAATGATTTAAAATGATCATTCAAAATCTTTTTCCTTTAATATTATTGGATTTTTTATATTATTATTGTACAATAACATTGTCTTAGTATTTTTAAACTCATCATGTGTTTGATGGGCTTTTTTTGATTGAATTGGTTCAATTCAGGAGTTGATTAGTTGAGAGAAAAATGCTTCATTTGTTTCCCTTGAATTCAATAGTAGGTTGACAACATTATATTTTGAATTTTGCTTTTTCAATGCCCGATGTAGTTGGTGAGGTGATAAATTGTCAATGGTTTGTTGTTGATACCTGTATGATTTAGGGTCTACATGATGAATTGATGAAGGTTGTAGTATCAGTTGTTGCTGTTGTAATAGTAATTGATGATGAATGTGGTCTTGGTGATTGTGTTGTTGATGTTGTGATTGGCGTGAATGTTGGGATAATATAGATGCTGATGTAGATGGTGAAATGGAAAATGATGCCGATGATGAAGATGAGGATGAAGATGGTGTAGTTGTTGATGAGGAGTTAATCGGTGACTAGAATAGAGAGATTGAGAGAAACAAAAAAGAAGAGCCAATTTAGTATGGAAAGAATAAAACAAAAGAGGAGAATTTAATGAAAAGAATAGAAAATGTCATACCTACCACATTTCTGTAACGATTTATCTTGAAAAGAGCCCATTTTGCTCGCAATTCTTGTAATTCATCCTCATCTAAATACTCTATCCGATAATCTGTGATTCCACCATGAATTTTGGTTGCATGTCGAGAAAAATTGCGAGATGATTTATCCTCATGATAGAAACACAAGTTACAAATTCTCATTGGCTCCCGATTGTCCATATTTGACTTGTTCCTTCAATACAAAAAAAGTAAAGAAAATTAAATACCAATTGATTATTACTTCTTATTTTAATTTGAAATTTAAAATTTCAACTGTAAACAATTCAAATTTGACAGATTCTAGTCCCAAATATCCAGAAATAAGAGTCAAACTTGGATTCGAATAATATTTTCCACTCAACATATCAACCGAACCAATAGAAATGACAACAATTTCCTCAAGCGTCAATTTTTTTCTCAGTCATCATCCAAGTCAATTCAATCGTAATCAAAGTTCAATTAGATAGACGCTCATCTAATTATGACCAAAGATCTATTAATTGATCAGGTCGGAAAATAGCATCTTATAAATATCGATACATTGATAGTTCCAAGATGGAGCCACCGAACCAGCGACCAGATGATTGAAGAATTGAGTTGATTAAATCAACTTGATTTTAATTTAATTTTATTTCTAATTTTTAACAATTAGTAGTTAATTTTTATTCATTTAAGTTAATTGATTGACTTGGACATTTGGCCGAAATCAAGGATATTCCAAATGTAAGTTGATTAGTTTGAATTTTGATTCTTTTCTGAGACCGAGAAATTTATTTGTTTACATTTTTTGTAATCTTTTTCATTTTTTCTTCTTTTTGATATTTTTTAAGATGGTGAAGGTGATCATTGATAAATTGTGTTCAAAAGAAACGCAAGAAAAGATAATTGAGGCTTGGAAGGTAGTTGAGCCTTACGCTTCTCGTATGGTGGAAAACTCTTTTATACTTGGGCTGATTTTATTTCCCTCATTGTCAGTATTGTTGCAATTCATGGACCGAAAATGTTTCAAGCTTACAAATCGAAGGGTTTGGATGGATTATACGAGGCCTTTGCTGAATGTGTCATCGCTGTAATTGAATCATTGGTCATGAAAGCGTTTAGCAAACTGCAGGGTAATTTGAGTGCCGCTTCTGGAGCCGTTCTTGCTTTGCAGAAAACGAAGTTACTGAAACGCCTCAGAGGCAGTTTGTTGCCCATTTTGAAAAAAACAACCGCCAATATCCAAGCTTGATTGTAATGGAAGTTAATCAATCAAAACTGGATCATATTCAGTTTCACAACTATAGTGATGCAACTTAAAGATCACTGTTTTCAATTTAACAATGATCGCCTTGTCAATATAATTTTTATATCAATTCTCTTCTCACCTTTGACCTTACATTTTATATTAACATGATGCTCTGTGATGAAACTTAGTTTTATTACCGTTATTAACCTTTATTGTTGACTATAAACTGACGGAGGAGTAAACCATGGAGGAGTTTTTAAGTGATTATTTTAAATCATTGATTTGTTGAGAGAGCAGTTGATAGCTCTTATCAAAAATTATCACCGATCAACTAGGAGACACAAGTAGATAGTACAGAAGAATGTAAGAATGGCCAATACGCTGAAAAAATGGACTTTTGAGTTAAGAATTGGAACTTTAGAGTTTTGTAGCAACATACGAAAGAACTCTTTTGTTAAAAATTTCATTGTGATCTGATGGTTAGTTTTCGAGCAAATCGCGTTCAAAGTTGAAACTTTAGATCACTTTTTCTCAGTATTGGTAGACTTTTAAGAATGAAATTAAGAGTTAAATTGCTGCTCTTTGCGGGGTTAAAATCATTAGTCTCGGTCAGAACGAATCTAATCAATCTACTATAACAATCAGTGACAAACTAAGATGATGACAATTATAATTAAGAATCATCTTCATCACTTATGTACATGGACCATTTAAATTGAGTAATCATCGTCTCGATCGTATAGCAATACTCATACGATATACCGATTATACCTCATAGTATATCTATTAATAGTTTTGATTTACCCTTTATCCAAGTCCAATTTTCGTCTAGTATTTTTATATTACAATTAAAATGTTAACATATTCCACATCAGTTTCAGCCTTTCCATCAACTTGCTATTGAGACTTGATATTTTATCCTCGTCCTTATCGTCAACCAATTACTCTCTATACAACTTTTTAAACTCCACATCCTTTAATTTCACTCGTTGCCTCTATCAAATTGTTTGTAAATCCAATAATTGGACTTCAATTTAAATTTATTTTAATTTCGCTCCTTTTTGAGACTAGTGACATCTATTGGTTACCCACTTCGTTCTGTGTTATGAAAGGACTGATTAGTAGTTTCTCTTCATTATCAATTAATCAACTTCTATCAATACAATTGAAAACAATTTACAATCAAAAGGTACATACAAAGGTGAGTTTATTTCTTATTTCATTTTGGTCCATTTTTAATCTAATATTTTCCTCATTTCTTTCCTTTCGATGTTGTTAATGTTCAACTTCTCGTAAGATGGCAAATTCTGCTGTTGATAAAATTTGTTCGAGAAAAACTCAAGAAGTGATAATCAATTCATGGGAAAAAATTTCTCCTTATGGATACTCCCTGATGGTGGGTTTTATTGCCACTTCCAAGGCAGAACTGGTTCGAGCCCTTTTTACCGGTATTGTCACTTATACTCCGAGACTGATCCGGGCTTTTACCACCGGTGGATTGGGTGCACTAATCTCAGAATTTAAAATAGCTTTCATTGCTGTTCTAAAGATTTTGACAGATAAAATGTTCAACCAATTGAAATCGAAGGTCAGTTCTGTCTCTGGAAAAGCCTTGGACTCGCAAAAGTCAAAATTGATTCAAGTTATTGAAGATCCGAATTTTCTGATGGCCATTGATACCGCGATGAAGTTGCTTACTTTCATTTAATACTCATGGAAATGTTCAAACGAATCGAAAGTTAGTTCGACGAAAATCAAAATCTCAGAGATTCTTTGAGTGCTCATCAATTCCTCTTCGCGATTTTATGAGTCATCTTTAATCAACATAATCTTAACTCTAAAATGTGATAAATCAATTTTTTTATGGAGAGGATTTAATCGGATCATCTGATTATTTGATTGATTCGGTGTGAAAATCAATCACAACGAGATTATTATTAAATGAAATCAAAACTAATCCGGTTACTATTGAAATTTGAACGTTTTAATTGAAACAATTTAAGTTGATTCTTTGTTTACAATTAAGGGAAACCTTAATGTAAACAATGAAGACAATGGAAAAGTTTTTACTCTCAAACAATTAGATTAAATTTCTGTGTGTAGGATTAATGAATTATCATTGAATGCAATGATTTATTTTACTCAACAATCAAAGTTAATCATCATCATTAACATTGACACATGAATGAGTAGGTAATTGTTTATCTTTGAAACGATGATTACTCAATTTAAATGGTCCATGTACATAAGTGATGAAGATGATTCTTAATTATAATTGTCATCATCATCTTAGTTTGTCACTGATTGTTATGGTTTATTGATTAGATTCGTTCTGACCGAGACTAATGATTTTAACCCCGCAAGGAGCAACAATTTAACTCGTATTATCATTTACCTGTTTTAAATAATTTCCATTTCCAGGTAACATTTTAATTGCTCTTTTTTTCTTGTTATTCTTTTTTACTTTTCTCTTTCTATTTTCTCTTAGTTATCATCCATTTATCTTCTTATCTATTTGTACTTGTTGAAAGAAGAAGAAGAAAAAAAGTCAACTTGAATTCATCGTAATCTAAAATTACCTTAATTCTGTTCTTGATTAGTAGTATCCGTTGTTAAGAATACGCATCCACTGAGTAGAGAGAAATTTTCATTTTTCTCTTTCTCCATCTTCTCAACTCATCATCATCCTCATCTCAATTATCATCCATAGAGAAAATTTCTCTCTCTCTCTTTCTCTCTTTCTTTATTTCTTCATCTTCTCTTATGTTTTGAACTCTTTTTCCTCTGGTTTCCTTGTTTACACATTTTGTTGTTTTCTCTTTCCATTGATCTGGAGTAATAATCTTCTAAAATCATCATGTAATCGCTTCTCATTGGATTTTGTGTCTTCATCTCTTTCTCTTCATCTGTCAATCATTTCTACTACACTTTGGTAATAGTGTTGGTGGAAGTGGTCATCTCTTGACCATGGAATTTGTTTACAATTTCTAACCTAAGAATTTGGGTTTTCTTCTTAGTGTTGTGTTTATGTAATACGAGTGGAAACAGTTTCTGGTTTTTTTCGGGTTAACTGTTTCTCTTATTTCTCTCTGTCTCTCTCTCTTGCTTTTTATCTTCGTCTTCTATCATATGTTCAATTTCTGAGCCTCTAGGGTGATGCCATCTTCTTATAATATCGGCAATTTTATCCTACGAGAAGAAGATGTCATTCGTATGGTGTTGGAGTTTTTAAATAATCGCGATCTCAGTATAAGCCAATTGAGTTTAGAAAGAGAGACCGGTGTTCATAATGGTCTTTTCTCGGATGATCTTCTCTTCTTGAGACAATTAATTATCGATGGTCAGTGGGATGATTGTCTACAATTTATCGAACCTCTCGAAATACTACCTGATTTCAATGTAAAAGGCGTTAAATATTGTCTCCATAAACACCAATATTTAGAGTTATTGTGTATCAGGTGAGTAAAAAATTGATTCGATTTACAATTCATCCATCAACAATCATATAATCTAATTCTTAGTTAGACTAATATTTGATTAAATTATCGAAAAATAAAACATGAAATGTTACCAAGCAAATGTAAAACAACAAATCAATGATTTAAAATGATCATTCAAAAACTCCCCGATTGGGAATATATTAGCTAATTAAGATGTGTGACAATTAGATTGATGAAAAAGTCAAGACTTCTCAAGAAGAGAAATTGTATTCCATTAGAATGAGTCGTTTCACCCTGGAAATTATTTCCGTTATTTCTTTAAAATAACTAATATCTTTCATCTTACTTGATTATTGTTATTTTATCAGAGCGGAAGCTGGACCTTACCAGAATGTCGAAGTGGCCGTTAACGAGGTTGTCGAATGTCTTAAAGAGCTGGAAAAATGTTGTCCATCGAAAGAGGATTATAATGAATTGTGTTTACTTTTGACTTTACCATCATTGGCTCATCACCCTGATTATAAGAATTGGAATCCGAGTAATTCAAGAATCAAATGCTTCAATACAATTCATGCATTGATAGAGAAATATTTACCTTATGAGAAGAAGCCTGATGAGAAAATACGAGAGGCCAAAGCAGATCGATTATTACAGTTGATTATCAAGGGAATTCTTTACGAATCGTGTGTCAATTTCTGTGAAACCAAAGCGACATTTTCAGCTAAAGATGGAGATGATAAATTACAATTCTGTAGCTTATTGGAAGGCTGTGGTTTCACCAGTGGTGATCTTAGTCTCCTTTCCTGGTTACAAAGTATTCCAACGGAAACATTTTCTTATCCATTCGAACAGAAAACCTTGAGTGTCGATGTTGAACAAATTCAGAAGCCCTCGCTGGTTGCATCATGGTCCGAGATGATTATGGTCACTCCAATAAAGCCGAAAATATTTCCCCATCTAGCGACTCCGTTTACCCGGCTCAAAGCGTCCGATTTAATGTCCAAATCACTGACCACTGGGCTACTTGACAGTTTACCTAAAAACAATGTGGGTGTTGGTTTTTCGGTCGGTGAGATCGCAGAAATGTCCAGATCCTCGATCGCTGGACTTGGTTTCCATTTAAAGTCTAGTCAAAATGAAGGGAAAACAAATGATCAAAATGGTGTTGACAAACTTTTCGAAAGTGATCTGGTATTCAGTTCAAGTTGTATTGATAAATTACCAACGGTTGATAGTAAATCATCATTAACAACAAGAGTAAATCAAACTAAAGAATCAAATGAAAATGAACCATCAAATCAATTGGAACATGAAAAGTCACAAAAGAATCAATTGTCATCACTAAATGATACTCACCCAATCGATGTGCCAAAGACTGAATCTAGTTCCAAAAGTGCCAATCAAATTAAACTAACATCAACAATTAAAGATTCACCTGATTTATGGGTTAAATTTCAGAAACAAAGGAAACAGTCACTAGAAAAGTCTCTATGGGAAGAATCAATTATCAAAGAGGAAGATGATACACAATGTGAATCGTTTACTCAGTTGCGACAAAATAATCGACAAAAACCAGCTCATCATTTCAATCAACATCAATCATCATCATCATCATCATTACCTGGTGCCAATAATAGTCAATTATCATCACAATTAACGCCAAACTCAATTAATCCATTTAAACCAAGATATGATTCGATTCCAGAATCATCAGCGATCCCGATGAATTCCTATTTACCGAAACGTGGACAAACCCTGAACAATTCAGTTCAAAATAACAAAAAAACACCCTTACAACCCACACAACAATCAACATCACCATCACTCAATCAAAACCAACAATTAACCAACGATTTATCCCAAAAGGTAAATACAATTTCCCTTAATTTTAATCACCATCCTCATCTTTTTCTTGTCTAAACATTTAATTGTCAACTTCAATCTCTTTATTATCCTAAAATTGTTTGAATAATTAAACTCCTCAAACTTGTGATTCTATTAATTGTCCAAGAAAAAAAATCTATTGGAAGTTAATCAAAACAAATTGATTGAATATTTGGTGCCAATAATTGAACTGATTGACATTCTGAAACAATTTAGATTCTCATGAGGTTTTAGCCTCATCTGAATTGATTGTCATTGAAAGTTAACCATTACAATTAAATCTGATCTAAAGGTTAACATGCTGCTTAATTGTGAGAGTTTCTTTTTTCTCCAGCAATACAATCAAAATTATTTCAGACAATTTGTTGATTATAATTGGCATCGAATGACAATGTTGGCGTTGATCATCAATTGTGTTATTGATTAACATGTAAACTAATTGTACAATTGCGTGTCCAGGTTGATTGTTGGAATCTAAATTATCAATATCAAAAGACGCAATTTAAATCATGATGATCATCTTAGTTTTTTTTTCTGTAATCAAATCAGTGTTAACTACCCACGCGGTTGATTGAATTAATTGTAATTTCTCTTGGCTGTTGATTGTATTTTAAATAGTGGATGAGCTTTGATTTTCTCACTTTTACAATTAGTTGGGTAGATTGATTAAACCAAATTAGATTTGAATCATCAATCAATTGATTGTTGTAGACAACAACAAGAGAATTGCCAATCAATTTTCAGTTGATGATCATTTTCAACTGATTTATATTTTCATTGTGCTAATTGGTGGTAACAATTTAATCAACTAATTGTATCGTAGTCTACTGAGTTTATATTTGAGTTAATATTTGTATAATCAAGTGAATTTAGTGATCAATGGAGTTAATTGCAAAACGACAAATTGATTCACTATTTCAACCTCAGTTTGATTATATTGAAAATATTTGCCCGATAATCAATGAATCAGCCAACAATCATCTTAATCACGTTCATCATCATCTTCTCGGCCATGTGTTTCCCTATCGTGAGGTATGATTGTTAATTACTATTACAATTAAATTCTCAATTGTTTACATCTGCCCATGTTTCCATTTCCATAGTCATGTCCATCATCGTTATCATCTAAAGATGAGAGGAACTGTTTTCACCTTGAAACTGACCATTTTCATCACGATAATTATGATTTTCTCATGGAAAGTTCAGTTCCTTAACAACAACAGATCCAAACTTTACTTTTACCAATTCTCAAATTAATCGAGTACATAATTAATTAATCAATCATTTTAGTTGATTAAAAGTGTAACAGGTTAATTGTAATTTGATAATTGTGCTTGATGATTACCAATTGATCTGATCATCCACATTTCTCATTGTGAACTGATTAATTTTCACTTTAATTGTGAAAAATATATTTAGGTTATCCTATTGTTAACCTTGGCGTGATTATGAATTTTATTGATATTAATTGTCACAACTACTAAATGATACTTAAGCATTTCGATTGGCCATCGAATTGTTGATTCAAAAATCAACAATATTTGATAAATATTATGTTTTAATATCACAATTAAATGGGGAAATTGTTAATTCTTCTAACAATTAACTTAATTATCTAGACTCATGGCCATGATACATTCAGAATTCAGCTGTTTCAGTGCTTCTGGTATACTAATTGTTAACAGCTACTTATGCTACTTTTAATTGTTATCAAAATTGTACTTGCAAGTGATTAAGCATAAGCCTTAATTGAGGCTCCTTAATCAGTCTTCAAGCCAATAATCATAAATTATGTTTAATTGTAGTTTAAAAAAACAAAAGAAACTTTGTCATCTTATCACAATTCAGTAAATCATTTGACTTGATTGTTTGTTTTTATCGATTGATTGTCTCCAATGGCCATTGGAAATCATTTAATTAATCACTTAAACACAATCAAGGCCAATCTTTGATTCGATTCAGTCCTTTAAACAATTACGACGAAATGTTTGATTGGTTATCTAGCGAAAAACTCACAAGGTTTTCACACTTTTCCAATATTGAAATAGACGAAAAACAATAAAGTCTATGTAAATTTCACATCTTTTCTGCACCTTAATCAAACACTTCCTCTTCTCATTCATCTGCATCTTGAGATGAAAATCAAACAATGAGAGAGTGAAAAATATCTACAAACATGATGAAAAACAATAGATCGATTTCAATAGAAAAGTAAAAACAACAATCATGACAACAGAAAAAGTGAACCAAGTATTTAATTTCAATTCTTTCATGAGATGATTTTCCCCTGAATCCATAAATTTCATCCTTTCAAACAGATACAACAACATCTTAATCCAATGAGAATGGTTGATTGTTAATTGTTTAATCATCTCATTTGCTACTCAATTTACTTATTCCATCCAATTGCAGGTATATTCAGTTTCTCTTTTTCCACCTTTTACTCTTTTGTTTTTATTTATCTTCTCTCATCATCCTCATCATCACAAACTCTTGAATTTCTTCAATTCTCTTTGTACAATTGAAGGGAGAGAAAAATGGGAGAGATGAGAGAGCTAACAAATCTCATTCGTGTTGATTTTCATTCGTTTTTCTCATTATAATCTAATATCGATTATTATTATCCAAAGTTTTCCACTAGAATTTTCATTTCGATTATTAATCAGTTTGATTTATCATTTATTTCCGCAACTAATTGAGTGCAAGTTTCATAACTCTCTCTCTCTCTCACTCTGATTAATTTGATTGTGTTCTAAATACCAGAATAATTATGTCCACAATTACAATTCGAAGCAATTCGAGAAAAAAGTTATCTATTCCTCGATCAACTTTATCTCTTCATCATTTCCGAATATGTCCAATGAGAGAAGCGATTAGACTTCGAAGACCATATTCTAGTCTAAGTAACCTGAGGTATTCCAAGATCCCAGTTCTAAGTAGTTCAACACTTTCCCTGCGAAGTTGTCATGTAAGTTATTCCAACAATTAACACACTAATTAATGAACATTTGATATTGATTGTGATTTAATTCTCAATGAAACAATTAATCGTAACCCAGTGTTACCTTGTATCAAATACTGTTAATATTATAAATTGTTTGTTCCCTTGTGCCTTCAAGGTTTTAATTGTTATTAATGATAATCATACATTTGTATTTGTTTTATTATTACTATCACATTGTCTTGTTGATTTCTCTTTAATTATTTTCTATTGATTGTTACTGACAGTTAATTGTTAAACTTTCTGTTTCCTGACCCTGTCATTTGTTAATTTGGCTTCCTAATTATTGATCAACAATTGATTCCTATGTGAGTGTAGTTATCCTTTTTAAATCAACCTTGATTACTTTTCTGTCTGTAATTATGTTTCAATTATCATTTGTTACTTACCTTTACTAATTGCACTTGAGCAATTAGTTAATTACATAATGATTATATTAATAACCTAGAAAAACAAAATTAAAAGATCGAGTGTAAATTAAAAACAATTGTTTAATATGAATCAAATTAAACATAGACTATTAGACTTAATCATTGAAATGATCATGATTCAACCCAACTACCTGTTGGAAAATTAATTGATCAAGTTAATTGTTGATAATTTAAACAATGAACAACAAAACCAACATGAAAAATTAGTAACAATTTAAAAACAATCATTTAAAAAACAAGGTAAAGGTAAAAAAAAGCTAACTCATGATGATAGTTGATTAAATCTCTTGATTGTTGTGATTACAATTTACTCTTGATGTCCTATTATATTAATACCTTGTTAATTTGATTGAATTAACTTTCTAACAAACAAGCAATTTCCATCATATTAAGTTGATTAACTGATTTTCTGATCAATTACTTTGAAAAGTTGATAATCATTTCTTTTTATTGATATTGTTTGTTTATTGTTATCTGATTAACTGTGGTTAAAGTAAACAATTTAAGGTGAATTCAGTTTAATTTAATGATTGTTAATATCCACCCATTTACCCCACTCATATCTCACCTTCTCTCTCGTTCACTCACTCCCAATCTCTCTCATCATTACTCCCAATTGCTAATGGGGATTATGATGATGATGATGATGCTCTTGGATGATCTCGTCGTTTTTTATATTCTTGTTACTTGTAACTTTTTTTTCTTGTTTTAATTTCAATCCTCACCATTGAATGATTTTCGTTCAACCTGAACACAAGAATCACTCTTCAGATCATCACTTTTCATCATCATCATCAGCATCTCTGTACATGTAACCTTGCCCCTTTTTCTTAATGCTATTGTCATGATCATGATCATTTCTCCGGATGGAATCACTGAGCCGCGAAAAATGTTCATAAAAAAGTGAATAAAAGTTTTGTTATCATCTTTACTCATCTTCACCCTCTCTCTCTCTCTCCCTTATCATCATTATCATCACAATATACTTCCCACCCTCCACCTCACTCACTGTTAAAACCTCACTCTATGTCAATTGTTGTGTTAATAACTTTACTAATAACCGATCATTTAATTTGATTCACTCTTAATAAATTCAGTTCATAATACTAGTTACATATACTTATCCTATTTTTTTTTTCATTTTCCTAATTGTTTTGATTGATTGTTGTTTCTTGTTGCTGATTGTAATCAAAATCAAACCATCAATGTGACTTGAATGTTTTATTTTAAAAGTGATTCCATTGATTGAATTTTTTGTCAACAATTTAACGCGTTTCTTTGTGTGTCTTAAATAGTTCAATCATCTAACCTTACTAATTGTTGATAATTAAGTGAAAGTGTTAAGAGAGTGATTAATTGTTTCTATTAATCAAGATGATGGATTGTTTGAGAAGCTATTCTGCTTATCGTCGACCAGTGATTCGTCAGGATGAGATTATCCCTCAACATAGTAACTTTTATTTCATGGGCTCATCGGATTACGTTAAATCCAATAAGACACTTAATTCATCTCGACCTGGATCATCTCATGATATCCGTTCAAAGGCCACTTCAAGGTCATCTTATTATTCTGACTCCTGTCCACTTCATAGTTACAGTAATCGAAGTGTCTACTCTGTAAGTTTAATTATAACAATTTAAGTGTCAATTAATGTCCACTAAGATCATTTGTCTAACTCTGTCTCTCCAATCAATCATTATGATCATGATAATATTTGATTAGGAATTAAAAAAAAAACAATCGATACTGATTAAAAGTTAATTGTGATCAACTACTATTACTAACTTTGTCTATTCAAATGTAGCTGATCAATTTAGCTCTTAACTACAATGTAAAATATAATTGATGGTAAACAATCAGTTGATTAGATTGTAAACTTTACAACTAATCCTCTTGATTGGATGACATTTATTTGATTGGATCTTAATCCATTTCCTATACGATGTATTATCAGGTCTAATTGTTAACCATACAATTAACTTTTTAAAACTATAATCAAAGTGAAAGTGAAAACAATAATACCTTCATATTGTTGTAGTTAAATTGTTGATACTTTTTTTCATTTTCTTGATTTATAAAAGTGAAATTTTCCCAACCCATATTTTCCCGCTTTTTACCTTTAAAAATACCTTAATCAACGGAATGAATTGTTAATCAATTGAATAACAACAATCAATTTCAATTGTTGGTGAAGAAGAGAAAAGAGAAACTCTTTCAAATTAACCATGACCAAATCAATTTAATTTGGTTTCCTTAAACTTAGACTAATTGTTAGTCTCACAAACGAAAAGCTCATTTGATTGTCAGCTATTGTTATCCAATCGTAAATTGTTAATTCCTTAATTACACTTCACCAAATCACGAAAACTGTCTCACTGATTAACTTAATTCAGTTTCTATTCATTATTGTCAGTTGATACTTTCTACCTCTTCCTTCAACAATCAATTTAATTTTTAAGTTTTTCTTTTTTTTTCACTCATATTCAAATATCATGATCAATTGATCAAACTTGATTCTAAGTTAAATTTTCATCAAATTGTTACAATTTAATTTGCTTCAATTCTGTTGTCAACATTATGTGAATCCTTTCCTCTTAATCAATATAAATAATTTGTTACTTGTTAATTGTTTTACTAATTATTTTTGACTGTGATTGAAAAGCCAATTAATCTAAATGACGGTTAAGTGTAAATGTGCTTGTACCAAGGTAGGATTTAATTTGTGCTAATCAACTGATTGCTGATTTCGATTGTTGAAATGTGTAGAGTTTCTTGGATGATTTGCTAATTGTAACTAATCAAATTTGTCACTTTTTGTCTTCTAATCAGCATGGACCTGGACATAAGAGTATCTCGAGCAGTACGACGACCGTTTATAGCGATAAGAAAGCCCAGTTTGTTCCGGTCACTCGACTAGAAGACGCTCAGGCCATTCGAGCGGCAGAATTTCATCCAAGTGGTAAACTTTACGCCATTGGTTCAAACTCGAAAACATTGAGAGTTTGTTCATACCCTTTGGGCTCTGAAATTCGGGCAATTGGGTAATTGAACTTTAATTTGATCATCAAACTGGATCAATGTCAATATCCTTTGATTAATTGATTTTTTTTTCTCTCCTGTTAATTTATTGGACTTTTAGTGAAGATCATGAACCTTATCAACCAACTGTACTTTTCAAACGATGTAAACACCATAAAGGTTCAATATACTGTTTGGCCTGGAATGCGTCCGGTGATTTACTTGCCACCGGATCAAATGATAAAACCATCAAATTGATGCGCTTTGATGCTGATAGATGTGATATTGTCGGCACTGAGGCCGATCTGACCATGCATGACGGAACAGTCCGAGATCTTTGCTTCATGGAAGATTTAACCAATGGCTCTAACCTATTGATCTCCGGTGGTGCTGGTGATTGTAAAATTTACATCACCGACTGTGAAACTGCAACACCATTCCAAGCATTATCAGGACATTCAGGTAACTCATTCATTCATCTTCATTGTATCTAAATAGGTGTGAAAAATTCAGCAACAATATTGATCATGTTTTATAAATATTTCAGGTCACATCCTTTCACTTTACACTTGGGGTGGTGCCATGTTTGTCAGTGGATCTCAGGACAGAACCATAAGATTCTGGGACCTACGAACTCGAGGATGTGTTAATCTAATCACTGCCCCACCGATATCAGGATCCATTCATGGTAAACATTTTCCCACCTCCCATTCAATATAATCAAAACACCATTGAAACCATCAAAAAAAAACATCTCCTCCTTTATGATGATCACTTGGTGATCCACAATCAGGGAAACAATAACAATAACAATTTAAATATTGCAATTAACTTTGTGACAATCTAAGTATTACATGGATGATTAATATTACCCAGTCCTTGACAATTACCTTATTCCAGAAATTGTAATTGTGTTTTATTAACTGTCTCTCATTAACTTCTTAAATCTTAAATTGTCTTAACAATTAGACAACAATTTATGCATCATTAAGTTAAAAGTGTATTTTTAATTCAATGAAATTACAATAATATCAACAATTAGCAGATTAGTTCCACTTACTAAAAGTTTTCCCTTCCTCTTCAGGTCATCGACGATAAGTCCAAGTTGAAAATCTTCAATGAAATCGACTTGTATTTATCTCTTTTCTTAATCCTAATCTCTAATTTCCGTGTTAATCTTAATCTTTTCTGTCTTTTATCTGATTGTCTATTCGCTTTTTATTCTTGAATGTGGTTATGTAATTTACGCAATCATTTGATTATCAGCTGATAATTAATTCGTTGATCAGATTGACTTAATTTCGCTAATCAATTGTTACCATTATCTATTTACTTTTACCGAACCGTTCACTAAGTTATACCCTTTCAACAATTTAAATCAAATTAACTGTTGTCATAGTGAATCAATTTTTCGAGTATAATTTATCCTACCAATTGGTTTCACTTGGTTAATCATTGTTGTTGATTGTTATCATATAATTTAAACTATATAATTACAATCAATTTATACTTTTCTGTTTATTATTAGTTTACCTTTATATTAGATTATAACATTTGAATTCAATTTAAAATGAAACTTTTTTTTTCTCATTGTATCATCTTTAATTTAATGGTTATTGTTTGTATTAACAATTTCGCTTGATTGAGTTAATTGTGTAACTAATCAATTGCTGTGATTAACAATGACTCTTGATTTATTCCTTGTATTGTTTATTGGTTAATCAGTTTGTCTCTAATTGTTGTTGAACTTTTCCCTCTGATTAAAAATTAGAGATCAACTAATCTGAAACTAATTGTTACCAAATTTTCACCAATCTAAACCTTTTACAATATCTAATTGAGTGAAGACAATTAGTATTAGCTAATTGTTGGTTTCATGTGTGTTAAGTGTTAATAAGAAGAAACTAAATTAATTAATTGTTTATACTAATTTGGTTGTTCTCTCTTTTGATCCTCATAGGAAGCGCTGTTTCTGCTGTTTGTGTCGATCCCTCAGGTCGACTTTTGGTCTCAGGCCATGAAGATGCTAATTGTATGTTATACGATATTCGAGGTGGTCGAATCATTCAAACGATTCGACCTCATTCATCAGAGGTTCGAACCATCCGATTCTCACCTAAAGCTTATTACCTATTGACCGGAGGTTATGATAACAAAATCATCTTAACTGACCTACAAGGTGACCTTACCCAACCCTTGCCCAGTATCGTGGTCGCTGAACATACAGATAAAGTCATTCAAGGTCGATGGCATCCAAATGACTTCACGTTCTTGACAACAAGTGCCGATAGAACGGCAACTCTTTGGACTTTACCCAATTAACGACAATTAATGATTTACCATAAATAACCAGCGACTATTTGGATAATTAACTGTTACAAATATCTCATTTATCATACAACTAATTGTTCATATATTCAAAAAAATCCTCATAAGACGCAATAAGATGATTTAATTAATGACCTACAATTAATTAATTGTTAATTACTATGACCTAGAATTTTCTACTATGTTTACTATTATATTATCTCAGCTAATCAATATTTCCCGAAAATTGTTCTGATTAATTGATTAGTTTTATCAATGTTTTCGTTTCAATTTTTCTCTTCATCTACCTGCTCAAAACAATTAATTATCCTCTCGATCAAGCCTATTAACAATTACAGCAAATTATCAAATAAATTGCTGGCATTTAAAAATCCATTTAAATACCAACAATTAACTTTAATTCAATTCAGAGAATCAGATCTGAAGCTTTCACATTTAAATACAAATGATTTACTGATTTATTGAATAATCGTCATGAAGAAAAAAATTAATCCAATAAACTGAATCAATTGTAAATTTAATCACTTGATTGTTATAAATATTGATTATCTCGCGAAACAATTAGTTAATTAATCAGAACGTTAAGTTGCATTAATTGTTTCTTGCAATTTATTAATTAAGGTTAATAATTTAAATACAAATGATTTACTGATTTATTGAATAATCGTCATGAAGAAAAAAATTAATCCAATAAACTGAATCAATTGTAAATTTAATCACTTGATTGTTATAAATATTGATTATCTCGCGAAACAATTAGTTAATTAATCAGAACGTTAAGTTGCATTAATTGTTTCTTGCAATTTTATTAATTAAGGTTAATAATAATAAGTTTGTGGTGGGTTAGTGTTTGCACAGTAATAATTTGATTAATCGTAATAAAGTTAATTGTTAACAATTAGAAAACCATTTTGGGTTTAGTTTGATAATTTGAAATGTTAGATCCAGTTGATGATTTTTTTTGACCTGAATGGTTGTTGATACTATGAGAGCCCGAAGAGGCCGATTTTTGGATGACTTTTTTACTGTCCATTGATGAATTATGATGATGATGATGAGTGGGTGGTGTTGATTGATTAGAGTTAATTGTATTATCGGCTAAAGGTGACATGGGAGGTGATGAACCGGAAGAGGAAATGGCAGGCGGAGAAATGCCCATGGCAGTGGCTCGAGCGGCTTGTTGAATGGTGAAAATTGTTTTATCACTTAATCGGTCATCTTCATGAGTATAATAGGTCGCACCTCGAGTTTTGTACATTGCAATGATGATGATGATGATCACAATTATTGAGACAATGATGACCAGAGCTAAAATTAGGCCAATCCTTGGTTCTGTTGTTGCAAGTCGTAAAGATATTGTAGGATCTGGACACCATTCAAGGTCAAATTCATTTGTATCTCTTACATGGCGACCATAAAGATCACTTGGAGTTGAACATCGGACACACGAAGTGGCAGATCCCTTTTGACATGTCGCTTCGTAAGCAGTTGGTCGAGTGGTCAACCAATCTTTTAATGGTAAGATGTGACATCGGTAACATGACCAGTAACTACCTTCAAGGGACAATGACTTGAGGTGGTCAAGTGAGGCCAATATCTCAATAAAAGCCGGTGATAAACCTCTCATCTTGTTGAAGGCCAGATTAAACACCTCTAAATTGATTAAGGGTGCAATTAATCCTTCCGAGATGTTAATTAATGAGTTGTGAGATAGATCAAGGTAAACTAAAGTGACCGCTGAGCCGATGAAAGTTTTCACCGAAAGTGAATCGTCAATGTTTACAGCGGAAAGGTAAAGTCTTGTTAGTCTATTCAAGGGGGTGACTAAATTTTCAACGGAAGTCGATCCGTCGCCGTTACCTCCAGATCCAAGGTTAGTATTGTTTGATGCTCGTAAGATGGTCAATGATTGGGACAAAGGCGCTAACACTCTAGGACCAAATGAGGTGAATCGATTGTTGGCCAGATCAAGAATGGTCACTGAACAATTACAAAAGGCACAAGGTGATAACTGTGTCAATCGATTACGAGACAATGTTAATTTGTCCAATTGTAGACCATTGAATGTATTATCACCAATGTTGGTTAGTTGATTACCGTCAAGAAAAAGTGACCGTAAACTGGTCAATGATTTGAATTCGTGGGCGACTAATGTGGTAAAACGATTATTACTCAAGTCAAGAATTGAAAGTCGACCCAAACGCTCATAGATAAGTGAGTGGATTGAAGTTAATTGACAATCGGCGAGGTACAACTTCTTCAATCGAGTTGCGTCCTTAATGTCATCCGGGTGAATGGAAGAGAGCGGATTACCGGATAGATTAAGAATTTCTAATTTTTTCAATTGGTAAAACATTCGAGGGACCAAAGTCTGTAATTGATTACGAGCAATCGAAAGGCTTGTTAGGTTGGTCAAGTGTTTGAACGGAGCTGAAGGTGGAGTGGAAATCAAATTATCGGATAGATTAAGTTCGTCTAATTGATTAAGTCCTAGAAAATCAGTTTCTCGAATTGAACTGATTCGATTGTAAGATAAATCTAAGAGTCGTATCTTTCCTCCAGGCCAGAAAGACGCCTCACCAATGGCTGGTATTCGACAAAAGGTCAAAACGATCCGTTCAAGATCTATGAATGAACCAAATATCCGACCAATCGATAGATCGTGAGGTTTACTTTGAGTCCCTTTAATGATTAGAACCTAAGATTTTGAAAGAACACAAAAGAATCGAAAAAATTAAATAATCAAGTTTCGAAAAGTTAATTAGTCTATAATTTGGATCAACTTTTTGTTTTTTAATATCCGTAAACAATTAATGTCAACCAAATAACGACCTTTAATTTGATTGATAATTTTCCCATAGGCTTTTGGGTGGAGTTGATTTTAATCATAGGTTCAAGTGACACAATGATTATAACTCTGATAATCAAAGTTAAATATTGATTAAATTGATGATTTAATACCTGAACCGGGTCACAACAATCAGACCAGTGACCCAATTGTCAATTTAATTTACTACTTTTAAAATGAGTAGATCAAAGATCATCACAATCGCACTTGTGATGATCATATTGATTGTTGTAAAAAATTGAACAGTCGAGATGCTAAAATAACAAAATCAAATCAATTATCTCATCCTTTTGAATCATTGGCGATAAAATCAAGAAATCATCTTGCATTTGATTAATGAAATTCAGTTGATTGTTAACCTGGTGATGATCATGGTGGTGGTGGTGATGAAAAGGAAGTGGGTGGAAGAGGATAAAAGGTGAGGTGGTAAAAAAGGATGAGAGATGATGATGAACTTTGGGTGTGAACCATGATGATGATAACTGAGTAACAATGATTTCTCAGGTAACATAATAAAAACCACACCTTATTTCAAGTGAGAACAAGAAGAAAAAAAAATGAAACTAAAGAAATACAATCAACTGATTATAATGAACATACTCATGGATTTTGAACAATGAACAGAATGGAAAAAGAATTTGAACAATTTTTCGAAAATTCGACAAACAAAAACAGTTCTAAACTCGAAAAACTTTTCCTTCCTCTTGCTCTTTACTTTCAATCTAAACATTTTCTTACCTGAGTATTTGAATCCATTTGATTAATTGGAATTGAATTAAGAGTCTCTTTTGAACAGATAATCCTTTTCTTATTAAATCCATCGATATCACAAAGACATTGAGATGGACACTTGGCTGTCCAGTTAAGGTCAACCTCATTTGAAGTGGTCAGTCCAAAGTTGATATAAAATATAATAACAAACGATACATGTTGGTATAAAATGATTACCTCAAGATGAGATACAAGGTTCATCTTAAATGATTAAGATGATGATGATTGGGAAACAATTTGAGTTTTTTGATTAGTTTACAAGGATTATGATCAATTAACTATAATACATAAGAATTAACTGTTTCTTTGATGTTGACAATTAACTTGATTGTTAACTTACTTTGACACTTTCTACATTTGCAAATTATATAAATGATGATAAAAAGATGAGGGAAACATTTAAATTGTGTTTTGTATCAACTGGGAGTTAATTGCTGGGAATTGATAATATACAAAATGATGATAAAAAAATGGTTAATTGTTGATGATACATTTTAACTACGTTTAACTAAGTTAATGTTGATTGTGATTAGAATAGATAAATTGATTGATAATAACATTTATTTAACTGTACAAAAAAAGACAACATTTGATTTAATTAGTTGATCCCAAAAGTTTCACAGGTAAACAATCAAATAGTCATGATGATAATGTCGCTGATGGTGTTATTAGGATGATAATGAACTATTCAGATGATGATGATGATGATGATGAAGATGAAGATGAAGATGCAAAAAAAAGTGAGACAAAAGTTAAAGAAACAAAGTAAAAGTTTGAATGAATAATCTCGGGAATCGATAAAAAAGAAAGATAATGAAGAGAAAATGATGATGAGAGAGAGACAGAGAGATAGAAAGAGATGAAGATAATCTTCGTCATGATGATCATCATGATGACACGAGGAGAGAATTGTAAGAAACCGCCAACGCCCAAAATTTGCGATATTACAAAGATCCAACAATTTGGACATAAACCATATCCTTTTATTACATTGGTCTCATTTCATCATCATCATTTTATCATCATCTTTATCATCCATTGGATCATATTATGTAGACAATTATCATCACTGTTTATTTATTGTATTTAGAACAAAATTCAACTCATCCCAGCGCCTTTAGCTCCTCGAACTTGTTCATGAAAATGAATTGAAATCAACCATGATCATGATGATGATCAATATGAAGACAGGGAAACATGATGAGGATGAGAAGGAGATATAAAAAAACTGTTATAAAAATGAGATGGAAAACAATCAACTAATTAATTGGTACCAATTGGTTATTATCTTTTGGTGGGTAAAATGTAATAAAATAAGGAAAACAAAACAATAACATCATCAGCTGATTGTGATGATGATCAACATGATAAAACTGATGATGATTAAAGGGTGGGTCAGTTTTGTAAAGTTTATTACTATCAAAGCATTTTGATAATCTTGCAACTTTTATCTATGATTAATATTAACATTCATGATTAATATTGAAAAAGAAAAGGTTTCACCTTGATTGTGGTTATTGATGATAGACAATTTATGTAAATCAATGTGGTTCAGATGATTATCATCATTTTGATGCTTTAATCAACCCAACAATTAATTCAATTGTTGTCAATACTTAGTTTTCAAGTTGATAACAAAACGGAGCCATGATAAGCTTCCGTTTTTCATTTGATAACTGTTGATGGATCAGCGACAATTAATTTTTATCATTACCATTTGATTCTGCAACAGTTAAATTGTCATTTTTTAATTTCTCACCTCAAAGAAATTGAAGATTACCCAATGAGACAATTACTATCAACAGAGAAACTGATTCTTGAGATTTACACCAATTTATTGATGAGAAAATATCAACTAACTAATCACAATCTCTTCCAATAATTAATGATCAATCTTACGATACACTGAAATCGGAAATCTCTTTAAGGCTGATCAGCCATTAAAGTGACCGTCGGTCAACAATTCCCCTAGAGTTTCGTTCATAATCTTGATGGAAAAAAGAATATTTTTTTTCGATTAGAATTTTCGAAAAACATGAATACGAATTTTCTATCGATTTTTTATCCTCTACAATTCACTTCTAGTTCATTATTTTCTCTTCCTTGTCTTTAATTTGTATTTCCTGATACTCTTTGTTTTTTCTTGAAATTACTGAATTTGGAATTGAATATTTACTAATATTCAGATTATTATTATATAAGGTGATTGAAAATGAGAGATTATTTCCTGAACCTGAAGTTTTGGACTCATGTTACTATGAATTTTAAGATTTTCTTCTGTGAACTTCCATTCTTAAGATGCTCAGTCATTATCGACCACCCGATAGATTAAAATTCAACTCAATTTGCTTTTCCATTCTCGCTTTTTGTTATTAACTTTGAGATTCAATAATTAGCAATTGAAATCAAGGAAACGGAAGATTGGAATCAAATTAACACATTCGATGAGAATTAGTTCAACCACGTTGTTCTGATTAGTTAATTAACCTTTGATTATTTGTTAATATAATTTTTTTGGGCATAAAATTAACGATAATTTTGTTAATCGTCCAACGATCTTGGCCTCATCATATTCAAGGTAATTCAACTTATCCATTTATTTATATTTTTATTATGTAACCTTCATTATCAACAGTTAACTAGCCTCAAACAATTTAAAAGTTAATCAGCTAATCAACAGTTAAAAGATAATATTTGCAAAAAAAGGTTATATAACTTTGATTATTAAAAGTACTTCACTTAATTGTTTAAGCCAATCCTTTAACATGATCGAATCAGTGATGACAATTAATGTTTTTTTCGTGTTGATTTCCTGGTTGCCTTGTCCTAGAATCGATTGGGTAATTTTAGTCTTGACCAAAATTAATGATTGAACAATTTAATCAACGTTCATGATATTAATTCACTTGTCATGATTTAAGGATATGATTTAGTTTAATTACCAAGATTAAAATTGAATTTTAATCGTTGACTTTTTTGTCGAGCCACAAGATTTAATTTACTCAAAACAATTTGAAAATTGACTTTAACTGTAATTTATTGCTAATTAATAGTAAATTGTTTAATATTCATTAGCATTGAAAATTAATTTTTCCTTTCTTTTAAAATTATCAATAGTTTCTGATTTCAATAATTATTGATTGATTGATTTTAGTAGTAATTAATTTTCTTACCAATGATGAATCTTAATTGTGTTGTGATGTACTTAATTGTTGAAACGTGATTGTTGATCAATTGTTAAGCCATTTACATTGTCACTCTTACAACACAATACAATTAAAGTTATCAACTGACCTTGGATAATTTCAATTTTTCACCAAACAATTAAATCAAATACATTTAAAAATCATCAATAGACTTTCAATTAATAATTTTTACTTAATTGTTATTGTAGAAAGCAAATCATCATCACAAATACTTTCAACAATTTAATTGTTGAATTGCCAAAAAATTGGCAATTGAATTAAAGTAACAGTGGAAATTTCTATTAATCAATTATGATTAAATTTAATTCTCAACTGATTGTCAAGTAAATGTTGATTTATCAATAATAAAATCAGAATATAATTAGTAATTTAGTTTGGGTAATACACAATTTAGTTGAAGAGAATTCGTAACTTTGATTAAAATTGGAAAGTTTCTGATTCTTAAATAACTTTCTCTGGTAAATAAATTATGTAACTATGTAATTAAGTAGATGATTAAATAATTATTAATATGTTATTGATTAATATTAATCACTAGTGGTTGATATTTAAGAAGATTTCAATTAGAAAGTGAGATTCAAGTTCAATGGCTCGAGGCAATGTTTCACTTTCTGTTACCTTAATCTGAAATCAACTGATTTACTTTCATGATCAACTGAATAACCTTGAAAGTAAATGATCACAATATTAATTAAGTTTAATACCTGCGTAGTTTAATTATAATTAACTAATCGAGTTTCATTTTATTTTTGTTTTCCAACAATTTAATGTTTCCTGGAAAGTAAATTACTTCAATTCAGTAATCTAATTTTTTGGATCAAGGGTAACAAACTTTTAATACTTTAAATTGTTTTAATTATGTTGACAATTAAGATGGACAAATTGGACCTTGATTGTTTGGGTTTTGTATCTTAATCATGCTTTAGGTTATAAGGGATTAGTATTACAGCAATTAATGATTATCATTGATTATTTGGGAGTCCATGTTACTTTTTAAACGTTTAATTGTTGACACAATAATCAAATGATTAAGGAAATTATTACTTTAAATTAATCACTTACGTACACGAGTTGTATCAAAGGTTAACAATTTAATTGATTGTTATTAGCTGATAATTGTTCAGATCATTGATCAAAGGTTGACCACTACAGTTTTAGATGTTAATTACAATCACAATTTAAGATGTGACAATTTAACTTTCAATTGTAAGTAATTTAAAGTCTATCAGATTCAGTTGAATTTAAATTGTTAACCTTTTCAGCCAATGATTAGTTAAGTTTGCTAATTGTAAAGTTACTTAATTTAGTTTAACAAAACACAAAGCATAACAATTGGACATTTGATTTAATTGATTTTAAAATTAACCAATAGGTTAATAATATTTAGGATAATTAACCTTTTACCCAGGAATAGATTTAATTGTAAACCAATTGATTGTCAAGTTAATACATTGAATACATTTACTTGACTTATTGCAATTGTAGCTTAGAGCTCAATTTAATTATCAACAATTGGCTAATCAATTGTTACCAATCAAGTTTTGTTTTCAAATTATTACAATACAATTAACATGTTTGAACAAAAAAAAGTAAATGTTACAATGCAAATTGTTTGAACAATTAAAAATCAACAGATTAGACAAGAAATTGACTCACAATGATGATGAAGATCATGAATTTAGTTAATCAACAACGGGAACAATTAAAACTAAAAAAGCAATAAAAGTAACAACATTTACCAGTAACCTTAATCTGATTTTGGAATCTAAGTCAACATCAATTAATAATCAATCTATTGATTGTGATAGTTAATTTATCTTACAGTTCGTATGATTATCTATCCTAATCAAGAGCAATTTAATTTCAATTTAGTTTTTTCGGCTCAATCATTTGAAGAACAAAAAATTTGCTTAAGAAACGAAAGAGAAACCAGTTTACAAGGAGAAGATACTAAGAAGACAAAGAAGATGAGGATGGAGAGAGAGAGAGAGAGAGAGAGATTCTGTAGAAAGAAAGGGAAAAAGAAAGACAAATGGGAGGAAAAGAAACTTTTTCTTCTCTCTTTCTTTCTCTGTCTCACTTATGGTAAATGGTGAACATGAGGACCAGTAAAAGTAAATTCGGGATTAAAATCATCTAACTGATCAGTTGATTGTTTCAAATTAATTTTTACGAGTGAACGATTAACATAAGAGGAGATAAATTAACAAACTAATCACCCGATATTAAGATTAGCGCCAATTAATCAACGTGATTATCTCCTCATTTTAAATTAACCCTTTAATTTTAACGATCAACAATTGGTTTAAAAAAGTGAATCAGTGAATCAGTAAATAATCAATAAATCATTTTACAAGTTTCCTTTTCAATTTGTGTTGGTTTATGAAGTTTAGTTGTTCAGCGTAATTAGTTTTCCATAATATTGGCTTGTTAACACTAAATTAACCAGTGAAAGTGTTTATTTCTCAAAGGATTGATTAGTATTTCCATCAGCAATTAGCCCATCATAATGTACCAATTATTGTGTTACATTTATCCATTGATTATCTGTGGTTGGGATCCGCCGCAAGTGACCACAAAATGGAGCCGATTGGAGGGAATTAAAGAGGAATTTTCTGGTAAACGAATCAACACCTTCCTTGGTATTCCCTATGCCGAACCACCGGTGGGAGATTTAAGGTTTAGACCTCCGGTCGCTTTGAGTAGTACCAATTTCCTTCAGTATTATGCTGGCAACTACAGAAGCTCTTGCTTGGATCGTCATTACCACGAAAAGTCAAAAGGTTCTCGTTTTATTGATGAAAGTGAAGATTGTCTATTTTTGAACATTTGGTCACCCGAAGATCAACAACAATCAACAAGCGAATCAAGTAAAACTTCACCTAAATTAAGTTCAGTTTTACTTTATCTTAATCACATTTCAACCGATATTAGACAAATCAATGGTAAAGTGTTGGCCAGTTTAGGTGATGTTACTGTTGTTACCTTTAATTATCGTACTGGTTTGTTTGGTTTAATTCAAAATGGTGACAAGGATTCATTGGAAAATGCAATCTATCATGACACCAAAGCAGTTCTTGACTGGATTAAGGAAAATATTCAATTATTTGGAGGTAATCCTGAGTCAATTACGGTTATTGCCGAGGGTTGGGAAGCAATTAAGACTGGACTTGCTCTGGAAGGGAAATATTTTGATAAATTGATCATCACCAATGGTCCATTAAATTCAGATGAGGATGATTCACATATTGATTTAGATTCAACCAGGAAAATTAGAATCACTTCTTTCATTTGGTAATGAAATTCGCAACTCATTGGAATCATTTGGTTCCCCTGTTAACGATATTGACCATGATAAAAGTATCGCCAATTCTTCATCAAGCAATTCATTGGTCATTCGTGATCGACATGTAGCCAAATGGACCTTGCGACATCTCTCTGAATGTCCACTTTTCCGGTTGATGGAAAACCTTTCCCTAGGCAATAACGCCATTTACAGCCTACTCGTTGATTCAACTGCACATGGATTCAAATCACGACCATCGCTTTTCCGTCAAGTTGACCTTTACTCTTACCGTGCCTTTGACATTCTCACCGGAGCTCCTCTGTTAAATACCAAGTTACTCCATAAAGAAGTACAAAGATTAAGTCGAGAATTAATCAAGATAATTGGCCATTTTATTAGAAAAGGTAAAGCACCTTGGCCTAAATTGTCCCATTCGGAAAGTGGATCAGTGGACATTAAGAAATCTTATCAATATCGAATCTCTTCCGAGGAATGTTCAAGTAATCTTGATTTAGCCATGAAATCACAATTCTGCTCGATTTTACAAAAATTGTAAATTGTGGACTAAATTGTAACTACAAACAATTAGATGATATGAAAGAACAAGAAATCCACATGAACGTAAATCTAATTATAAAACAAAAAATCTTCAATGTATAATGTGGGGTGAAGATTATCTCAACAATTAAGCAACAATTAATCTTTACCATAATTCCTTCCATTTTTCACCTTAATTTTATTATAATTAATTAATGTTATTATTTGTTGTCCCAATTGACAATTATTTTTAAAAACAGGCAATCAATTGTAAAGCCATAATTGTAATAAATTCACATCTTTTTTTAAACTGATTCTCAATCCAATTACTTTTTTTTTCTTTCACGATAACAATTGGAAAGTGTAAATCAACAACACTTAATTGTAGATCTGAATCAATTTTTTTGTTTCTTCATTTAATTTTCTTTCGATTACAATTTTCTGATGAGAATTAATCTAAACATTAATTTGATTGATTTGATTCGGAATTGAAGTTTTTTCGCTCCTCATTTTCCTCTTCTTCTTCTTTTTTGGTTACGTTTTAACCGGAAACGAATGATAATGCAGTTAATTGTCTTTTGTTAATATCTTAATTCTAACCTGTTGATTTATAATTTCCAATTGGAAATTGGAAATCAAATTGGAAAATAATCAACTAATTCATCCAGTTAATTGTTTATCTTTTCACATTTGAATTGCCGCTTATTTTGTGCGCATGCGCAGAGCTCGCGAATTTTACTTACGTGTTTTTCACTGATGGATTAACATTGGATTTAAATTGTCAAAGGGAATCAATTATGATTTATTAATTGTGTTTTTTTTATACACTTTTGTATTGTTATTGTCAACTTAAAGTTTTCTGAGAGTTCAAAATCTTAGCTGAACAAAATGATTAGAAATCTCCGGTTTGAATCTAATTAACCAGGGTAGAAAAATTGAATCTCTTTTCAAATTGGTGACAGTGACTTCAAATCATCAACTCTAATTAGTGAATCATGAATTAGTTGAAGAAAATTGGCCAATTAAATAGTAATAAACAGTGAAAAGATCATCAATCGTTTCGGAAAATTGTGTTTGTCTTTTTCATGTGATCACAGTTTTTGTGTATTTTGATCCTAAAATTTACTTTTAATTGAATTAACATTGGATTCCATTGATTTGGACTTGATTCCTAACCATTTAAGATTAACCAATTTGTTGATCAGTTTTGACATTGATTTCTAATTGTTGTGTATTGATTCATCTCTTGATTTTAATTTTTTTTTTCTCTTGTTTACTTTTCTAGTCATACAATGGAAGGACTCTTACCTCACTTTTTCATACTTACATTGTTTTTGGGTGACAATTTACTCACTGAGGCTTCTATAAAGTATCCTTATGTAACCTGTGGTTCAGTTGTTAAATTGGTGAATAAAAATTTTCAAGTGAGACTTCACTCTCATGATGTTAAATATGGATCTGGTAGTGGTCAACAATCAGTGACCGGTACACCTGAAAAAGATGACATGAACAGCTATTGGGCTGTTAAAGGAGCTTCCACAGTAGAATCTTGTAAAAGAGGTGAACCCGTTGCATGTGGAGCTAAAATACGTTTGGAACATGTCAACACAAAGAAATACCTTCATAGTCATTTATTTAAATCACCTTTATCTGGTAATCAAGAAATCAGTGCATTCGGTGAGAATGGAGAAGGAGATTCTGGTGATAATTGGACGGTTGTTTGTAGTGAAGATTTTTGGGAAAGAGATTCTTCCATCAGGTTTAAACATCTTGACACTGAAGCGTAAGTTATACTTATACCAATAGAATCTATGGAAAATGTTAACTATCCCTACCATTTAAAGTGATTAATCTTATTCTCTCTTTTATTTTTCTTCTATATTCAGTTGGTTGGGTGTCTCAGGTCGAACCTATGGAAGACCAATTCATGGACAAGCGGAAGTGGTCGCAACATCTTATCCGGATAGTTCTAGTTACTGGCAATCCCAAGAAGGCGTTTTTATCAAACCTTCCGAAATGAGGGATTTTAGTAATTCAATTAAAGACGAACTGTGATTTTTTTCTTCTTTTCCACTTATAGATAACATTAAACTAATTTATTCACGATGTTATCTCACATCTTGAACAATTAATGTCCATTTACCGAGGGAAAAGAAATTCAAAATCGTCCTATGGATAATATAATTTTTTCGTGACGTGAATTTAATTGAAATGTGAGGCAACGTGACAATTGTTTTTTTTGTTTTGTTTTGTTTTGTTTTGATTACAGATGAACATTAGAACAATTTGAATTAGTGCTTTTTTTTCATCAATATTAATAACATGGATCATGGAAAGAGAGATTCAAAAGGTTTGATTATACTTTTTGTAATATGTGGTCATAAAATGCTCAACGTGTAAGAGATTTTTAAATTTTCAACGAAAACAAGTCAAAATTAAATTGTATAATTAATGATAGTTGATTATATATGTTGCTTAAAGTTTGTGATAATCGTTGTAAACAACAAGTTGACAAAATGACATTTCCTTGGACATTTACAATCGGTGCAAGTTTTTTGTTTCTCATGGATAATTGATCAATTTTGCTTATTACTGGAAGCCTCTTGTTGAGTCAATTAATGCAACAATAATAATTTTGATCGACCATGAATGAATTTGGGTCATTCTTTTCATCACTTTACATCATATTATTGCACTTTTGATCAACTGGCCATTGAGAAAACAATTTAATATCCACTGTCGATGAAAAAAGTGATTCCAAAAATTATGTCCAAATGGAGATGTCACTTGATTGATTTGAAGATTGTCAATTTAGTTGATTATTGTTTGATGATCAGAAACAGTCGGAGGAGATACGATTGGTTGAGAGAGAGCTTTTTGTTTCATTTTTCTTATTTGTTTGTCAAGTGATTTGATTTGTTGGTGTAATTGGGTGAAAGAATTGAGATCAAATGCCCTTTTAGAATAAGATTCACAGAAATGCTTTATGGCCATTCTCCTTTCAGCCTGAGGGTATTGATATTCTTGAGACGTTATAACGTAATAACAGAAAGTCCTGAGAGAGAGAGAGAGAAAAAAAAATAGATCCAAAATTACAAGTTTCCCTTGAAATAATTTCTATTAACTTGATTGAATCAAGGATAATTTCGTAACTCACAATATGGTTGCTGAGTAAGTGACACACCAGGTAATTGGTTCCATGATATCCCATGAGTATTCAAACCATATTAATCTTCCGAGAAAACCAAGTTGAGAGGATAACAGGAAGAGGCCAATCCATTTGAACCGAATAGCCGATGAACTAGAAGATTCAATGAGAATTTTCTCAAAATTTTGTAGCATTGGAACGTAGCTTTGTAAAAGTACAATACGTTTCCTTTCGAGCTCCTGCCATGGATAATCAAAGAAGAGAAATCAATTTATATCAATAAGATTATCTTTGTAACAATTAACAGATAGAAGATTTAATTTATATTATACTTACATCAACTGGTTCATTATTAACAATCTCAGTTGATGAGATCCATTTTTTGAGGCCAGATTGAGATCCATCAAAATCTAATAAAATTGATTGATCTTTACCTTTTAACAGGATCTTTTCATTTGCCTGAAATGCTGTTCCCAATGGTGTAGAATCGTCAATGTTTAATTTCTGATCAACATCAAACAATTTAACTGATTTCCGATCATCATCATTCTTGACAAAACATTTAACCACTTGACGTAAAGGAGTCCAATAAGATAGGACAAGTTTATGATCTTCATGTTTCATCATAAACAAACCATCATCAAATTTACTCGAAACCTTTTTAAATCGAGAATCTCTATCATCAGAGAATTTCTAAATTGTAAATAGAATGGAAAAATAAAAATAGGAAAGAGAAAAAAAGTAAAAAAAATCAACAATTAATACCAAAAGAAAGACAATAACATAATGTAAACAAAGAGTTAATAATGAAGAGAAAACAATATTCAGGCTTACCCTTAATATGAACACTGATTGTTGACCAATTAATTGGCGATTCATGGCCAACCAACATGGCCTCAGAATGGATAACGATGGCATCGTGTTTGGGTAACAATAGAATTTGAAACAATTAAAACAAAACAATAAAATAATCAAGAGATTAAAATAATAACAATGTAACTATTTCCATCGATGAATCAACGATGAGTGAGCTTGTCAAGTGCTTCTAATGGGGAGATAATCAGTTACCATGGATTCACTTTAACTGTTTATCTTTGATTGTAATTGAGTTTTTTTTCTGATTTAGTTTGGCAATTTAATTTTTTTTCTATTTACAATTACCTATTAATAGATTGTTTACTTAGTTGATCAAGTTGGAAGGGGAAAATTATGGGTTGAATAGTCGATTGAAATATCACTTGAAAAGTGATATTTTTCATTTCTCTGATTTCTTAAAAGAAAACAATTTGTGATTATAATTTATTGTCAATTATAATTGTTGAATGTTTCTGAGTGGATGTTTACAGTTTCAAGAGAGTTAACTATTAATTGTATGATGATGATTGTTTGTGTTTGATGACAGTGATAACAGCGTAACTGTGGATGGTGGTGATTGATTTGATTGATTGTGGTAATTGTTGTTGTATTGTGATTTTTAAAGGTGTTATAAATATTTGATATATTTATTATTGTTGTTTAGTGGGAGTAGGTGGTGATTAATTGGAATTAATATCAATTCCGTTTAACTTTTAGATAGAGATGATTTATCGGCTGGCATTGAGTTACTTTTGGTAAGCTGAGTGTTAGTTGATCCTGTCAATACTTCATCGGTGATTCCTGCTTGTTGGATCACTTCGTTTAGATTTTGTTCCAAATCGTCAATCCGATGGCCCATCTCGTCAATTCGGTTCAATATTTGTTCGGACATCACTTGGAATTTATCCTGTACTTGTTGCAATAATGTTTGAACCTTCGAGAAAGAAAAACAAATCACAACTGATAATTAGTTTCATCTAGAAAATAGAAAGGGTAATTTACTTACGAAATTAGCAACATCACCGACATCTTTGATGTCTGGTTGAGCACCAACAACATTATGTTCACCTTTAGGCTGATTTTGAGCTGATCCAGAATCCATTTTAATCACTTGAACAATCAGGTAATCACAGTGAATAAAAAATTAGATACTTTTGTTTATATAACAACCGAATTGAAGACTGATCTTAAAAGATCTAAATCAACCGAGTCAACTGAAATCGAACCACCAAACGACAGGAAATGACTTGACATAAAATTAAAACAAATCTGATTGTGAAAAGAAAAAGAAAATAATTAAAACCAAACAATAAGATTTGAAAGAGAAAATTAAAAATTTAAATTGATTAGAAAAACAAACCAATTATTTTCCTCTTTTTCTCCCTAGATGGCGTTTCTAAACTTCGGCATCACGATTACAATCAAATCGTTGAAATTAAATTTTTCAACAATTTAAAATCGATTATATTAAAGTAGAATGACAGAAATATCAGTCAAATTGAAATAGTTAATTAATTCTTTCAAATCATTCCACTCATTTCACAAAGATCTTGATACAATAATAATAAAACGTTGATGATTTAAATGAATTTCAGTTGCTGTCAAAGATAAATAGACAAGTCAAGATGATTGCGAAAAGAAAAATTAAAAAAAAAGATTAATCAACATTAAGAGTATTTTAAATTGCTCTTAAAATAAACATGTTTTTTATTTAAAGAGCAAACAGCTGACTGAATGTTTGGTATTCTTGGTTTACTTTTGTTTTCAATCGTTTTCTCTGTGGTCACCAATGGACGATGAACTTGCAACGATTCGAGCTCGAAGACTTGAACAACTCCAACAGCAACATTCTGAAAGTTCAAAGGTTCGATAATCATTTTCTTACTCTCTTAATTGTTTCAATTTACATTTGAAAGTTAATATGATTGTCTTTCATTTTCTCTAGACTTCATTAGGTGATAATTCTGCTGCTGCTGATGCTGTTAAACAAGAGGAAAGGAAGGAGAAGGAAGATGAATTTCGAAATTCAATGTTGACTCAAATATTATCTCAAGAAGCTCGAGCTCGTCTGAATACGATAAAAACGGCGAAACCCGAAAAAGGAACAATGGTCGAAGATATTTTGATCAACAATGCGAGAATGGGAGCAATTAGAAGTAAATTGTCCGAAGATGAATTTAGAAATATCCTGGAAAAAGTTAGCGAAAGATTCAAGAAAGAAACCAAAGTACAATTCGACAGAAGAAGAGCTGCCATTGATTCTGATTCTGATGATTAACTGAATTAAATTAATTTATTTTCTCTCTTTTTCCAAATAAAAAACAAATAAAATCAATCAAATCGATTGGGAAAAAAAACTCTTAAAACTCAAAGGAAAATGATTTGTCCAAAAGTCGATCGTTTCTAATTTACTTGCATCACATTTTACCACAATAATTAACCTGCAATTTAGATGTGAAAATTGATCAACGTGAAACAATTAAATGTATTGTTGTGATTAGGTGTTCACTTTAGTATCTTTTCAAATGATCAACAAATAACATGAAGCTTTTAATTTACACAAAATGTTACGTGTATCCAGGGCAAGAATTGTTGGCAAGTGAATCCATTTATTTACCACATCGGATAATCATTTGAATCTCAACAGAATTAACTTAATTTGATTGTTAAAAAGGTGAGAAAAATTAACCTCAGTGAAAATCCAATGATTCAAATTAACCAGATAATCACAATCAGAAATGACACATCACTAAACTACAATTAGGAAAAGAAAACCTTTTCTATTCACTTTCTTTGTGTTAATCCAATAAAAGAGATTTTGGAAAAAAAAATAATATTCAGGTTAGTATTTAAATCATTTGATCACTTTTTTAATTACCTTTGATTATTTAATTGTATTACAATTTATGTTAGAATTTAATTGTTAACCTTTGAAATAAATTGTTCATCTCACAGATTAAGATCAACATCTTTATCATACTGATGATGTTACAATAATTGTCCCATTGACCGATTAACAGAATATTTTTTTTTTGCTTTTTTCCGTCAATAGAAAATTTAGATTTTGATAAATTGAATTGGTTAAATTTAATTGCAATCAATTGTCATCATTTAATTTAATTCTCTGTTTATTAATTTTTCTTAAATGGGTCACGTTTATTTAGAATAATTTTGATTTTACCGCTTCGAGTTTCTAAAGAGCGAACACCAGATGGACCATCGAGATGAAGAAAGAAATTTTTTCATGTTTTCATGTCGCAATTTGTTGATTTAATTTTTATCTTAATTTAAATTGTTTAATTTAATTTTTTTTCTTCTTCTTTTGACTTCAATTTCATCAATTAATTCACAATGGAACCTATGACACCGACAGCGCTTAAGAAATTACGAGTAGTTGACCTGAAGGAGAAACTTTCAAATTTTGGTTTACCATTAAACGGTGAGTCTTTTTTTTATTTTATCTTTTCTCGTGTTTTCTTTTTTTTTTCATTTTCATTGATTAATTATTTGAGTGAATCATTATTTTAACATCGTTATTGTTTCTTTTCTGATTATTATTGTGTCGTATTTAGTTAAATAAATTATGTTGTGATTATTGATTATCGATAATTTGTTGTGACAAGATTTTAAACTGTTTTATGGAATAGAGAAAAACTGTCCCACTTTTACTGTTTTTCTTTCTCTATCTCAATCTTGTTTTCGTTTTTCTTTCCTTCTCTTAATTTAATCAATTTATTTTGTTTCTATTAAAGAAAATTCTCACATTTTTTTGTCTTCTTATTCTTGTTGTTTTTTAGGTTTAAAAGCTGATTTAATCAAGAGATTACTCGATTATTATTCAAGTCAAGCGCGAATCCGAGAAGAGGCAAATTTCAATGTAGTGCAACAACCTCCCCCTCAGTCTCTTCCCACTGTTCAACCAACCATTGGTCAACCTGGTTTGGTACATGGTGGATCTAGTTATTATATCAATCAAAATCAGCATCAACTTCATCAACAACAACAACAACATCAACATCAATTACAATTAGGTGGCCATATTCAACACACTTCACCTTCTCCTTCATCTATTTCAATTCAACCTTGTTTTGCGCCAACTCCTATGCCTCACGATGATTTACCTTTAAATTTTTCAAGTCAAGTAAATTCACTTTCATCGCCTATTGAACTCTCAACTCATCATACCCATCAACCTATTCAAACTCACCAGTCACATCAATCTCATCATCAAACACACCAAGCACATCAGACACATCAAGTTCACCATGGTCATCATTTCCATTCACCGCCATCTCACATGCATATAACACCTTCAGTAATTGAATCTTCGCACATTAAAATGCCCAGTGACGATTCTGCTCACTATTTTGGTAATAGTCCTCATATTCAGAGTACATCCAATCAATCAATGGATCAACCATTGCAGTCATCTTCGATTGATTTATCATCTAACTTATCGTTTAACCAAAAGTCCAATGTCAGAGATTTGCAAGCCATGAATCAAAGCCCAAGTGAAGTATCGGCTAACACTTCACCGATAAAACAACCTTTAAATTCTAATTCTCCCGCGGTTTCTATGGATCAACCACAAGACCCAATGATCCATGATGAGCCTGATGACAACCAAGGACATGAAACACCTCAAAAGGCTATATTTGATTTGGAAAATCTTTTACATGAAGCTTTGAAAGCAAATCAACGAGTTGACTCTAGTGCCGCCGATCTTAGTAAAGATTATGAAAATTTACCTGAACAAACTTCTTCACTGAATGAAGATAGTTGTACAGTAACCGATTTGTCACAAAAAGTTCATGAAGAGTCTTCACCTGTTTTAGAATCTATAAAATCCACTGAACCTATTGTGCATGCTGAACCTGAAACTATTCATCAAACCGAGCCAGAGCCAGAGCAAGAACCAGAACCAGAACCAGAACCAGAACCAGAGCCAGAACAACAACCAGAGCCTGAGCCAGAACTAGAATCGAAACCTGAACCTGAATTAGAGCCCGAAGTAGAACCTGAACCAGAGTCACAAGCCGTGTATCAACATCAGCCACAGTTTGAACCTGAACCTGAGTATCAACCTGAAGTGGAACCCGAACCAACGTGTGTTAAAGACATTGAACGAGAATTCGATCGACAATTTCAGGGTGAAATTGAATCTGCACCCGTACTCACATCACAAACAGAAAAAATAATACCTGAATCTTGTTTTGATATGAGTTCAAAACCTATTGAAGATTATGAAACAACTAGACCGACTTTAGATCATTTCAACTTAGAAGGTGATAATCTTCAAGAAGAAAAGGAATATGAACCAATACCCAATTTAGATGATCAACAAGAAACAACATTATTTTCTAGGGAAGAACAAAATCAACAATCAGAGATGGACAAAGAAGGTGCAATGGAGACCAATGTCAATCAGATCGAAAACGTGGAAGATTTGATAACAGAAAATAAACTTGAACAAGATGGCGAAAATTTGGAATTTATTTCTGAAAAACAGGAGCCAAATTCTGTTATTAATGAAAGAGAATTGAGTGAAGTTGAACAAACATCCAGTAGCACTATTGAACTTGGCGCCGATGCTCATCAACCAGAAACCAGTGAAATTAAAGCTACCGATGATGGTGTTGACTTAGAAAGAAGATCCGAAAGTAGCGAGACAAAAATTGAACTAGTTCAAAGTGACACTAATATTGGTTTTCATTCAAACATCACCACTAATCAAAATCAAATCGATTTTTCTAGTGCTTCTGAACCAAATGATTATTCCTCTCCTGAAGTGAAAGAACAGTCCATTGAAGTGAAAGAACCATCGATTGAAAAGAAAGTCTCTCAAGAAGACAATGAAAAAGATTTTAGCGACATGAATGTTTCAGTGTTTAACGATTCACAAGACACTCCTGTCATTCCATCTACGATTGAGACACAATCATCTGATAAAACAGAAACTGAACCCAAACAAAAGTTATCCAAAAATGCCAAGAAAAAGCTGCGAAAGAAGAAAAAGAAAGCTGAAAGAGCTAAAGCGTCAACAACAAAAGAGAATGGAAACTCTCTAGATTATGATGAAGATGATGATGTTGAAATAGAGTAAGTAAAATTGTTTCTATTGTTTTTATTTTAATTTTACTATTAAATTTTGTTTCTAATGTTGATTTTCATCTTTACAGGTATGTGGAAGATGAAGTCGTCCGGGATCCAATTTATTTCCAATATGTGAAAGTTTTTGAAAAGTTCAAAGGAGGTGACAACAGTAACATTGAGTCAAATAATGATGATAGCGAAATTACTGATCCAGCAAAGAAAATGCTCGAAAGAAAGAAACCCGTTGAATTAGAATTGAAAGAAGAGGATGACAAAATGACGGTGAACCAAAACTTTCAAAGCGAAAGCTGAAACAATTAACAAGGATGACAGTTGCTGACCTTAAACAGAAAGTATCACATCCTGAATTGGTCGAAATGCACGATGTTACGGCTAAGGATCCACTTTTACTTCTTCACCTTAAATCTACTAGAAACTCAGTTCCAGTGCCTCGTCATTGGTGTTACAAACGTAAATATCTGCAAGGTAAAAGAGGATTTGAAAAACCTCCATTCAAGTTACCTGAGTTCATTAGAAAAACAGGAATCATGGAGATGAGACAAGCTTTACAAGAAAAGGAGGATGCTAAGTCTCTGAAAACTAAACAGCGGGAAAAAATCCGACCTAAGTTGGGTAAAATTGATATTGATTATCAAAAGCTTCATGATGCTTTCTTTAAATGGCAAACCAAACCAAAAATGACAATACATGGAGATATCTATTATGAAGGTAAAGAATTTGAAACAAGACTCAAAGAGAAAAAACCTGGTGATTTGAGTGTCGATCTGAGAGTAGCCCTTGGAATGCCCACTGGACCTAACGCTCAAAAATGTCCACCTCCATGGTTAATTGCAATGCAAAGATATGGACCACCTCCTTCTTATCCTAATTTGAAGATTCCTGGACTTAATGCCAGGATACCTGATGGATGCTCGTTTGGTTATCATGCTGGTGGTTGGGGTAAACCTCCTGTCGATGAGTATGGTCGTCCATTGTATGGTGATGTGTTTGGTTTAAGCACTGCCCAAGATAGTACAAATGCCGAAGAAGAAGTCGATAAATCGTTCTGGGGTGAAATGGAAAGTGAAGAAGAGGAGGAAGAAGAAGAAGAAGATGAAGGAGATGAAGATGATGGAGATCGTAGCGATAGGCCCACTGGTAAAGAAGGTGATGAGAGCGGCATCGCAACTCCATCTGAAGGACTGGCTACCCCATCGGGTCTTGCATCGGTTCCTAATGGAATGGAAACTCCAGATATTATTGAATTAAGAAAGCGAAAGATCGAAGCCGAAATGGAAAGGTTTGTATTTCGTTATAGACTGTAAACTATATTTACTGTCAATTTTATTTAAACTAATTTTCTCTCTCTTTCAGCAATGAGAATCCCGCTTTATACACAGTTTTACCAGAGAAGAAAACAGACAGAATAGGAAAAGAAATGATGGGATCAACTCATGTATACGATTTGAATGGACAAAAGAAAAGTCAAGGAGTCGAACGCACTTTAAACCCAGAGGAATTAGAGTTGCCCGCTGCTGTATTAGCTGCTAAATATGAGCAAACATATAATGAACAGCAACAAGCTCATTTAGCTAAAGAAGACCTTAGTGACATGGTAGCTGAACACGCAGCGAGACAGAAAAGGAAGAAGACACAAGATACAAGCAAATCTAATAAGAAATATAAGGACTTTAAATTCTAATCAATCTGTTCCCAGATTTTTTTTCATATTTCTAAAAATCCCCTTTACAGAAGATCTCTTGCCTTCCTTGGTTCGTCTTTTAATCCTCTAATTGTAACCTTAAACAAAAATAAATTCATACTTATGGACACCAATCATCTTACAATCTATTAATCGATTGCTGTAAATTGCTGATAAATTACATAAAATGCATACTGAATAATTAAAAAGTCGTAATAACAATTTTCAAAAAAAAAGAATTCGTTTAAATTGTAGTTTTTTTATTGATCAAATTGCTTAATTGTTGTGATCTTTTTAATTTCACCAATAACTGTAACATAAAAAAAACGATTTGCTTAGTAAAAATAAAATAATCATTTCTAATTAACAAAATCAAATCATAATTTAGGATTCTTGTTAAGTGGACATAAATTAATTCCCAAATAATTAGATGATTAATAATTGTGTAAAGAGAAACGATGAACAATTGATAAGCTCCTGGAAGACTATCGGATTCTCTGTACGAACAAATAATTTAAACTAATTAAAACTTTTGAGATCAGAAAACATCGGATTACATTAATCATTCGTTTGTTGTGCAATCAACTAATTTGTTGCTTTTCCTGGAATCTGGAATTGTGTTGATTTAAATTGTAAGCTTGTGATGAACAAACAGTCTAAACTGTTCATTGATTAAAAAAGAAATTGAATAGAAGATATTTGCTTGATAATTGTGTCACTAATTTAGTTGCGATTCAATAGTATTTAGTTGATTTGAGCAAAGTGATTGTTGAAGTTTCACTTCCATATCTTGTTTTCATTGGTACTTTAAAGATGAAGGTCAAGAAAAAGTGACCATTGTAAACGATGGTGACCATGATGAAGAGATATCAGAGCAACAATTAAGCCTTTTAACTGGTTGGTTTAGATGGTTTATCTGTTGCAATTGAATTACTTTTGGTCAGTTGTGATTGACCAGATGAACTATTGAGCACTTCATCGGAGATTCCTGCTTGTTGGATCACTTCGTTTAAATTTTGTTCAAGATCATTGATTCGAAGGCCCATCTCGTCAATTCGGTTCAATATTTGTTCGGACATCACTTGGAATTTATCCTGTACTTGTAACAATAATGTTTGAACCTTCGAGAAAGAAAAACAAATCACAACTGATAATTAGTTTCATCTAGAAAATAGAAAGGGTAATTTACTTACGAAATTAGCAACATCACCGACATCTTTGATGTCTGGTTGAGCACCAACAACATTATGTTCACCTTTAGGCGGATTTTGAGCTGATCCAGAATCCATAATGAATAAAGAATCAAAAGAAAACAAATCAACAATCAAAGAGAATAGTAAACAAAAGCTCTAAATGGAATTGTAAACAATCCAATGAAAATTAGGATCGATAAAAAAAAGACTTTATCCAAATCTTAAATTGTCACAACTTATCGAATCAACAATTAGGAAAATACAATCCTGTGTAAATAAGAGTTAATTAATTAGAAAAATTAATTAATCAAACAGAAATAAAATCTTCTTTAAATCTGAATGAAGACAAAAAAAGAAAATAATGTTAACATTGATTCTCACCAGATGGCATCAAACGATTTCCAATTTCAATTGAATTGATTAGTTGATTATTTGATTAATCGCGTTAATTAAAATAAGAAACATCGAGTTTTTTTTTTCGAAAAAATGACTTTTTTTTAATGCAACTGACTGAAGTTTTTGATTACATTTTTGAACTTTAACAAATGTAATTAAGGCAGGAAACAGAGAGACAGAGAGGACAGAAAATGCTAAAGAAAAGTAATTAACAAAAGCCTAACCATTAATTGTAAAAATTGATCTGTAGGAAATTAACATACAACGACGGAAGAAACAAAAAAAAGGTAACCATGATTAGAAAAACTGTTTTTACACCGAGGAAATCGATCAAAGGAGATAAACCAGATTAACCATGATAGTATCGAGTCTATTTCTTGTAGTAAGCGTAAGCGGCTGGGGCATAACCATATCCACCATAGACTGGAGCGGCGTATCCGTAGCTACCATAGCCGACGTAGGCTGGGGCAGCATAGTATTGGGAGTAGGCCATCTCAGCGGCGGCGACGATTAAGGCAACAATGAGGAGAAGAGCCTAAAGAATAGGAAAGTGAAACCAAAAAGATATTAAATTAACTTTGATTCTCAAACAATTTTGATAATCGACTAATGAAAATACTTACAAGTGAATTCATTTTGGTTGATTTGTTGGGGGTTGAAGTTTGATTGCAAAAGCAAAAGAAGATTTTGAAGTTTTGGAGTTGGTTTGTTTAGCTTGAGAACGAAACTGATGATTCTAACCAACTTATCGATGCCTTTATATACGAAAATGAGTCGAGGTCAATTATCATCGTAAATTGACTTACAACTTATCATCATTAGCCAACACCCTCTTAACAATTTAACTCTTTCATCTTCTTATCGCCAACAACAACATCATCATCATCATCATCTTGTTGTTGTTGTTGATTTTTTTTTTACCCACAGAACAGGATTGGCCACATATCATAATTATCATCATCGCCATTATTATTAATCGTGATACCATTTTGAGCTTCATTCATTTATTTCCAATTGTTTACGCCTTTCGAACGTCATTTCAACTTCTAACATATTAAAACCCTTTCACATCACGAAGAGAAGCAAAAAAACCTAAAGTTAGCCCTTGATCATCATATCATCATCTTCCTCTTCATCCTCCCTGATCATCATCCCAATTCCTGTGGTTACCTTTGATTCCTAACGAAACCAAAGCCTCAAGGCGATTTATTTTTTTCTGTTATTGTTGTTGTTGTTTTTTTTTCTTCATCTTCTCAGATTCCAGAAACATCTAATCATAATTATATACATTTAACACTAAATTTGATATTTACAATCAACAATCAAGATAATTGAACAATGCCAACCACAAGAAATTAACAACAATCAATAAACATTTCTTTTTTTTTAATACTCAAACTTGTACTACGATTGATATTCAATCGCCTCTCATTGTATCTAATTTTTTTTTACTATTTTTGTCTTAAATCAAATTTCCCTTTTCGTAGATGACCTTAATTGTAAAAAGAAAATGATTTAGATTTTTGATTTTGATTTTGATTGAAAGTATTAATATAAGCTCCATAGAAAATTTAATTACTTTCTGGAAAGTTTATCGAAACGTTCAAACGATTTTCATCTATTCCTAGGTAACGATTGATGATAGAGAGAAAAAATCGAATTAATTTTTTTTTCTCTCCAAACATATTAACCTTGATTATAACTAAACCTATTCAAGGTAGTTAATTTAAGTTAGTTAATCATCACATGGTTGGTCCCTAACAATCAACCTTGAGAAAACTTTTCAAATCAAATTAAAACTTACGCCTTACAATTTGGTAATATTATTAATGAACATTAATCATCTCCATAGATATTTACATAAGATTCTCAATGTTAATTGTTATCGAAATCACTCTAGAGGTTGGTCACAATTAGAATAATAATAATGTCATTTAATTGTCTTTTAATTGTTCAATCAGTTAAGATCTTGACCTCTTCATCTTGGATAATTATAAATCCAATTTAATCAGTAATTAATCTGATACAGTGTTCACACTTTCAACAATCGTCACAATTTAGTTATGATCAATTGTGTTTAATCATTTTGTTTCACTGTTTAAATTATTATTGATTGATTGTCGTGGTAATTAACTTGGGAGAGTTAATTAAATATTGATTTCCAGGTAAATTTAGCCTTGTCTTTTTTTTCAACCAACTCTTTAATTGTTGCTGCCACAATTTAATAACAATCGACTAATTATCTAATCATTTAGATCTTCATTTTTTACAATTACAAAATTTAATAGAAAACTCGATTTGCTTAATCATTAAAATTAAAGTTAACAATCAAAACTCATAACTAGTTAACCATTAAAATATCAATGGTCAATCTAATGATTATCATCAGTGATAATTTATGACCAAAAATCAATTAAATCAATCAATCAAATGAAATTAAATCATTGAAAAGTTAATTAACCAAGAAAGTTAATTGTGGCTAAAATGGTTAAGAAAATCTAATCAATGATTAAACATCAATAAATTTTGATTTTCTTACAACAATCAAGGTTAAATAAATATGAATAATAATGAAAAAAAAACAATTGGAGGATCAAAAAGATCAATCAAATTGTTAAGAATTAAAAAAATCTAATCGAATGTGGGATTTAATTGTTATGGAAAATTTCCCATTGACTTTTTTAACAATGAGATTTAAATCCATTCATATTAAAAATCATATGATGATCACAATTAAACTCTACCCCCTTTTTGCAACAATTAACTTTCAATTGTAATAACCATATTTAGATTATCATCATAATTACATAAGAATTGATTGTTTACTTTTTACTTTCTACTCAACTAGGAACTTTTAATTTCTTAAGTTCCACTTTCATTGGGCGTGATTAAGACGATCGCTTAAATAATAGTCATTACAATTATGTTAATTGTTGTTTAACGATGATCATCTTAGATGAGATTTTAATTCACTAGAAAACTTTTTAATAACATTCGTGCCTATGGGTAAATACAACAATCGTTTTCCAAGGATTCGATTTGATTAAAGTGCTAATGTTTTTTTACTTCTTCTATTATGTTAATCAATGAAAGTTTTGATAATAATTGCAACAATCATAATAATAATGAATTAAATTAACACAATTATACATATATCGATTGTTCCTGGACGGAAAGTCAGATCAAAAAGCTGATTAGCTCAGTTTGTTTGAAAAATTCTGCACTTTTAAATGGCCAAAAAGTTTCCCCACCGAAATGTACCACTTTTCCGACTTTGGGAGGCCACTACTCATCAACGGCTCCACGGGAAAGTTTCAAACAAAAACGAAACAAAACTTTCACATTTTCTCTGTAAAATTGCGAAGAAAAAAAACCAACCCAATGGCCTACAAGCAATAAAGAGTCAAAAGTAGGGATATTTTGTTGTACGCACTGTATTTTTCATAATTCTAACTATTAATTTAACTTTGAGAAATAAGATATCAAAATTTGATTGCAACCTTCTTTCCGAATAGGTTAGTTGTAATTTCTTTGGTTTAATTGGTTGGTTATTGAGAATGGACGATGAATTTGCTATGATTCGAGCTCGAAGACTTGAGCAACTTCAACTGCAACATTCTGAAAGTTCAAAGGTTTGATTTTGTTTTTTTTTCTTTCTCTCTTTTCATTTGGTTCATTTTTCTAATTTGAAAGTTAATTTGAAAGCGTAATGACAAGGAGCTGGTACATAAATAGCTCCCTTGATAAAAAGAGAAGTAAATGCGAAATAATAATAAAGATGACACAGTTTATATGCCAAAGATTGATGATGAATGGGTTTCCAGCCTGTATCGTCAGCGATCATGTTGAACATTGTTGGATTAACTGTGCCAAATCTAACGGATTGACTGACCAAATAGAAATCGTATCTCTCCTTTAGAAATAGAATCGAGCATTGACGCGCTTGTTAAATTTAAATATATACATTGGTTTTCCTATTGTCATGACCAAACATCTACAAAATTTGATCAAGATCTTATCAAAGGTACAACTTTTATGGCCGAAAAAGTTTCGCGTTACTTAATTGTCACCCAGTACAAAAATATCATCAATATTAATCAAGTTTAAAAATCATCCAACTTATATTTTAAATTTGTCATAAAATTGCTTGACATTTCGTCATTATTTTGATGATAATCTACTCTTGAATACCAGGTAGTTGTTTCACTATTGGTACTACAAACGAAAGCGCTAACAGAATGACCTCTTCAGGACGTATCTCGATAAGTATTAAAGCCAAGCATCATTACATTTTTAGGCTTGTATTGGCAAAAAGTAAAAAAATAAGATCACAATTAAATAAACGGTAAATGTATCATCAAAGATGTTCAATAATAATATCGGAATAACTAAAGCCCAAGCCTTGGCACCCATTTTAACGGACATTTGTACAACCAATTTTGTAGCAACCGCTAATTGATTTAAAAGGTTTCAGACTCAGTGATTCCCGTCAATAGACAAAATTCTGGAGGGATAATATTCTTATTCATTCCACCTCGTTGCTGGCGATCGGTTGGTCGAACCATAAGTAAAGGTTGATGTTCATCTTTAACTTGCTGCTGATATTGTTCAAGATAATAATCTCGAAGTGAATTGACTCCCCTCTTCGCTCAAAAGTATATGTTCTTGGATTTTTATCGAAAATAACATCATCAATTCGATAGGTTTTCGAGTTGTAATTTGTCATAACAATAATACCGGCAAGTTCACGACGACTTTTCTCCTTTAACTGATTTCTATCCGTTCGATAGATTCTGACCAAAATATCGATAGCAGTTTCTCAGTGGATTATTTTATTCAAAACATTGGCCACCATCAGAATACCTTCATCGTGCTCTTTTATTGCGGTTAAAATTCCAGACCAAACTTCAACTTGATATTCGGGTATAAAAATAGAACCACTTTTGTCGAAAAA